AGATGGACTTTAAATTTTACATTTTGGTTCTTTCTCTAGATAGATACTTCTGTTGTCCTGTGACAATTAAAAAGGATATCTTTCATTTATAATTTACGATGCTTTTTATGGTTTTTCTACGAACATTGATCAACAGGTCTGCTTTCTATAGTACATGACATTATATTCAAATTAGATATGTAGATCACATGCTTTCAGATCTCTGTCAAATCTCCCTGTCTGTCTCACCAATTAAAAGTGGACAATATCTCCCCTGTCCCAGCCTATTTTAATTACTTTACACTTGATGCCCACTTTCTCTAATGACTGATTTCTAGATGATAGAAGGTGCAATCTGAAGTCAGAGAGTCTGTCTACCTGACTTCCTAACAACCATGCAATTATGTCATGCCTTTAATGTCTTGAAGGAACAGAGCATTACACTCTGGGAGACAACAGAACTGAAGGAGGATCTGAGGAATACATAGGTTTACACACCAAGTAACAACCACAGTAGTCTATACACTTTCTATACACATAGCCATTAGTGATGTTTAAAGTTGCAGGTAAGCTTATTTAATCTAAGTGTCTTGATCCATTTGTAGAGATAAATATGCAGGTTTTGACACATTTGTTAGATAACTGCAGTGGTAAGTCAGTATGCTGGTTCTGCAAACATTGCCACTGTTTATGGCAACTACTGTGGCAGAAAAAGTATAAAGATTCTTATTTCAGCAAATTAGTAAACTAATTTTGATGGATTAAAGCCGAAATGAAGATATAGTGCTATTCATCCGTTTTCATAAAAATATGTATTGTAAGAGAGCTGTAAGGATCCCCAAAAGGCTTAATCGTAAACTGCCAAGATTGATTGAAGATGACACATTAGAATGATAAATGAATTAACAGTGCTTGAGTGGTTAGAGATAGCGGGTCATGTGTCCAGGAGGCACCTGGAGTCTGCTGCTTTCTGGGAACATGTTGCAGATCAAGAACCAATACTTCATAGTGTTTCTCATAAGTACGGCCATATCACTTTTATCCTACTAATTGCCACCATTAACTTGCATGTTAGAGTCCATGTTTCCATGGAAATGATTCATAGAAGCAGATGGATTTACTATAAATAGACTCATCCTCTTTTTTATTCTGAGATAAAGGGCATTGTAGTGCGTAGAAAAAATAACATAATATTCAATGAAATATGCATGAGCCAGTTTCAATAGCTATATTTAATATGTGGATGTAAGTTTTGTTTTAGTTTTCTTTGATCAATGAAGTGGGTTAAAATCAAATATGAATAAGGAACTGGTTTCATTTTACTGCTGCCTTTATTACACTGATAACTTGTTCAAATGAGAAGTTTGTTTATGATGTTATCGATTGAATTTATGGCAACCTAAGGAGAGCACTATGAGGGCTTCTTGCTAATCAGTCATTTGCAGGTTTCCTCATTTTATAGCTTTCCTCAGTGTTCCAGTTAAACTTATGTGCACGCCCTGATATAATAAGCAGTGGAAAATAATTTCCTTTTTCACAACCCGGATCTTATCTTCTTTTTCAACCATGAAATGAAAATGTGGATTTTATTTTTTAATCGTTTTTAGTTTTAATTTATCATTATATAAAGATAGTTGTTATTTAATTCATAATAAAAAATTATCTATCTGCTTTATTTACTTATTAATGTTTTTTATTTTTTCGTTATTTTATTTATTTATTTATATATTTATTATTAAATTTCAGTATTTCATTTTAGTGATTCTTATACATACATATGTATAGTTCACTTTGCCCATTCTCTGCCAACTAGAAGCATAGAGAGGTTCATACATATTTTAATATGTATGAACCTCTATGCTTCTAGTTGCATATAGAATTATATGTATTATATTAAAATGCATTTAAGTTGATAATAGGTGAAAATACATGTCAGCAGTTTAGGGCATAAGTGCATGGCTCACCTACCGTGCACTGTCATTTCATTGCTATGGAGGGGTAAATGGCAAAAATAAATTTCATTAAGTACAAGATAGAATATGCGGGGTCTTTCAAGTGTGAAGTGGTCTTTCTCTTGCCTTTACTGCCAAGTGGCATATGTTTTTTTATGCTATCTTATCACTGCTTAGTTCAAGAACTGGTTATCTTGGCTTGTTTGTCTTTGGGTGTATACCCAGCAACCAAACACAACTGAACAACAAGATATGTCTTGTATCTTTGAAGTACTCGTACATTAGAAGTAGGATCCAATATGAGGGATCCTAGATTTGAACAAAAAAAAAGGAGCTACAGTTTATAATTGTTTACTCTGCTTTTCTAGAATATTATTAAAGACTTTTTTTACTCTCACTTTTGAAGGGAATATCACCAGCTGCGAAGTCAATTATAACTAAAATCTTGGGAGGAAAATTACATGCAGGTAATGTGCAAATGCGGCACCGACACAAAGGATGCTCAGCTTTTACTTAAGCTGGTGGTCTTGTCATGATGGCTTTTTTTTACTTTTTCCCCTTGGTGTACCTGGGGGCTTGTTTTATATCCCACTCCATTAGCAGGGTATCTGCCTACCTTCACTGTCATTTTTTAGTACGATGTAATCCATCAAACATCATACGGCAAACAATGCGAACATTGTTAAGTACAGTAACAACACGCTATATAGAGTGTGGACGTGCACGAGGATGATAGCTCCCCTACTGTTAGATGACAGTCGCATGAATACTGCTGAAAATCTTTGAGCCATTGTTGTGGACATGAAGTGAGCAGGTGAATTACCTAATGCAAAGGTGGGTGAATTTGGGACCACAGGGATTATCATTTAATTGAAAGATAAGGTGACCCAGTTCTAAGTGAGGTGGATACGTGTTTTTGTTAACCATTCTGGATACTGGACTTGGGCGTGAAGGTAGACCATCTTTTTTATTCCTAGAATATTTATACTGTACACAGTGACATTTTTAAGTATGTTTGGATGCCACTGAATTATCTTCCTACATAGTGTTTTGTGTTTTCATTGTAGTAAGGCTGTGATCCATGTATAATGACCCCAATGATAGCGGTGGATGATACAGAACAGTATATTCTGTATTTACCCAGGTGTACAGAGATTCAGCTGTTTAAATCTAGCACATTTGTTTAGAGTCTAGAAATATATGTCCTCATTTTTGGAGCAATATTTATGAGATGATTTTATGCTCTCGCACACTGTATAGGACAGTTGCCCAGCTTTTTAAGCCCCTTGAAATAAAATAAAATGAAAGAAACCAGTGTTTACATTTACAAAGGAAACAAATGGTATTCAATATCTCAAGGTCATTAATATTAATAAGATTTACAGGTTTGCAATCCAGTCAGGTGAGGATTATTTTCACATCTCAATAATTCATGAGATTTCAAGGAATATTAGTAATGAAAGCTTTCTAGTCTGACATCATGGATTACATCAGCACTGACTCCAGCAGCAGCAATTAATTCAGAACATCCACATGCATGGTCAGATGAGGTGTAGATTACATTTCGGCTCTTCTACCTGGTCTGTTGCCCTTTCTCTCCATAAATCATCTCTCACACACCAGCTCCAGAGGGCTGACCCTCCTAGATGTGACTTGCCTTATCAGTCATCTTCCATGCCATAAATACTACTATCTTGTCATGGAGGGCGTGCTGGATTATTCATTGGATGGGATATGTGCACTGTAGTTCACTTGTTTGCTGGGAAAGGGACATGGGCAGTCTGTTTGCATGGTACCGATGATACTGACCAGCACTGGACATGGGCCATGCACTGGTAGTTAGGTTGGAACTCTGGTAAAAGGATTATATCTGCACTGTACCTTGGAGAGTTCAGCAAAGTTATGCTTTATATGATCAGGGTATTATTTTGTATTTGGTTAATTTTTATATCTGTATATAGGAAATCATTAATTTATCTTCTTCATGCAGGTACTGTATGCTAGCATGGATCATGAAAAGGGCCTTTCTTGTGGTAGTTGTTGACAAAACACTTGGGGTAGCTATGAAAAGGGTACTTGTTTAGTTTTTTTAACAAATCAGCTCTGTTAAACAGATTTCTGAGCTACAGAATGAGAAAAAGGAAAAGATTTTCCTGACATACAATTTACACTGGGGAAATATTACACTATAATCCTTAATATGATACTCGCCGGTGGCAATCCAACTCAACCTCTGTTGAACTAACAGGCCACACAGTGGGGTCTCGGAGACACAGTAGAGGTAAAGAAGGGGACTCCCTGGTCGGTACATGACCAGAGAAGATTGAGTGAAGTATAATTAGTTGGTGCACATTGCCCTTCAAACAATTTCAGGCAGGCTGTTTGTGAGAATTTTAAGAAATGTCGTGAGAGAACTAAATTTTATGTGTCACTTAGATTTGGTGTTTTTACATGCCTACGCCCCTTGGTTCAGATTGTCATTTTGAATGTGAAAAATGTACTTTTACAGTCAACTGGAATTTTATGATGATATGTGAATTGTAAAATGAAATAAATTACAAATAAACTGGGATGGGCATCTTACAAAGTGGATTATTACCTTGTATTTTATTTTGTGGTAGTTTGTCATTAGACTACAGAAACAGCCTTGCCTGCATGTAAACCATCAAGTGAACATGTTTCACTATACCTGTCCATTGGGTGTGTGCACTGATCAACAGTTGTGGTGAGAGTAAATGATATGTGAAGTCCATTAATATAACCCTTCCCCTATCAGTCACAGGCCACAGTTAAAAACCTTTCCACTTCTTTGAAGAGTGAATCATATAATGTTCTCTTGTGCATTGTGTTTCTTTCCTATTCTTAATGTGTGATAGCAGATGAAGGAGGTAAGCTGGTACATATCATGTAATGGACCCGCATTCAGTTTATGTGTTGGGATAAGCCTGCAGTAGCAGTGCACTATATACCGAACCTGCCAGCCAATCAGAACACATTACACTCAACCTTTCTCACGGCTCACTCAAGATTGTTATACTATACTATTGTTTCTGTTGGTTATTTTTACAGATGGACCGCAGCAGTAGGGTGATGTGAAACAGGAACGGCTTGGAAACCACAAGGACCACTGTATACACTGGTGGATTTGTACCATAGCTTAGGACAATGTGACAGCAAGATAAGACTTGTCAACAATAGATGATCCCATAGCAGCTGTATATACAGAAAGGAACAAAAAAAGCTTATTCAGGATATAAAAAAACTACATTTGTGGATAGGAAAAATAATATACCGAGCCACATAACAATTCTGTGTACTTGTATATATAACCTGGATTCTCCTCTTGAGTAAAAAAAAATGGGAAATACTCAATCATGAGGTGATCCTTCAAAAAAAGAACTTACCTTCATACCACTGATACCAGGAAGATTGTTGGGTAATAATCTGTGCAACAGAAATATAGTAAACATACCCCGGGTGTAATGTTAGGCATGCAGACCAGGAAGGTGGAGTAAAATTCCCAGGGATTCACTTTACAGCGCTGATAGCTATAGAGTTTATTTCACACAGTGGAAAAGGGACAGAGGCAATGGAAATGTTGTACAACATCTACTACCATTGCTGGTGGCATATACTTGTAGTTCTATGTATAATACTTACATTGTGGGAATCGGGATCATCCCAGTATACTCTTATAAAACCAGGTAAGTTCAGTACAATACATGTATTATAAATATATATGCTTCCTCAACTTTTACAAATTAAGCTTTTTATTTAGAAATGTAATATGATTTTATCCCTAAGTCATATACTAGTATCTTAATTTTGCCTGAAGCTGCCCTCAGACCCTCAGTTATAAGGCCATCCACTCATTTTTTCTATATTTTCTTACAACCTTGTATATAGACTAGTATGTAAAATGTAGAGTGAATATTGATATTAGTCTTGCAATTAAATTGTCTACACACATATATTTTAGGTATTTAATCCATAGGTTTATGTCCTATTCCAACAGCATTTTTTGTCGATCAATTTTCCTAATGCTATAACCAGGATGTTAGGTATCTACAACAAGTCGTTATCAACAACAGTGTTGACTCATGCTGTAATGTTCGTTGTTGACCCTTACCCAGTTCTAGTTGATCAAGTGAGCACCAACAATAGAAATGAGCATTCTAACAGTTATGTTGAAAACTCATGCCAAACTGGTGAGAACTGGTGGTTTTGAGAACTGTCATTGCACCCTGCAGCTTTTGGCTACTGACTGGAGAGTCATAACACATGTGGGTTCAATGCTCAGGGGAAAAAAAGTTCAGCAAAAGATATAAATACTTTGACTTATTTTCACTCTCTGGAACCTCTTATATATATGCTATATATAAGCAGGGATAGGCAAAACAATATAACAAATCACTACAAATGCCAAGATTTATAAACAAGAAGACAACCAAAAAATACTTTTGGTACTTAAGTTTGTTTACTCAGCGTTAGGTTAAATACTGGCTGATTTTGAAATGTCTCCCCTGTGGCTGGTATTGAATTGAAACCTTATCCAAAACTGATGTAAACTTCAGACTCATTTACAGCCAGTTAGTGGGTTGTAAAGATGAATTTAAAAAAATATAGATTAACTTAATTGTTTAGTCTGAAATGAAGTCAGACTGAAGCAGAAATTGCAATTTTGCAAAATTAATTTTTTAAAAGAGCTTAATTTACTTCCTTAATGCCCTTGATGAAAATAAAACCACATTTAGCCCTTCTTTGTCATCACCGACAATTTTATGCAAGACCAGCTCATTTGGGCACCCTGAGTTTTCTGAGTTCTTGATTTGTCTCTCAACATACCCAGGTTTTGAGGTGATAAGTACTAGAGATGAGTCAGCAAGCATTTTATATGCTAAGGGTACATACATCTGATAATGACTTCCCAAAAATAGTGGCCCCCTTGTGATTATCATATAGACTATAATGATGACTTTTACTGCTTATCTGATAATGACTCTTATATTTAATTTTGATTAAAAAAACAATGGTATTAAATTCTTCAAGTGCACATTCATAGCCAGCTGTTTGCACTCACAGATCAAATGTTGCTAGAAAAAAAACTATTTGCATTGTAATCATGACTTTTATTAAGTCTTGTTATTTATTTATTTATTTATTTATTTATTTATTTATTTATTTATTCACTAATATTGACTTAACATTTGCCAGTGTTTGCTACACATATTTTTACTGTCAGTGTTATTGAGTCAAGACTGCAACCATGCTTTTTACTCCAGAAGGTAGGAATAGGGAGATTGAAGCTGTTTTCCTTCATACATATAGTCCTCATTAGACATGGTATGGTACCATACGGCACATAGTGTGCTTTATACCAAACCAATATACAGACTATAGTCAGCCAGCCCCTCTCTGGATACCACCAATCCTTTTGTCTGTCAATATCCAGGAATAACTTGGAAACATATTGATTCTGAGATGAAATTGATTATTTTCTTTGTCACCTTTGGTAGTTTTTGAAATTCGATTTAGAAAAAAAAAGGTTTCAGATTAAATTCTATCATTTCATCTCTCACTGTCACTAAGTAGAGATGCTTTATTAGATTTTAGTTCCTCTTTAAAAGGCCAAATAGTCGCCTACCTTAGTAATGGCTTAAATATGAATTGACGCAAATGGTGCTTTGCTGGTTAAATGTGCACCATAGTAATGCATGTTTCACTTGCAAAAACTGTTGGAAACTTTGGAATAGGAATTTCAACCATTGAAATACTAGATTCAAGCCATTTTCTCAGTGCCACGTTATTGCCTAAAATTTTGAAATGGCTATAAAACCATGTGAGTTCAAATCAAAAGGATGTGAAGGGACTAAAAAGTCTGTCGCAAGCCTCAGTTAGACCGTTGGTAGACAGGGGAATTTATCAAACACATTGCCATCTAAGTTAACCCAATCAACAAAATTTGTATCAGAAAGCTCTCGGTTCTTTTTACAAGGGTAACACCATTAGTTTAAATAAATAACTGATTTTTTGTCATTAAAACACCAACAAGCAAGTGGTTCCAATAAGGGAAGTGTATTGTTGTTAAAATTCCAGTACAGATTACCCCCAACTCCAGAACCAGAACTTGATTTTATAAGGGTATGGACATCAAGCAGGTGGTCATTTTTACCTCCAGTGGTCACTTAATCACCTGTTGTGTGGTCAGTCTTCAGGTGCATTCACACTTTGATGATAAAAACATTTCTTTTGGCCAAGATTCACTCTAGTTGGTTGCAAACTGAAAAGACACACAGAGTTCAGTCTGTTTCACATAAAACAAGTTAGTGAGTTAGTATTCCAGCCAAGTTGTCTCACACTCCCAATATCATTTTGCCAAAAAATGTTACTGGGAAATTGAATTTTTCAAGGACCGTTTCCCAAGCCACGCAGGGCAGGATCACTTGACCTGGGGGCAAAGTTTTTAAGATAGAACCATAGATTTATAGGGGAATTAGTTTCACCTGCATAAACTCAAGTCTGTTTAGTGGAGTATGAACATTATGGATAAAACCAAAGAAAGTTTATTTATAAGAATTAGAAGAACAAATCAATAGACATGCCTTGTGGTGCATTAAATTATGAAGAGCCATGCACACATGTTTTTATTATTTTAAATCACAGTCTTGTTATACCCCTATTCAGTACACCTTCTCTATTTCCTCTGCCACAGAGTTTAATCTGAACAGTCTGTTGTTTTCAAACACCGCTGGTTTTGTGTTTGGCATAGAAAAACATTTAAACATTAGCATATCTCACTGGTGTTTGTTTGACCACATTTACCTCATAGGTATTTACATAATCATTCTAATAATTATCTGATGAAACGGCACCCTTTCAAATGTGTGCAAACTTCCAGTACTAATACTTTGAATGAAAAGCCAGTGGTCAGGAATTAAGGCATACAGCACAGGTTCAAGGGGTACCTTTCTTTTCCACTCCATCAGTTTCAAGATGTCTCAAGAAGATCTTGATATTACTTTTGGGGGGCAAGTAAAATAGGGAGTATCTTATCTTCCAGGATTGATTTCAGTGCTTACCCAAGGGGTCTTTTCATCAAATATGATTCAAGTCGTTGAATTTGGTTCTCAGTTTCAGAGAAAAAATAAACCAGTCTTTTATTGAATGGCTATCTATCCCTAATATCATGTGACTTTTCTGTACTGTACAGAGCACTGTTGCTTTACTGGGTTAGGTTTCTCTTGGGCATTTGCTTTTTTGCCTTGCTATAAAGACTTGTTATGCAGGCAGTATAAAGATAAAATTCTTCAATCCACAGGCCCCACCAAGACAAGAGGTTGATTGCTTTCTGCAGTGTGTGCTTTCCTTCTTTAAATCTGTGTTTCAAGTGTCAGAGAGAGGGTTGTTTTCCTTCTTCCATTTTATCAGTAATTTACCACGTGAAATAAGGATTTGTAAAAAAAAAAAAAAAATCTGACAATCAGTCCTTTGACAAGAAGTCTTTTATATCCAGCCAGTGTTCATATGTTTAGCATCTGACAGTTCTGCCCTAGTAAAACCAAGCACAAAGAACTTTATTTTTTGTCATCCAACAATGAACACTTTTGAGAACATTTCATCAAGTAGAGATGTTAACTAGCATAGTCTACTTCATGATGACAGTTTTACAAGTTTCTTTTTCTTTAATCCCTCTCATTAAATTAAAAAAGAGTAGCTTAACATCTGCTGACCAATGTGGGTTTACTGACCACCAATTTCACACTTAATTAGCTGCAAGGTATCATATCTCTCCTTCCCTGTATCTTTATATTTCTATTCATTTTTTTTTATTTAATTAGCATGTTTTTTTTTCATTCCTGAATTTTGCAAATCTACAAGCCAGATTCTGAAAAAAAAATTGTCAGTCAACTCTGACATTGAGCACACAGTTCTACTACTGCCACTGATAAAGTCTCCAGATGTGATCAGCTGGATTTTACATCTGGCACTACAAGACAGATTTACAACTCTTTTTTTTTTCTAAGATGCCAAATCTGATAGTTTCCAAAATTTTGACCTCAATGACAACTTGTTTGTGTGATTGAGGCTAGTGGTTGGATTAAATCAGCTTTGACATTTATGTTGATTGTTTGACACTGGGTGAAGTGGATTCAAACCACCGGCAGTCTGCTCTCAAGTTTTTTAATCATGTAACACCTGAGCTGCATTGTGGATGGACATATATTTTTTAACGAGATTATTGCTGTGAACCTGGACACCTACCAAGACAAGCCGTGGCTGTGACAATATCTTCCATGCTGGGATAAAGTAGTAATCAATCTACAATGTCTTATTGTGCCTTTAAAATGTGCCAGCGGGGGCACCCTGTGTAGAGGCAGATATTGTTCCTCAGTGATTGGTGACTGGTGAAAAAGAGGTATAATCTTTTTACTGGAAGACTAATCATTTTTTCCAGCACAAAGCATGTTATGCTTTGGAACTGTTCCAGCATGTAAGCTGATTTATCTTATAGTTCTATTTTATGGAAGTTGTCATATGAATGATATTTGGCAAGTTTCTGCAATTCTTCTGACAGAACAGTTTGTTTATGAGTAGGATGGCATGGGATTTTGAAAGCATTTTCATGATATTTGTTCTTTTAAGCTTTATAATGGTTTGTTATTCTAGAGCAAGTGAGAAGGCAATTATACAGCGGCTTTCTTTCAGAAACTTTTGTTCTCCAGTATTTCTTTTTTTTTTTTTTTAAGTACCTTGCAAGTTTTTTTGTCTCCAACCTTGTGAAGGATCAGAAAGATCATTAATCATTTCTATGACAAATCAAATTTTTTAGCTAATGTTAAGTCATAACTTGTCCCTTCAGAAGTAAAATGAGATGAGAAACTGGCAGAGGAGCATAATTACTCCCCTGGGACCTGATAATCCTGCTGTGTGTCTAGCCTAGACTAGTTACTGAATCTCTATAGAACACGAATTACACTCTGTAAAACAGATGAGACTTAGTCAGTTTTTTCGTCACTCCAGTCATAGTGATATGAAGTATATGAAGTGCTGTGTGGGCTAGATCTCAATTAGCTGAGGGCGCAGTATAAATCATTCATGTATGCAGGATGGATTTTGAGATTAACGCTATATGAATCGAGAAAAACCCACATCACAGAGGGGTGCGTGGAATTTTTTATACTTAACTGGACTTATCATTGAAAGGCATCTTTCCATCTTAGTACTTTGACATGACCTGTGGTTTTGTACATGTACTCTTTAATTTTCTTATGATGAAATACATCTGAGCAGTTGTTTGCAACCAAGCAATGGCAAGTTGTATCATCTGTCTGCGGTTCTAGTGTCTGAATATTTAATATTTCCTGTGCTGGGTTTACTTTCAAAAGTTAGTTATCTTGTGGTATGATTGCATGTACTTATTAAGCCCCTCCCTTTTCTCTCTCTCTCTCTCTCTCTCTCTCTTTGATAATAAGTGGAATAGAATGGGCTAAGAGCTATCAGATGATATAAAACAAACTGTTTGTTATCATGTAACTAGCACCCCATTCTCATAGATTAGATCGACCTACATTGGATCGACCTAACTCCCTGGGGGTTCACGCTAAATAGCTGTCAGCCGGGCGGACACGAAAGTTAATTACCCCTTAAAGCTTGTAGTAGGCGGGGACGGACACTTAAGGGGGATTATCTGACAGTAATCTAGTGAGACTCCCCGCGGTGATAGATCGATCTAAAAGTTGTGAGAACAGAGCCTAGGTGTCAATGAAGGACGGAACATGCAAATAAGAAGAAAAGGATATTTCTGACATTGTCGTTCCAACTCATGCTGGTTCAAATGCTTGAAATGGTGGCCTTTTGTCCATTTGTTTCTCATTCTGAGCTTTTTTATACACTTTGATTATACGCTCTATTCCACAAAGCTACATGTGAATATGCTAGGAAATCTAGTCCTTTGTACTGCAGGATTTATGCCTTTTTGAAAGAATGTTAACATTTCCCACACTCAAAATAGTATTTTCTTTTGAGTAACTGAATTCTGTTTGTTTGCATTTGCTCAGATGTACACACCAACTAGCTAAAATTGTGTGTGTTTATTATATTTATGTTTTTTCTTAAATTTTTTGCAGACAACACAGTAGTATTCAAAAGTGAAAATTACAACAGTAATTGTAGTTATAAGGGATACTACCGCTACTTGGAGATATTAAATGCTTCTGGATCTCCTGCTCTATTTGTTGGTGCCAGGTAATATTTTATGAATATTCTACCTAAGAAAAAAAAGAGAGAAAAGACAGATGTGTTATCTCATTGCTATTGTGCAAACATTTTAGTGTTCTATAATTATCTTGCAATATATGTATTACTGAGGAAGATAAGTTAAGAAGAATAAATTGACTTGATGGTAATGTTGTGTATCTGTCAGGTCGAGTAACAAGTTGATCTTTTTCTTTTTCAGGGATTATGTATTCAAACTGAACCTAGAAAATATAAGTGACAGTGTAAGTATTGTTGTCTGTGCATTATGCTCTCATTGCCTACAAGCATATCATGCACTGTGTCAATTTCTACTATTTCTTCTTTTACACACAAAAGTCATCTTGGATGTCCAAATGACACATGGTAAAGTTTCAAGAATTTTATACTTTTTCTTTGTCCCTTCTTGAATTAATTTGGGCTACTTTTACTGATGTAAAAGTAAAATCTTCTGAAGGTGCCACAGTTATTTCTGTTATACCCTGGTTGCACCAAATCTCTCATTTTATGTCTCTGGCTATCTGTATCCTTCCAGAGCAATTGGTTTGTTCCCTTAACGGAAATAGCAAATTTTCTTTGGCAGTGAACTGAAACAGTGGTCATAATTAAAACTTTCTTTGCATTGCCTCAGATTGAGCCTGCAGGAGCTGCTGGCCCCACATTTCCCTTTCCCCTCTAGAAAAATTAATCTGTTTGTTAGATTTGAGTTGATATCTTTAAAAGCTAAAATGTTATTGACATGGTTTACTCACAAAAATCTGAAGTCACTTAGCAATTTAGTGATGTAATGAAATTTCAATATCATTTACTTGATTGTTATTTTTTTCCTTTGCAGGCATCATCAAATTCTATACACCCAGAAAATTATGAAACTTGCGACACAAACAATCAACAGGGAAGCACAAGCAGCAAGGTACCTAACATTCTTTTGCAATCAAAATGAATTGTTTTAAATTTTCTTGGGAAATTGTCTTCATAATGGTATTTTTAAGTATGATAATGGGATATTAATAAAGCTCCAATTCTATGCAGCTTAATTTTACCAATGAAGATTCGTTTTAAAAAGGGATAAAAATGAACTTTTCAGTGGTGCCAATTTAAAGCCATTAAAGACGGATTAACACAACACAAAATTTTTAATGGGCATCATAATTTTCTTAAATTATAAAGAGGTTGTTTGATGTATGGCTCATTTAGTATAAATATTTTAGATCTTGATGGAAATCTATCATGGAACAAAAGAGGCATTTTCTGATGTTGGGAGGCCTTGACATATTGAAAGCCTGATGGAATACTTGATTGTTAGATTATTAAAACAAAAGTGGAATTCTGCAAAGCAGTCTTTTGATCAGTATTAGATTGGCCTTGAAATTGATTGACTTTTTCAAAAGAACAAAGACTCATTGAAGCCATTTGATGGGCTTAGGACTAACAAAAGCTTTGTCTAAAAATATAGTTATATGAAAAAATAATGACATTGACTTTTTCATGGCCTTCAATAAGCTGCAATTTCTTACCATTGGAATTTTGATGACAGTTTTTATTTCCACACTTAAAATTGTTATTTGGTTTAATTTTCAGTGTTTCCAATGTGGAAATCATGTGAGAGTGATTGTCTGGCAGAAAGATGACAGCGAGTTCTATATTTGTGGAACAGGAGCCAAGAAGCCACAGGATTTCATTCTATTTGTAAGTCCACAATGTAGTCAGTTGCATTTCTCCTCCTTCTAGCATAGAGATAAACGCTAATCCATCTGAGTCAGAGTATGGGGATTCAGTTTTTTCAATGAAATGATTTGAGGAGAAATGACCAGCATTTAAACAATAAGTAATTCAGTTTGGACCTGCTTGCAAATTAAACACTGCTGTTGCCAGCTTTTGAATACTTTGTCCAGCTCCGGTCTACCTGGATTTGAATTTGAAGTGAATTGTGTTATAGGATTTCTGTGGGGAAAGAGATCTCCTGTTGTGAAACTGATACATGCCAAGTGCTCTCGAAAGAGTCTAACATTTGATAAACTAATTTCTTTGTTTGGGTTAAATGGAATTAAAAGAGACTTTGTTGCAGGAAGAAAGCATAGTATTTGACTTAAATGAAGTTTTCTACTCAAAAGCTCTTGTGGGTATGCAAGTGTTGGAGTTGAAATTACTAGTAAGGATGTGAATCCACTTTCATTACTCCATACACAATGTAGCTCTTGTGCCAATTTATTTCCTGTAAAAATTATACCAAAATTAAAGTAAACAAGACTACATAAGTGTTTTCAAGTTGTGGCACATAATTGCTATGTGAAAAAAGTAGATTATCAATGACTTTTGAACTTGTTACAGGCTAACCTGACTGTAAGAAAAAATGGAACTTCCAGCAGTGGAGTGGCCAAATGTCCATTTGATCCTGATGATAATGCTACAGCAGTCTGGGTTGGTAAGTAGAGCACACACGTACAGACGTGTATGCATGCATGCACTCACACAACCACACACTCATTAGGCATGCTTGTGTATGCAAACTGTTTAGTTGAGAGGTAAAGCTGTTTTTTTATATAAGTATATATCTAAAATATTTTTGAGGCAGTTTCTCATTATTTGTAATTGTGGTGCTGTTGACATTACAAAAGTAGAAGTTTAGGATTATAACAATAAAACTCTTTTAAAAAAGAGCATTTTTATAGTACCAATGTTAAATTGAAAGTGTATGTGTTTATTACTTAAACCAAAGAGAAAGACCTTAGGTGCACCAAGGTTTAGCAAGCATTGAACTTTCCCATGGCAGCAAATTAAATTGTTTCTTGTACAAAAAAAAGTAAGAAAAAAAACTGGCATCAGTTTCTGGGAAATTCTATTTCCAACAGAAAAGATGTGAGGTCTGCAACAGTAGACCAGAGGTTTGTTTTGTTTTATGCTTTTTTTTTCGTTTGGAAGATCCTAAGTTTGTTTTTACAGGGGAGTTATTTGGTGACAGATGTGAACCATATTAAGCTGATTGGATTTTTTTAAGAAACACTGGAAATGCTGTCTGATATGTTGTGAGAAAACCAGTCTGATTCAATGTAAAAAGCATTCATGACCTTTTCTCTCATCACCATCAACTATGATACAAACTGTTAAGACCTCACACATTTGACTTGAAATAATGCCTATACAGGGTTATATACATGGTGTTAATAGGCACACACCTACGTGTGTTTGTATAGTAACCTTCACTTGAATCCTCTCCAAATTTAATTTTTCTTTATCTTGACATCATCTTTGAAAAAAATTCTTTCTAAATTAAATGGCTGTTTCCCCTGACTTGAACTTCTGCCACTTGGAAAATTCGGGAGGCAAGTTTGATAATAGTGTTTTCTCCAGGTATGATGACAAGTATATCATCTTTCATTACATCTTTTATTGTTGTTATCACAGTTTTTTACATGTTATTTATTCAAGCATTACCAAAATGCTTCCTTCGTTTTATTTTTTCTTTTATTTAATTATTAATGTGATTCAAAAGTTTTTTCAATTGTTTTCAGAGAAAGGCAACCCTGGCAATGTATCAGTCTTGTATTCTGGTACAGTGGCAGATGCTGTAAAGTCCGACCCTGTAATCTACAGACCTGAAATACGCAAAGATGGAAATATTGAGAGCAAACTAGTGAGAACTGTGCGCTATGATTCCAAGTGGCTTAATGGTAGGTTTCATAGACTTCAGAGTGAAATGAACAAGGGGGAAATTATAAAAGATAAAAATCTGCATGTAGCTTGTAAGATATGATTAATGTAGAAAATTCAGGGCTCTTTTCTCGCCATTGGAAACTCCCCTTGGATTGTGGGAAATTGGATTTTACAAAATTCCCCAAGCGTTGATATCCAAGATAAACTAATTTTTAGAACCCTCATGAAGAAATATCTTTTGTATAAATGACAGATGGCCTTAAGAACAAACTAAGAAACCTCAATGAAATACCTCATTCACCAGCTCAAAATTAAGAAATTGTCTGATATTGATCTTGGGGAAACTGAAGCCATGAATTTGTTTTCATGCTGGTGCGCATTGCATTCCCAACAGGCAAGTTTTGATATATTGTTGAGGAAGGTGTTATCTGGTATTGATCAGTTATTTGACAGCACAGGCTGGCAGTAGAAGGTATTACACTGGTGGCGAGCTCTCAGAATAACCAGCAGACAGATGGTTAGAGAGATCCAATCCTGCTGGGAGCTTTCCTGTTCTTTTTCAGTATATATACCTATGTGTTTGTTTTTTCTGTAGAACTTTTTTTTTCTTGGGCAATTTGGTATGTATAATGGTCAGTTTTGAAGGATGCCGCCTATATCATAAGTTGGTTTTCAAGTGGTTATATGAGGATTTGGTGCCTGTCTCTGTCAGATATATTATCAGTTGTTTATAATTATGCTAAAGCTAAAAGTTGACTTCTAGCATTTCCCCAAAAACTAGGAAACGCACTGTGAAAAAAGTCTAATCCACTTTTGGAATTTTTAGATCTGCTGAAGATTATTCTATGGGTGAATACCTCATATAGTTACCATAAGGACAAATTCAGACCACAATATACAAGTTGAGAAGCTTCTTGTTTTATATCATAATCATTTTATGAGTTAATTTAGTAACTGTGCCCTCTTTGTAACACCTGTTTCTAACATTTTACCTGTTATGTATATGGTCTGGTGAATTCTGCTTTTAGTTTTACTGAAAATGAAATTTTTTATCTCTGCATTTTATCTCTATAGGGGAAATGCCATAAAAAGATCCCATTCATATTTTTTTTATAGGACCTAACTATTAAAATAACCACAGAATGTTGTAGAAAAAAATCTAAATAGGTATTATTACAGAGGCGGGAACACTAGTAGGTTATATTCTGAGATCTTCATTCAGATAAGGTCTTTTACCATTGGTCTCAGTAGAGAAAGGTTATGCATGTTTGAATGTATTATATAGTGATTGAAATACAAATGTTAAACAAACACGTCCACTGTATCCATAGTGGTACTAAGTGGTTTCAGAGTGATATATTTGAATTAGCATTTAGAATATATTGATCTAGGTACAGATTAAGAGCAAAGAAAAAACAATGGCTTTGTTTTCACCATTTTAATCAAACAAAGGCACCATGATATTGTTAGAAGTATGATCACGAGTAAGCAATACAAAAATCAGTGTAGGAGGCGCGAGATTGCAGATAATGTAGTTATGCTGTTTTGTTGATTTTATAACATTTATCTGTTCGTTGGAGTAATATTATCACTCTTGCAAAGGGCAGCAGTGAACATATGCTGCTGAGTTTCAGAAAATTATTCACTCTCTGTGGTGACTGCTGCATTCTTTTGGTTGAAGCTGCTGATGTTTGAATGTTGTTTCAGTGATAGACTGTCATAACAAAATCATGTCGTATTATTTTGTCCAAGAATATTTTGTCCATTTGAATTACAAATCTTTTGCAGATTAGTACATTACATTCTTTTTTTTTTTTTTTTTTTTTTTTTTTTTTTTTTTTTGTGACCATAGTTATTTGTAAAAATTCATAAAATAAAGAGATGTGGTTATAGAGATGTGGTTTGGAAAATAGCCCTCTTTATGTTATTGTAATAGTCTAAGTACAATTGAGACCAAAGTCAATCTTGGAAGAGAAATGATCTTAAAGTGAATGCATTCACCTTAATACAGCAATTTGCACCTTTAATCAGAACTAGCTGAGCTGGGCTAATTGGGTTGTCTTAAAACTGTGGCACAGAGTCTTCATTATGTCTTTAATCTTAAAATGACTTTACTGTATTTATTGAACTGCCTGTGAAACTGGAATGATGTTATTACTCACACAAGATATTTCACTGACCTAAACAAGCTTCTCAAATATCTGACGTAGCTGACTATTTCAAAATTTTAGGTATAATTGAAATCTCTTTTCAGAACCACATTTTGTTGCCTCTTTTGACATCAGTACAGATGATGAGGAGTACGTGTATTTCTTTTTCCGAGAGACAGCGGCAGAGTTTGTGAACTGTGGGAAGGCAGTGTATGCCAGAGTGGCCCGAGTATGCAAGGTATGTTATAGATACAAGCAATTATATACCAACTGGTATGCTGTTAGATTAAAATGTAGATATTGTTGTAATTGCTGCAACCCAAAGATGCAGATTTGCATTTATGCCAAAAACAAACAAGAACACTTTTAAGACAAATATTTTCCAGATTCTGGTTCATTTGATTGTTTTGGAGAAGATAAAATTTTGCCTTTGTTTTTTTAAAGTTTACACATACAAGTAAAAGCAAAGATGTAAGATTGTGGTTGAAGATGAAAGTCCCCATATTACCTTTGAATTTGTGAAAGATGAGGTTATGGAACAACCCAGCACATTTGAATACAGCTCATCTACTGCATTCACATCCAGTGTGTGCCTTAACTTTGAACAAACTTGGAGAAGCAAAACATGGCAGCTGATTCATGAAACCAACTGTTTTTTTTTTCTGTTAATTTCTGCTACATCCTCAAGATACCCATAATTTTCTATCTTTAATATTATTTGGCATGGTACCTGATATTTTTCCATGGAGATAAAGATCACTAAGTATCAAATACAGAAGAAGATATGACTAAATCAATCTATTTGTCCAAATTTGAAATTGCATGATTTGTGCATTTGGCATGGGTGTGATGAGTCTCCAGATTACATGTACTGCTTACATATTTTAGGATGACAAAGGAGGGCGCAATGCATTAAAAGACAACTGGACCACCTATCTCAAGGCAAGACTCAACTGCTCACTGCCTGGAGAGTTTCCATTTTATTTTAATGAGCTGCGTAAGTAGACAACCATTTTCATATCATCATATTTTTTTACGTTATATGAAATTACAGAAAGGCAGTCTTTAGAATTTTAGAATGAAGAAAAGTGGCATAAGACTACTTGCTTACAACTCACACTTTGAGTTATCTATTGGATTGAAATTGCAGTTTGATTTAATATGTTGTAGACATGTCTGTTTATAGCTTTCTATTCCTTTCTTTCAGAGGATGTTGTTAGAGTGAACAATGCATTTTATGCTACTTTTACAACAAATCTGTAAGTACATTTCAGCTTTCTGTTTGCATTTTATTCTAATTGTTATATCTCCTTAATCTGACTATTCTCTCATTGCAGCACATGTTTTTGATATCAGTAATATTGCAGCACCCTTCATCTTGCTCCCTGTCACCAGTAGTGTTACTCATGGTTGCTACATTGTATCATATTTCAGCAATGGGTTTTATGGTTCAGCAGTGTGCACTTTTGACTTGTCAACCATAGAAGATGTATTCAACAATGGCAAGTTCAAGGAACAAAAGGATGCCACATCCAACTGGCTTCCAGTTCAAGAAAGTAATGTGCCACAGCCAAGACCAGGAAAGGTGAGGGAGTGGAATAGTGCTTGTTGTATTAGAGATAAAATCCTCTGGATTTTAAATGAAAATTATCAAACATAAGCCGAAATATTAAGCTAACAGTATGAAAATATTTTGGCTTGTGTTTGATAATGTTCATTTATGGTCCAACTACCAAGCTAATGAACAAATTTGTTCCTCTGGATTTATCTGAAAACTATGATATTTGAATGTTGTATTTATTTCATGCACCCCCCTATAGAGCTGTGTTTGCATTTTACAAATTTTTTGAAAATGGTCCACTTTCACCTGTTCTGTGTACATAAGTAGTTGCTGTGCAGCACATTTTTGTAACATATTATTTCATAATTTATTTACTTACTAGTACAAGTAAACATTTAATTGTAAATCAGAATTGATGAGAAAACTTTGCCAACAGTAAAACATTGTAATTCAAACTATAACTCAGAGTCATTAAACTTTTACTCAACTGAATTTTACTTGCATGAATTTTAGTAAGCTATAATGAGCTTACCTTTATTAGATTATCATGTATGTAATTCTGTGAGAATGGATTATACCTATGCAACTTTATGTTTGACATGGTTTCAACTCTAAAAGAACATGCCAAGTAACTAATAAAACATAGTCTAGTTTGCCTTGGTCTCTTGGTCTCTGGCCTGTAAACCCCTGTTGTGTTTCTCAATTCAGCATAATTTACATTTTATAAAAAAAAATTCCCTTCAGTGCTCTAACAACTCGCTGGGCCTGGATGATACCATCATCAACTTCATCTATTCCCGCCCCCTTATGGACCAAGCTATTCCAATGAGAGAGGGGAGACCATTGTACTACAGAAGTGGAGTCATCTTCAGAAAAATTGCTGTAGAAAACAGTTTGGTGGCTGGACAAAGGGTGCTGTATCTGGGCACAAGTAAGTACGACAGCGAGCTTCAAATTAAATGTTACAGTAACTGGAATCAGAAATTCTGTTATAGGAGTGTATTTGCTTTTGAGCAGTGTTATTAGAGTCATAATAAGTCAACATTTTTTTAGAATGGAAATATGGAAATATTGACTGATTTTTTAACAAGTAGCATCTGTGGGACAAATAAAAAAGAGAGTATGTGAGTATTTTCTGTTTTGGGTAGATTTGCAAATAAAATAATAACTATGAAACAAAAAAGGTACTGTTATAATGATGTTCCCATTTTGTTTACTTTAAGATAATGCTAAAATCTACAAATTAGCCAGCACAGAGTCTTGTAGTCAGGTCAATGAGGAGTGCACCAGCCTTAGCTCAGTTATAGAGCCTTTACAAGATGATACCATTTTATGGAGCATGAAATATTTTAAGCATGTAAGTATTACAGTGTGGTGATGATTAAAAAAATTAATGATCAGTTTATTGAATAATTAAAGATGTTGAATGCTCTAAACAAAAATGAAAATCTGATGCAAGGAAAAGATGACTTATAACCATAGGTTTTTGATACCAAAAAATATTACAGTGTAGTATGTTTCAGTTACATCACATGATTTTGTTTCTCCACTGTAGATGGCGCCCCTCACCAAATGGCTTACATAATGTTTTATAACATAGAACACACAATAAAGGGGGAAATAATAAGACCTTATGAAATTATAGTTAATAACACCCTGCTTTCCCCCTCTTTCAGTCCAGTGGTATGTCCATGCTATACCTGGGCACAGATGACCAGGTGACCCAGGTGCCAGTTGATGACCAGTGCAACCACTACAAGACCTGTGGTAGCTGTACACATGACCCTCACTGTAACTGGGACGTCAGTAGTAAAAGCTGCACTGCTGACACATCTAGGTATGAAGTTATTTCTATCAGGCCTGTAGACAAATATTTCAACAGGTTGGGGGTCTTCTGAAATGGGGGACCTTTTATCTTCTCTGGTTGACCCAACTTGATAAATGACAAAGAACCCAGAACCATTTCTGATTCAGAGCAAAACTCTTTTGGTCAAACGGTGAACTTCCAAGACCCCCTTCTCTACAAACTTGATTTCTGTATAAAGAATGTGCGTAATTTGTTTGCTTTTTAAGTCAAATTGATTATTAGAGAAAGGTGTCATTTTCTTTTTTCACCACATACTAAGCAGTACTACTAGACCCTATCATTTTCTTTTTTTATTAAATTTCAGCTCAAAGGCCACGTGCAGTGCCATCATACATACAGAAACAGAGTCTGGAGCCGCTGTAGTTTTACAAGGATCCACTAATTATAAAAATTGGACACATAATGGCACATTAATGGAGTGTCAGCCAGTCAATAAAACCTGTGTCATGACGGCCACAGGTGATCTGGTACTGTTGAAGCCTCGCAGTCCAAAGTCTGAGGGCGAATACACATGTAACCTATATGGAGGGGACAAGATTACATATAACCTCACAGTGCTGAGTAAGTCATTTTGCTGCTGTCAGCTTTTCATTTTATGCATTTATTGTTGTTATAATATAATATAATATAGTCTATACATATTGAAATTTGTTTAATTTCATACAAAAAGTTGGGTGGAAAGGACAAGGAATATTTATATTATTAAGATTTTAGGGTAATTATTTTATTACTGTTATGTCTATGGTAGCTGCATTTCAAATCTTCCTATTTAGACTGTGATTTTTCTACATAGCACCACATCCCCCTGTTTTATATACAGAATATCATAATTCTTTTACCATTTTGCTCAGGTCCCCAAGATGCAGCTCTAAAAAGATACGAAGAATGGTGTGATAAGTTTGATGAATACAAGAACCTTGTGGAAGAATATAAGGTAAGCCAATACTATAATACATACTATACTGTTACTGGAGTAATCTATATCTGTTCTTACAATTTACTAATATTTTTATTAAGAAGCAGGATGATTTGACAGTTAGGATATTGAAATGTTCAATATGATTTTCTGTACTTTCAGGAAAATGCATGCAATGCAGGCTGTTTACGAAATTTCACATGTAGCTAGCCTACATCCTGGCAGATGGGAGAGCAAATACAAGTACAGGGTCTGCCATGTGTGTGTTTGGATGCTGAGGCACAAGAAAGTATGCTGTGTTGCAGCCTTCAGATTGAAGCACACAGTGGAAGGAATAACCTACCAGACTTAGTTTAGTTCAAAAGCAAATTCCAATTCTGAATAAGCATTATCAGAAGTTGAAATGACAGGCAAAATGCTCCTGACATTTTGATTTTGGAAACCATCGTTTTGTGAGATTGATCGTAGACATCATTTTGATGTTGTGCTGTGGATCTCCAGAAGAGACGGTAAATTACTGACGGCAAGAAAGATGGTTTCGTCTAGACAGATTGAGAGATTCAGACGGGCAGACAGTATCTCTTCAGTTGCCAATCAATGCGATGGCAAACCATTTTCAGCCTTGTTTTTCTCTTATGTTCTTATCTGTGATACTTGACAGCTGAGTCGGCTGAATGAAGACATGGAACAAAACAATAAAAGGAAAAAAAACTTGATGAACATGAGTAATGCAGCTGAGCTGCAGCAGAATTTTCTTTCCCCATTTTATCATAGTGGATGTCTAGATGCAGTGCACCTCAAGCAGTGGAATCACTGGCAGGGCTTGGTAACCTTAATCTAGCACCACACTTTACTATGGATTTGTTTGAGCCACAGCTTCCCATCCTCTCTATACCAGCAGAAGTATTGCTGGAGCCAATATGTTCATAATAGACAAGGAGGTCCCTTGCAGCAGTAGACATTTTAGAATAGGACAGANACATTTGACAGCTTTGCTGCCTTGTATTTTTATTAAGAAGCAGGATGATTTGACAGTTAGGATATTGAAATGTTCAATATGATTTTCTGTACTTTCAGGAAAAGGCATGCAATGCAGGCTGTTTACAAAATTTCACATGTAGCTAGCCTACATCCTGGCAGATGGGAGAGCAAATACAAGTACAGGGTCTGCCATGCGTGTGTTTGGATGCTGAGGCACAAGAAAGTATGCTGTGTTGCAGCCTTCAGATTGAAGCACACAATGGAAGGAATAACCCACCTGAGTTTAATGATTTAGTTCAAAAGCAAATTCCAATTCTGAATAAGCATTATCAGAAGTTGAAATGACAGGCAAAATGCTCCTGACATTTTGATTTTGGAAACCATCGATTTGTGAGATTGATCGTAGACATCATTTAGATGTTGTGCTGTGGATCTCCAGAAGAGACGGTAAATTACTGACGGCAAGAAAGATGGTTTCGTCTAGACAGATTGAGAGATTCAGACGGGCAGACAGTATCTCTTCAGTTGCCAATCAATACGATGGCAAACCATTTTCAGCCTTGTTTTTCTCTTATGTTCTTATCTGTGATACTTGACAGCTGAGTCGGCTGAATGAAGACATGGAACAAAACAATAAAAGGAAAAAAAACTTGATGAACATGAGTAATGCAGCTGAGCTGCAGCAGAATTTTCTTTCCCCATTTTATCATAGTGGATGTCTAGATGCAGTGCACCTCAAGCAGTGGAATCACTGGCAGGGCTTGGTAACCTTAATCTAGCACCACACTTTACTATGGATTTGTTTGAGCCACAGCTTCCCATCCTCTCTATACCAGCAGAAGTATTGCTGGAGCCAATATGTTCATAATAGACAAGGAGGTCCCTTGCACCAGTAGACATTTTAGAATAGGACAGACAGTAGTCTCTTTTTTTATTGTATTTAGAAATCTGGCAGAATTTTATTGAATGCAAAGTATGCATATATCAGTAATTATTTTAGTTGCATTTTCATTGTGCAGTAATTCCATGTTTGACTGAATTTATATTGTTAATGTCTCATAATCTTTCAAAAAAAAAATGCTGTCCTATTAGAATTAATTAGAACAACTTACATGTTTAATAATGTAAATTTACAATCTTGATAGTATGCAAACTTAGATGATATTATTCTAGACACAAAACTTACTTCAATCAAAAACAGGATTATCTAAAATACACATTTCCACCATGACATTGCTTTCACCTGCTGTATACATGACATAAGAAATTCTTGATTTTATTTACAAAAAGGAGCTGTCCTCTTTTTATATAAGTGTGTATAATTTACATAAAAATGAGATGTCTAATTTGGTTTAAAATTACAGGTAATTGACTGAATTTACATCCTATCTGTAATTATATTTGATTTGTCATTCTGCAATATTGTAGGTTACGTAGCAAAAGAGGGACCAAACTTGCACTTACCACACCACGCCATGGCACTGGCAGTAAAACAGTATTAATGTGGGGCAGGTTACATGATAGGAAGAAAATATTAGTAATAGGTTTTATAAGCATCTGTTACAAATTCATAGCACTAATGGAAGTAGTCCCTGTAGATAGTGTATTAATTGTTTATATTCGGTAATTGCATTTGTACATGATCAGGTTAATTTTGTTAATTCATTTGCGTAATTTATTAACAGTATATGTATATATATATATATAAAATAAATTCTTTTTTAATGTTCAGTTATTTCTCTTTTTTGACCTTTTCTCATCCTATGTGGAAATAAAACTAAGCACTAGTGACATATTGTTTTCAAAATAGTAATTATAAATATGTACAGTAGAGATGTAAGTTATGCAAAAATAGTAATTATAAAAATATACCTAAAACTGCCCTATCACAACATATTCTTCACAGCTACCATCCAAGATAGCTTGTTTGGCATCATGCTGAGTATATGTATATAACACATCTTATGAACTAAAAATGCATTTTGATGATATGCAAGATTCAAAATATAATTCTGCAAAATAAAATATTCAAATGTTTCCCAGCAGCAACTTCAATTCTAGGAAATGAAAGTGTGTTTCCATAAGTGAACGCAGCAAACCATTTTCTCCTTTTAGTTCTTGAAAAGGGACGTTGCTACGTAAATTTGTTTGATTGCCCCAAATCTGGGATGTTTAAATGGGGGTGATGGACTGGATAAAATGTTCTTCCATTAAAATGATTCTCTTTTCTCTTTTGATAGCTATCTGAGAATGTGTTTCATAATGCATGTGCTCTAAAGGGGTATAAGTTCAGTGAGGAATCTTGCCAAAGCTTGTCATCTTTGCATTATAGTAGTGATTTTCATGTGGTTCTGGCAGGGTCTGTGTAACATCCACACTAAGATAACCAGAGGAGCTTGAACCAGAGTTCACGTAAGCTTCCTCTTGAACAGCAGACGCCATGGCAAGATAACCACTGTAATCATTGCAAGTCTCCTGGTCCACCAGTATCTCCTGTAGTCTGTTTGATAACAGGGTAAATGTTGGCCTGTCATCTGGGTCTGCTGCCCAACACTTCAGCATCAATTCACGCCTGAGGGGAACAGAAAGGTTACTATACAGGGGAGATCAAAATCCAATATTTTCGTAACTGTTAATAAAAGAGCCACTAAAGCTGCATTAATGTTTTTAAAATATAATTCATAAATAAATAATTCTACATTGTCAGCATCCATGTAGACTTAATTTCATTAAAACAGTACTGTGCACATTACATGTACATGTATCAATAACTATTATCTGAATGATGGACAAGTAAATATGTGTAAAAGCATCTCTTACACTTCATCTGGGCAATAATCTGGTGGATCAAGCCTTCTCCCTGATGCAATGTAATTCTTTATCTCATAATTGTCCACATGTGGGTAAGGTGTTTTCCCTCTTGTTAACAATTCATTAAGCACTATGCCAAATGACCACTAAAAAGAAGAGTATGCTATCATTCAAAATTCCAACTTCACCTGGAATCTCTATATGGGTAATTTTTATAATGAGTTTTTTTAAATGTACCTCACTATTCCAGGGAGTGTCCTGAATTTTAGAGCACTTTTAATTAGGCTCTTTATTATGAAAATCTGCTGTTATGAATGACATATCATCATCACCATCATCTCAGGATTCTCCACTTTTGGCTGTTATCATTATGGGCAGCAACAAACTCCCCAAATTTCTGTTCTTGGCCCACCTTTGGATTTTGTTCTTACTTTCTCCAATCTGTAGAATATTTGGTATAAATGTACTACAGAGGTACTTAATATACTTCAGAAGTGAAAAAAAAGAAAGAAATGCTGTTGTGTCCTACCACATCTGACTGTGTAGAGTATTTTCCCTCTGTCAGACTCTCCAGTGCCATCCACTTCACAGGGAGAGGGTGCTTGCCCTGGTCATCCATCCTATAATAGTCTTTCACAAAAATGTCACGAGACAGGCCAAAGTCTGCAATCTTTGTGATGTAATAAGCATTTATCCTAAATATGAATAAAAAACATTTGTTGTGATGGCTGAAGTGAAAAAAATCTTCAATTTTAGATAAATTTGGCAATTTGAGCGAAAAAGAACAGTTTAAGTATTTGGTAACATTTTAGAAAGCATGGTGTTATCTAATATATTTTCCTATGGTTTTCATTCACAAACAGCTGATGAATATTTGATAACCTAAGCTTAAAAAATTATATTTTAAGACCAGCATAATGTAAAATCTATTATTAGTGCTTTGGTTGTGAGATGTAGTCAGGTTTTCTCCCAGCTTTCCTAATTTTATGCCAAGCTTAAACTATGGCAATTTAAAGTGCCAGCCTGAAGGTATTTTATGCAATGGAAAATGCCCCAAAGTAATATTTTTATTATGCTAGTTATCTATCCCAATTTAGACCACAGACAGAGTAAGCCCCATCAAATATAAGTTAATCTGATGTTGATATTTCTTTTTGAGCCTTATTTAAATGAATCCTGGTTTGTTTAGAATTTTAAGTCACTTAATTACAAATGGTACTAAACATCCAACCCAACTGCCAGGACAGGTCAAGCAAGCAATGATTCTGAGTAGTAGAAATATGCCTTTTTTTTCTTTCATGGAAAATCAGATTTGGCACAAAAGCCCCATATAAAGCACCTTTTAATCAAGGTGACATTCAGAATATAACCCTTCTTATTACACACTGACTGTCACCTTTTAAAACTAAGCTTTGTAACTTACATGCAATTTCTTGCAGCTAAATCTCTATGTACAAATTTATGTGCAGCAAGATATGCCATTCCATTTGCAATTTGCATCCCAAAATGCAGTAGGTCCCCAACATTAAGAACCTAAATGGAAAAAAAATCATATCATATCTTACTTTCTCAAGAGTATTATTTACAAAGCAATTTACAAAGTAAATTCTGAATCATTTTTTCATAGTACATTAATTATGATATCAATAGAAAATATTCTCAACAGCTGTCTTAAACTTTCTGGAAAGGTACTGAGAAGCTGATTGCTAACAAAATATTTTGATTGCACATATAATAATATATATTCATTTTGTTCATTTTGCAAAAGGTATCACATACATGCTCTGGTTTAGCAATGTATGACTTCAGGTCACCAAAGTGCATGTAAGGTAGAACAACCAGGGCATTCTCTTCATCAAATGCCACTCCATGCAATGACAGCACGTTGATATGGTGGAAATCTTTCATAATTATAGCTTCTTGCAAAAACTCCTCCAGTTGCTCTAATGTGTGGCTGTGTCCTACAACAAAAAAAGAAGTATTTAAACCTGTCTGTTTTAACATTTAAGTGACATGCTCTACATAATGTCAAAAAACTTTGTTGTCCATACCCATGATGCAGTGTGTTGAGTGTGGACTCAGTGTCAATCATGAGGACTGCAATCTCTTAATTTCATAGAGAAAATATTTATTTTCATATATATTTATTTATGAAAAGTATTTAAAATATAGAGTGTCTTTTCGGGCTGCACATACCTTTCAATGTTTTAATTGCAACTTTTGTAGGGTTTTTCAAGTTCTCATCCAAGAGTTGCCCCTCATAAACTCTGCCAAACTGACCTGAATTATAAAAGTAATTAATTGTAAAATAATATCAACTTTCGTTTTATTTTTAAATAAAGTACTCAAAATTTGAAAGGCAATTAAAGCAGTTCTTATTCAACTCATATTTTCATTTCTGTCAAACTATGGCTGTCCAAACCAAAATTCATAACCATTTATCAATGCTATTAGTCTCTGAATTTCAATTATTATTCTTAAGATAATTAACTTAAATTTTTAAAAAAATGGTCAAATTCCAGACTTAAAATAATTTAATGTTTAAAAATATATCAGTACCATAATCACTTTTAACACCATTTAGACAAAAATCAAAGTCAAAAATGAAGAAACCTACTTAAAGATTACTTTGAAAGTAAAATTCAAAAGTTAACCCATTTAGTTAAACTACTTCTAAGTGTTAAAATCCCACCTTGTCCTATAACAATTGAAAGCTGTATTCTGGCAATATTAATCCTATGGGCACTCAACTGTTCTTGAGTAGACTTGGACAGCAAGGGTTCACTTCTGTCAGCTTTGAAAATGTATCAGTGGTAAACCATATATTTTCTTATTTGATATTATGTAAAAAGAAAATGAACAAATATCCATATTTCAACTGAATATCAATTAAATATAAAGGGACCAATTCTAAAGCAGAAATCAAAATTTAACTGATTCTAAATTAGGACATATCCAGAAGTTTTTGGCAAAATCAGCCCATAAACTAACATACCAACAAAGACCAAAAAAAAAACTTCCTTAATTGGTGGATGTATTCAGTTTATCTAATCACACATGAAAAATGTCATCAGATACTTAAAGCTACAGTTAAACAAGATACATAATATGAAGAAAAATGTTGTAAAAATGTTTGAAACCTGATTAAATTCATAAAATTACACAAGTCAGGGGCGGATCCAGAGCTATTTTCTGACAGTCTGCTAAATTATCTTTGTTGATCCATCCTGTATTTTTTACCGTCTTCTGAGAGAAAAAATTGGATATCTGTCAATGTAAACTTGAAAATCTGACCATCTTCTGAAAGACCCAGAAGACGGCCTCAATCCGCCCCTGGAGTCATATGTTATATGATTTTCTACCCACCTGTTGGAACTTCAGGGGGTGACATATTTACTCTTCTGTCATAAGTATTGAAGTGCACCATTTGTTTTTTTGCACGACGCCTCTGTCTTTGTTTGCGCCTCACTAACACCAGCACCACAATAATAACAACAATGAGCACAAATGCTCCTACAGCCGCACCTACAATAGGCCATAGTAAACTGTCTTCTGCAGGGTAGTCTAAGTAGCCTGCTGTGAAATTTAGATATCCAACTGTCACCTAAAATTTTAATTAATTCTTTATTAAACTTAGATGTTAATTACAATTCATCAAATCATAAGTTCAGTTTTTACTTTTACCATTTTATGGAGTCCAGCTAGGGGTTAGGTTGGCAATATAGGCAGGGTGGAAGAAAAAAGTGTCCTCAAGTCTATATGCTTTAAAACAGATACTTGAAAGAATACTGAAGGTACAAATCCAAGTATGGCAGTGGTTTGGAGGCAGCATCATCATGTGCTTACCAACACACGTGGTGAGTTGTTATGTCCAATGACATTTCCCAATACAGGTTTTGATGTAGGAGGTGAGCAGGTTAGCTGGTTTGAGGTGACATCAGCTATGGTACATCTGCCACTCTGGCCTACTTGAACCATGTAGTGATTGGTATTTGCTCCTGATGTTAGCCTCTCTCCCTATAATTGTACAAAGATGAGAAAATTGGTTATAAAATTAATTTATAGCAAGTAACAAAAATGCATTTATGCATAAGTTAACTGTGGAGAGCAATCCTTATGATAAGTGACTGTAACCTATAAGTTGATAGAAATCTGCAGTTTACTGTTACTGTAATCCTAATGCATTAAGTATTTCCTTTTTTCTTTACAGATACTGTTAGATACATATGAAGTGAAAAACAAAAGAACTATTGCAAATTTAGTGTGTAAGTTATCATATAAAGCGGAACATTTTTTTCGGTGTACTAAAGGGCATCAATGTTCTTTACCTTTATATCAATCTGTGGACGAGTTTTATAGTCAAAAGGTTTCAACTGGTTAGGCTCTGAAAATGTATGGATCACGGGATCTTGATACACTTGCAACATGCCATAGCTCACAAGTTCAGCACTGATATTGGCATATTTATAATATGTCTCAAACTGTAATCCAAGGTAAAACTGGAGAACTCCTTGCTCATTGAGGAGTCCGTCTGGGTTGTCCACTTGTCTGCTGGTATACTCTGGTGGCAGGGTGATGTGTGGAGTAGGACATATCAACCTGGTCTTGCTGTTTTCCTCCAATTTGCACAACTTTACATGAAGAAAAAAGAAAGAAAGTACAAGCTAAAGATTTGCTTTCAATGCCACAGTGTGTGATAGATTGCATGCAATATTTTTATTTTTCCATTTAATAAGTAATCTTGACAAACCATGTTTTCTTTACTTATTTCCATTGGCAATAAAAGGGACATTTTCAAGGAATAATTTCTTTCAAAGTTCCTTCGAATTATTTTGAGTTAAAATTACATGTAGTTTGCTTGAGGTGTGTCTTAAGCAGAACATGCACTTGTTCTAATGAATATATCATGTTATCATATTATATGACATACTTAAGTATTAGAACAATATACTAGTACATCTTGTACTTACAATGGATATGAGGCTCTGGTCAAGTTTGTCTTGATAGACAATGTATACCAACATAAATGTCTGGGCAGAAGAATCCATGTGCCTTCCTATCATGGTCAATGGTATACCACCTCTGTTCATTCAAAATACAAACACTTTAAATTGACCATTCATGGGGTATTGGTAAAAATTTCCTGGCCCTATGGCAATTTTCTAACAATGACTAACCATCAAAACAGCAAGTTCCAACATGTACCATTTCTAGTGTTAGGCCAGACAAAATTGGTAACTTGGTTTATGTAAATAGGGTAGGTGAACAGAACTTTTTTTTGACACAACAATTTTTGAGAAAGATACCATAATTCTTTCATTGCTCATAATGATGTGACATACATCTAGGGCAATGCTTTAAAGATCAAAGAAGAAGATGCAAGACAACTTACATCTAACTAGAATTCCTTCAGAAATATTTTTGGGGAGAATGAAAAAATGACATAAATATACCCATCATAATGAAGTATACACAGTTGGATATTGACCACCAAGGATATATGTTTTATAAAGAGAGAGATGAAATCATTAAAATGTTATCAAAATATAATATGCATTCAAAGTGTCATGCCTTAATATTTATATCTATGATATCCCCAAAAAGAGATATTCAAAAGTTACTTATCAATGAAAAACAACCAGACCTTAAGATGGTTTTTGTTGGCTCGATGCTCTCTAAAACAGGATCAGGTCTGTATGTGTATTCTCCAATTTGTTTTTCTGATGGTGGATTGGTCAGATTAGAATAAATCTTCACTGAAACACTGATGCTTTCATTACTCAAAGGTGGCCTCATAAGAATGAAGGTATCAGTTTGGTTCTCAATAATGCTAAAACAGAAGTTCAAATAGAATATTTTAGAATTAAATTTGCAATTAGATGTATGATGTTTTAGTCATGGGGAAGCTTATAAGCAAACAAATAATGAAATATGGATGTGTGCAAAAAATGAAAAAGATTGTAAGAGAAAGTAGAGTCATTTTAATCTAATGGGTATGAACAAACTGATCTATAAAAAGCATACCTTACCAAGATTTTGTCCCAAATAAGACAGTAACATTTTGGAGGTATCCCCCTTGCAATGCTATGCGTGGACCACCAGACTTTGGACCATAACTTGGCTCCAGTGGCGAGTTAATGAGGAAAGGCTCCTGTACAAGATGTGAAGTAAAATCAAAATTTTCCTACTTTTATAACAAATGTTCAGAGAATAGCATGAGCTTTTAAGCCTTGGCATATATTATAATTTCCACTGAGACTGAAATATAAAATCTCTGGGCTTACATCAAACCAAGCTTTATGAAAAAGGTGGCCTTTGATACACCAAATATTCCATTAAAATGGATTTTAATAATATAATAGCCTTCCATAATACTGGATGTTTAATATTTCACAAATTCACAAATTTCTCTACATGAAAAAAGATAACATTCTTACACAGTTTCGTCCAGCTGACTCTCTGTAAGTTGTTTCCTTACACTGGCATTTCCCAGTCACATTGTGGCATGCATTTATTTGTTGACTAACTGTTCCTTCAGGGTGACAGTTACAAGGGATACAGCCATCTGCGTGTGATGTACTGAGGCCATAGAACCCTGCCTTACAGGTGTCACACTTGTCTCCATGGACATTGGCTTTACAGGTACATACACCTCCAACCTATGCCAAGACCAATATAGAAGGTAAGTAAGAATGACAGCTTGATTCTATATCAATGCATGATTTGTTTCAGATTGCATTACATAAAAAAATGTAAAAATGGTCTGAGAATTCAGATGAAAATTGATGTCCATAAAGTTATATATACAAAGTTTTCAGAGTTTCATGGCTAATCATGAATTATGAAAGAATTAAAATGTAAAAATCTACTCAAATTGTCAATAATAGAGTATATTGTTGTTGGTGACAGTCACATACAAAAATCTGCAATATAACCTAGTGGGTGGATCCAGAGATATTTTCTGACAGTCTTCCAAACTATCTTTGTTGATCCATCCTCCATTTTTGACTGACTTCTGTCAGAAAAAATTATATGCCTGCCAGTGTAAACTTAAAAATTCTGACCATCTTTTGGAAGATGTTTTGTGACAATATACCAAATAAGTGTAACATTTGTTTTTGATTGCATTATATAAAGTAATGTAACATTTGTACCCTTAGTTTCAGAGGACACTGAAAACTCTATAATCAAAAATGTCGGATGGTAGAGATATGCCAATAGTAGAGAGGGGAGTGACCATTGTCCTTTAAAGGTACATACGAACCGAGCATCGGTGGAGTGTGGATTCCCAGTAACACATGTAAACCACTTCTACTAGATTCTTATATGACTCAAATTAATTCGACATGCCAAGGCATAAACTGAATAGATCAATCGATCAGCCATAAAAGACCTTTAGACTGCTCCTTTCTTTAAATTNAGTTGTTTCCTTACACTGGCATTTCCCAGTCACATTGTGGCATACATTTATTTGTTGACTAACTGTTCCTGCAGGGTGACAGTTACAAGGGATACAACCATCTGCGTGTGCTGAACTGAGGCCATAGAACCCTGTCCTACAGGTGTCACACTTGTCTCCATGGACATTGGCTTTACAGGCACACGCACCTCCAACCTTTGGCAAGACCAATATAGAAGGTAAGTAAGAATGACAGCTAGATTCTATGACAATGCATGAATTTTGTTTCAGATATTGCATTGTATAAAAATGCAAATGAGAAAACAACAATTGATTTAGATCAAGATCAAAATATTAATAAAACTTATAATCAGAGTCACTATTAAGAAAATGGTTGGTGGCATAAAATGGTCTAAGAATTCAGATGAAAATTTATGTCCAAAAAGTTATATATACAATGTTTTCAGAGTTTCATAGCTAATCATAAATTATAAAAGAATTAAAATGTAAAGATCTACTCAAATTGTCAATAAGAGAGTATATTGTTGTTGGTGACAGTCACATACAAAAATCTGCAATATAATCTAGTGGGTGGATCCAGAGACATTTTCTGACAGTCTTCCAAATTATTTTTGTTGATCTATCCTCCATTTTTTACCATCTTCCATCAGAAAAAATTGATGCCTGTCAATGTAAACTTAAAAATTCTGACCATCTTTTGGAAGATGTTGTGTGACAATATGCTAAATAAGTGTAACATTTGTTTTTGATCGCATTATATAAAGCAATGTAACGTTTGCACCCCTTAGTTTCAGAGGACTCTGTAAACTCTATTATCAAAAATGTTGGATGCCAAAAATGTGGTATGCCAATAGTAGAGAGGGGAGTGACCATTGTCCTTTGATACTCCAGGATGAACATTTGCCACTTTTAAGATAGAGCACATTCAGAACAGCAGACTAACAGATCCCTAGATCAAATATGGCCAACCCACTTGAATGCTTGTTGCGTAATCCCTGTAGTGAAGCTATTAATTGAGAATTAAGCAGCAAGCATTTTAGTGGTTCAACATATTTGATCTTGGAATCTGTTAGTCTGGTGTTCTGAGTGCTCTCATAAACATACTTTAGAACATGTTGTCCCAGGTTCTGTGCCATCCGGGTGGCACCCACATGGTACACACGGCAACAGATAATTAGGGATACGACCCCCAGATTGTCTGTAGAACCCATCAACACAGCTGTCACAGTGCTGGGCAGAGCCTTCAGTGTTGTCCTGGCACTGACATGTGTACGGCAGCACGCTGGCATCACAACTACTGGCGTGGCCAAAGCAGTTACATCTGTGCATAAAGAATTTAATTTAGATAGAAATTATAATAAAATAGAAATAAAATTATAAATAGGGTTGCAAGTTGAAAAAAGGTCACCGGCGATGAAGAAACTAAATTTTCGTTGTGCTAATTTGCTATTTTGTCAAATGCTCTTACAGCAAAACAAATTCACCTTTCAAAGAATGCACCAAAGTACAAAACGTAAGTTATCCATCAGCCATACCATATTCCAAGCACCTATTGTAAAAGATTTTCAATAAATATATATACTCACTCTCCCAAAATATCAACTTCATATATTCCAACGGGTGTGTGTCGTCCCTGATAACTGTCTGGTTTGGTGAAGTAAAAAGAAACGTGTTTCATCATTCTGTATTGCCATCGTGTGAAGGAATCCTGTATGGACTTTGACATATTGTACACACTTATTCTGAAAGTGCCGTCGACGCACGTTACTGGATCGTACGTTTCCCTAGAAGTTCAAAAAAATATAATATCATATCAATTGGTTGACTGAAAATAGAGAGAACATATTTGTAAAATTAAAACTGACCGTTATCTAAATTCTTTATGTTCATTGCCCGACCTGGGCAAGAGCCTCTCAGGTTTAGAAACTTGTCCCTTCCATTTATAAAGTCGGCTTATTAACAATAAATATGTTGATAATGTTCTGTCGCGTTTCTATGTGCTAACAGTTGTCTTAATATACGTTAAAACTTCTTACCGAAAATCTAACCCCCATGTTGTCCCAATAACTGTCATAGCACGGGGACAATTGACAAATCGAAACAGCATCTCTGTTACCTAAAACGAAAAACAGAATACATGAAAAGGTTAAATTAAAAACAGATAAAACAAAGATATAAATAAATTTTGGAAATTGCATGTATGTCTATGAAAACTTCTCCAATTGATAGAATATACGTTATTCCCATTTACCACGAGGTTTAAACAGTTTCAAGATGTTTGCGTACGTCTTTTAGTCGTGGTTGATACATGTATGATCATGGAAATTTATCGTAGGATCAACTTCCCCGATCAGGCACAACGACAAGTCAAATGAATTCAAGATCTTACAATGCTATGGTGTTTCATTTTTTGGTGTCTTTAATAATAATATTGTCCAACAAATGAAAAACAGCGTATATGGGGAATATTAAAAAGAGGAAATAATTACAATGAAATCATCCAGTAGGTCTATCTGCAGTGTAACTTCGCTGCTGCCGGCAGATACCCAAGAGGTTGACAAACGACCGTCATTAGCGTACTCGGGAAGATGTGCAGAGAAGTTTACCCTACAATTTATAAGTTGGTATATGTAAGAAAAGGTCTGCAGTACATCTTTTACTCGCCGGGTAATAATGAATAAAATATAGTACACCATTTTATGACTGTCCTTAAAATAGGCTTGAACAGAAAAATATTTGAAAGTGGTGAATGACGAAGAGCGACTAATACTAATACTAATGCCACCAGGGGTCGGAAAAAATATGTGTATTTTTAATTTAAATTAAATGCACACACCTAGTTCAAAGCTCAGCTATTTGCATTTCAATTCCCTGTAACAGTTTTTACAGGGTAACACACTACTTCTCATTCCTACCAAAATGGAAAAGGCTATAAAGGTACCTTGGGACTATTCTCTCATTTTGCCCACTATTGTCTTTACAAAAACTGGTGTTGTCGTCAGTTATTTCGGGAAAGTCAGGGGGGCAGCGGCAGGTTGGATAGTACAGTCCTACCTCCTTTACAGGTGCGCTTTTGTACAAAGCGTAGATTTCTCTGAAATGTGTCCCAAGTTAGATTAACGCATGACTATCATTTTATAACAGCGATAAAATACTGAAATGTCTTTTATTTTGTCCACTTCACTTCAACTTGTAAAATTTAAACGCTATTATTTGTTGAATCTCAAGTGCAGGGTGAATCATTTATGCGTGTTCTAACAGAAAATTCAAGTATGTTCACACACACATGTGACTTGTATCATCTATTAGGGTTCATTCCCTATGAAACTATCGTTCTCCGCGGGGACTGTCGCTGAATGCAATCAGATCAAGAAATTAACGTCTCCTCCCCTCCTGGCCTTGAATACGTTGGTAACAAGAAGAGGCATGTGTATCTTTTAATATGATTGCAATCAACAAGCCCCCCTCCCCGAGTAGTTGGATTGATCTACATAGGCTGATAGTTCCATTGGGAATGAGCCCTTAGTAGGCCTCTTGTGTCGATCCAATAAATTATTTTAATTCTCTCAAAAATTATCAGGGTGTGTATACTGACTAGCTGGTACACATACGTGTATAAACATATTTATTTTGCATGGGAATGGATATATGTCAACGATGTATATAGCCGCATTCAGAACAGTGGCTAACTAGTCCATGGGTAAAATATGGCCGACCCACTTGAATACTTTCCCACGGGCAATCTATTCAGTGTCTATTAGCGGATTAGATGGCAAGCTTAGGTCAGTCGCCATATTACACCACATTTCCATAGATTTTTATATCGATCTATCCCTGTGGGGAGTCTCACTAGATTACTGTCAGCTTGGCCGGCTTAAGCGTCTGTCCCACCTACTAAAAGCTGTGAGGGGGTAATTAACTATGGTGTCCGCTCGGCTGACTGCAATTTAGCCTGAACCCCCAGGGAGTTAGGTCGATCTAAAACATAATCTTTAGATAGATCTAAATCTCTGGGAAAGCACCCTTAGTCCGCTGTTCTGAATGCAGCCTATGATTCTTTCAATTAGAGTTAATTACCTGTTTGTTAGTGTAGCGTTGTACACTTGCACGTCGCGCATCTCCCAGTTTGGGGTTGTCGTGATTGATGAATCTAAAGATAAGCATCAATATATTGGCTGAATGCGGCAGCGACTTCAAAGAGCGGCTTCTTTCTCTAAATAAGAGGACCCTTTACCATGACACCTTCGTGTACTGAGATCAAATTTTATCCAGAGTGGACTTCTTCCTGGCAAAAAGGATGGTACTTACGAACTCCCCGAACACCCCCTCCCCCGGGCTAAGGGACTGTATTTAGTTTAATTTCAGTTCTTAAGATGGCTTTCATGACACATGTTGTTCATAAACAAAATATTTGCATACATTCAACAATCTGTTATACACCGTTACCTAACGGTGCAGCATGATTCCAGCTACATGTATATCGACTGTATATTTATGCACTGAAGTAAAAGGTTAATTTCTTTTCATTCTCGAGGCAATAAAGTACATTTTCACAAGTCTACTAATTAAAAAATGTAGTATTTGGGCTCTCTTACTTGCCACATTTCCTACTTCAAAAAAGTAGCTATAAACAGCATACGTTCTCGGTGTCACTCGTTCAAGTCGTGGGGAAGCTACCGTACCATTCATGAAAATGGAGTAAATCCCGGAATAACCCTGGAAAATTCAATGCAAGGCAACACATGGTGCTATACATCATGTTCTTCAAAAGATGGCATTTATATTTAAAAATACATTTTCTGGCAATACAGGAGACACTGCTTTTAAGGTTGGGAATATTCATTTCCGTCGCTTTGTAAAGATATCACATATATACACTGTAGTACTTAAACTAAAATTACACTTGTTTACATGTAACTAGTATAATTTTTGATACACTGCTATAAATGAAAGTTACACAGTTGTGACCATTTTCACTTTTATACATTTTTGCAAAAGCGAGCCCTTTTAATGCAGGAGGAAACAAGACAAAAACCTATCTAAATTTGACAAATCATGTTATTCTGAAAACAAAAATCGCGCTTAATAAAGTTAGATAACCCGTAGGCCTATTAATATCAGTACCTGTAAGGCCACGTGAGTCCATTCTAATGGTTGGATGGCAGGTCTAAAATAACCAGTAGTGGTTGCACCATTTAAGTCCCGAAGCTTCAAGGCAAGAACATGTTCATTTCCGTTGTGAACTAAAGATATGGCAAACATCATTTTCGAAGAATCGCCTGGTATGTTTTGAAACGCGTTCAGCAATACTACTTCACGCCTGAAATAGTTTAGAAAGTTATGGTAACAGGTAACAGACAGAATCCTCCGGTTTATATCATCCACTTATGTACTTTATATTTTTTCGTCAAAGAGCCATCAAGCTGACCAAAGTACTAAGACTATTATAAGCATGAGAAGTTACGTAACTTTAACTAAAATATTGCAAAATATGGCTACCATTCAACCGTTTGCAGTCTTTAATGTATAGTCTAAAACTTACTGTAGTGAGTTTATTGTAAATCCGTGTTTCACCCACATGGAGACGGAAAGCTCGTCATTCACGAAGGATGGCAAGGTGCCGTTAAGGGGAAACTCTACAGGCGTTATTCCCGTCAAAAATCAAATGCTGCCTGTTCGTTTGAATGCTGCCTTGATTTGGGGCTTGTGAACAGCGCCCATCACGTATTGCTTGAGACACACTCTTGGAGATATCCAACAAAACTGTTTCCGCTTGAGACCTAGAAGTGCACGGCGATGGACAGCTTAATGGTGTGCACTGGTTTCCGAGACACGCGTGTGCTAAATCTCCAGTAGAGTTCATTCCGCAAGTGGAGCTCTCCGGGAGAACGCGGATGGGCTTTTTAAGAGCCACGTTCACCAAACCCGCTGATACTGACACAATGAGCAATTGCAGCGATAATAACCACCAAGCCAGTTTTGTCATTTTTTCTATTGCCATCCGTCTGGTTATTGATTATTTGAATTATTTTTCGACTTTCACCGCATTAGATCCTTTGATATCCAGATGATATCCAGATGAAACTAAAAAAAATAAATAAATAAATAAATAATAAATCAGTAAAAATGCTGATAAAAAAGTGGATCGTATGTGATGTAGCTGTTGCATGTAGCTATTGGGAGCAGAGTGTACAAGATGGTCATCCAACCGTGTCACTTATTTTTAGACAATCTTTAGATTTCACACAAGAACTAAAAGTTACCCTGAATCTGAAGGCTTAATATTTCGTCCAGTACAATTCAGGATAGATCTACAGTTGACCACTAACATAGAATGAATATTGTTTTTGTAAAACAGTGGGGCAATACACTATTTTCTTGCTGCAACACGGGAACAATATTGCATTAAATTTTACATCTTCTGATTTACCTTCGGTCAAAGTAGATAGAGATTGTGTGGAATTGGGCCCCGTTGAATGCATTGTACATAATGAAATTCACCAAAAGTTAAATGCGTAGAAGCACGTGTAAGCGTTCCTTCGTGCTAAGCAAAGTGAATTTTATTTTAAAAATGAATCATTGGTGGAGTAGTTTCGAGTTCGAAACTCAAAATAGACAAAGGTATACAGAACGACAGGAAAATGCGTTAATCATTATTTTTGCGCTGTTCACCTCGTTTATTGTCATGCTTTATGATATCCCTTTTTATGGACCAGCAACAAAAAGGGTCTATTATTGACAGTGATTCTAAATTTAGACATTTGCTCATAGCCATACAGATTCGAACACAAGTAAAGCTAATGAAAGGTACGTGTACGTTGACCCGCTCTACTCGCTCAATTCTAATAATGGTGAGTCCATGCTTATGACAGTCTAGGATATTTCTCAACATTTTTGACACTCCTTTGCTCCATTTTTATCACAATTATATTTCCGCAAGATAAACCAACCGTCCACAGACAAACACAAATAGACGGAGACTATCTAGACTGTCTAAATTAACAGCCTGAGATCTTAATGTCGGGAAGATGTAAATCAACGCCCAGAACGATTTCTAGAAAGAGAACTGAAAAAATGTCCGCTACTCTTCATTGGAATTTTGTGTGAAAACATAAATAACCCTGCGGGATGATAACTTGTTACCATGGAATGAAACAGACAACTTAGAAGTATACTTAGTAATTTAGAAATATATCAGAACTGCTATGGTTTAGGTGATGGCAAAACACGTAGAGCCGAGGGGGTAGCATTACTTTTTAGCTGTTCACAATAAACTGAATCAAACATGAGGACTTCAGTTGTGCCCTAACCGCATCGTATGTAGTGACATTGTATACTCTCTATTTTCCCTACGCCTTTATAATGGTAGTCCCTCGATTCGAGGAAGGCGTAACCTGGTTGAAAATAACACATACCCTACGCCTTACCGTGTTGATGGTACTGGCCTTCGTAGATCCCTTAGACTGTCTGTGACGCCACGGAATGTCGTGTTTATATAAATAATTCACGATCGTTTCTAAACTGCACATTAAAGTACTGAAGTACGCAGTTTCTTCGATGGAGCAATGGAGGTACAGGTATGCCCAGGTATCCTTTCACGTTTTCTTCTACCTGTGTATGTTGACGCCTATATTTAGCAGCGGCGGATCGCGTTAGATTGTCTCATTGTAGGGTGACTTTAAGAAGTAGCATTTTTAATCCAACCAGGATGTTCTATAAACTATCATACTGGTATACCTGTCGCCATATCCTGGAGCTGTAATTCAGTTCCGTCCTGTTATATCATTATGCTGAATGAACTACACGGCGTTGTTCTTCCGTTAACGTTGCGGGTCACGGGGCCTGGCATAACAGGTGCGACACTACCTTGGCCTCCTACCTTAACTAGCTATTGTGCACAAAGAATTCAGCCCTTTCAAACACAACTAAATCATGAGCAAGTTCATTGCTACTCAGAATAAGGTTATATTTAAAATGGGCGTAAGATTTGAAAACTTTACAGAGATTTTCTGCTACCTGTACGAGTTTTGTTCGGTAGCGCTTGATTAAATTTGCACATTTTAAAAGGACGTGAAAATCAATGAAATCAGTAATACTCGGCCACAGTACCTTCCATGAACATGATGTCATTGTTGCTGAAATAATAGAAACCACGTAAAACAGCTAACGTCAATTATAAGAATATGTATATCTACTCGTATACATTAAAAGCAGAGAAAAAGAAACTCGTCCCTCCGTGCGAAGACATCGAATAAAGATATTCCCAGTTTAAGCACATATCTTGCCGCCAGTGAGTCTATATTCCACCCCTTTTGAGTTTCAATCTTGCGTAATGAGATGAAATTATTAGCTGGAACGATTTTCAAAATGAACGGCACAAATTTTCAACATCATTACTATTTTGCATACAGAAATTTTTTTTGCTTATGAGAAGATATAGTCAAACTGTACGTGTAAGAACTCTTTTATAAATTAGTCTTTTTAATTTCTAAGTCACTCGTTGAGTGTATTAGAAACAATTTAGTTTTAATAATAAACCTCTTACCTAATTTAATTAAATCTACCGAATAGACCATTATTATAATATACAACTTGGACACAAGCACTGAACGTTGAAGATAGAAAAAAAGTCAAAAACATAAAGACCCAAACAAGTTTCATTCCTGTAAATCAAACAATCACATACAATGAAAACACAAACAATGATAAGTACCGAAAGTTTAAAAGTACATGCAACGGAAACAATCCTTGATGGTCCACGTTTAATAACAACCAGTGCAAGAAACAAATACGCAGAAAGTGTTAGCAGTAATACAAGAACAGTGAGACCGCTAGAAATAACTGGCTACACCTGTCTTACCAGGGCTTAGTTTGGGAGTAAAAGGAAACCAAATACTATCTGATCAAATTGTGTTAAAATCAACAATATCACAGATTCTACTATTTATACACGTATTAATTCCAACGTTTACCAGCACAATACAAATACTACTACAGAATATCTGCATAACCATGTGACCCGTAAAAGGTCAAATTTGATAAATCAGCATATTAATGTCGCCATCTAGTTTAAGGAACAATTCATTGTAACATCAATCGGATTGGCCATAACAACTCTTTAATGAATAAATTGTAAATAAATAATTTAAATTGGTTGCAATAGTTTTCATTTGTGCTTCTTGGCATTTCATAAAGTGCAAATATACTGAATATGGAAAACAATTCATACAGGATCTCACACTGGTCACATAGACCACTGAAATAAATGTTAAGAAATAAAATTTAAAACAACTTGGACAGTTGTAACAATTTAATAATGGCAAACCAGAGATGGACACTATTTCTTCACAGTTACTTTTTTGTCAATATTATTTGTGACATTCAGCTGACATTACAGATCCAATCTACAAATTATAGTGAAAGTTTTGAATAGTTAACTTCAGCCTTGTTCTAACAATACTGGCCCCACTGTCTCCTTTAAAAATAAAGATGTTGCTTAAACATTAAAACGTTTTACAAATAATTGTTCCAGCCATACATTTATTGAATTGTCAATCAATAAGCTGTAAATTGGGGTAATGGACAAGTTGATCTGTGAATTTTAAATTTCATTCTGTTGTACAGAAGACTTAGACACCACTGTGAGGCCAAATTAAAACTACAAAGGGTTTTGGCACATATTTTCTAATAAATTATTCGGATTTGCTCAATTATTTCTTAGTGCTTATCTTCTTTATTCTTGTGGGTACTGAACCCAATCATCTCTTATAATTAGTCTACATTTTTGAGAGCCACTTTTTCCTTAGCTTGTGCTCAGCTATCTGAATGATTAAATACATTCCTTGCATTCTCACTTCCCATAAAAAAGCAATTTTTGAGCAGACATTGTAATTACATTACTTAAAAGGGTCAATGTTCTTTTGGACACTTATGTAGACAATCTCAAAAGAAAATAGGTGCATTTAAGAAAACAACATGAAATAAACGTTGACATTTATCAGACTTAAATCATCTTGCCTGAGGTGAGTGGCATAAAGCAAGTTCTGCATAGAATGAGGTTAAATAACAATTGCTAAATATTTGCAATGAAAAAGTTCAAAGTTAAGGACCACCACAACCCATTGTTCATTCACTATATTTACTTCATGATTGACCAGTTTCTTTTAAATGTATATCTATGTTACCTTTACATTTGGTGAAATAATTTCCTAAAAAAAAAAAAAAAAAAAAAAAAAAAAAAAAAAAAAAAAAAAAACCCTCAAATGATCAAATGACTAAAACGTAGAATATATTTAACATTTCAATCAAATGACCCCACTCAGTGATTTTTATATCTGTCTTTAAATACATTGAGTAACTTTAACAGTCCAGTTAGATTTTTATCCAATATTAACTTGATGCTAAGTTATTTACTCAAGGCACTGTGAAATAAAAATCACAATTTTGGATCATCTCCAATCTTGGTGACTGCCTCATGGATGGCTGTGGCAACATAGTCCACATTCTTTGTGGTAATCCCACACATGTTGATACGCCCAGACTTCAGCAGATAAATGTGGTACTCCTTGACGAGGTAATTTACCTGGTTAGCTGAAATAAAACATTATGCATATACAGCCTGTTTTCTATGTTTTTACATCTCCTGTATACTAAACCTAATGTTATTTATTTTGTTTAAATGAATGCACATCTCTGTCTGAATGAAGAGGAAGTTTGCAAAATAAAGAAATACGATAATTATAAATTTGCAACCATGAAAATACGATAAAACAATCTTGATGCAAGAAATTGGACTTCATTCAAAGAACAAACATAACAAGTACTTACGAGACAGCCCTGTATAACTGAACATTCCAGTTTGCTTGGTGATATGATCCCATTTCCCTGGGGTGCCAAGAGCTTTCAGCTTCTTGAACAATAGATCTCTCATCAGTAGAACCCGATTAGCCATTGTCTGAATGTGCTGGTTCCTATTAAAGAAAATTAATTTGTTCCTTATATTAATTTGATTTTGTGTATAATGTGATTATGGGGTTTTCTATAACATATATATATATCAACATTTGCTGATCCAATCAAACCACTAGTGTGTGCGTGTGTGCATGCGTATGCTTATGTATTCAGACATGCTGAAAACTTTTCAGAATGGCCAGACATTTGGACCAGCAGTAATGAAAAATTTGCCGGACTGAATAGATTTTTGTCGGACCAAAATTCACCCTTTTCGTTTGAGACAGATACTACAATTAGGTAGCTTAGGTAGCTTACTTTGTTTGTGAATGTGATAGGTTTGGAATGGAAGGGAAAAACGCTTTGGGTTTTATATAATTTTATTAGTGAAGTATGTTGAATGATGACTGTAAATTCAAAATTGTGGTTCTTAAAACTCTTGTCGGACCGACCAAGTCCAATTTCTACCGGTCCAGACAAATTTTGCCAGTCATGACCAATCGGACCGCAGTTTTAGCATGTATGATGTATTTATGCATGCAAATATAAAGGGGAGATAACAGTAAATGCCGTAACACAGCAGTTCTTGCAACAACCCTTTGGCACACAAATAACAAGCCCCAAAACACAATATCAGAATGAGGGGTTTTGAAACTTCTAGTAGATAAATAAGTCTTTTTCAGCAAAATAACATTCTACTATCAGCTTCATTTCCTATTCCAATACATGTTTGGCCTCAACCCAGAATATATTTATCATACCATTCATTAAAAAGACTTGGGTTGTTCAAGATGGTAGCTACCACTCGTGCCCCATGACTGGGAGGGTTGGACCAGGTCCGTCTCACCAAAATCTCCAGGTTGGCTAAAATCTTTTGTAGAGCAGCAGCATTAGCAGATACAATTGTCAGGGCACCCACACGTTCATCTAGAAATAAAAAAACAGCAAAGTTTTCATTTGTATCTACTAAGAAATGGTTCTGAATCAAATCTAAAAAATTAAGTAAAAGAAAAAACACATTATGCTGTATTGCAGATTGATATGGGAGAAAAATCCACTTGGTGATCTCAAATTGTTTGATATCTTTGTTTTATACCAGTCTGTAACCTGATTTACATGTAGGATACTGAAAAAGGACAACACTTATATTAAAACTAGTCACATTTTACATGTAGGAACATAAAATGTGACTGTTCTTAAAATTTTGTGAACTATACCTGCACCATGTAAAGTACTAATGGAAAGTGTTTTATTTTTACTTCTAGAAGTGGTCACTCTTATAACAAACCCTCCAATCAAATATCTTAGTCATATCAAAAAGCTTATGGGAGCCCTCCATTAATTAACCCAACAGAACTAAGTCAATTATGTGCTTTCCAGCATAACTTGGACAAATCTGCAATGGTTCCCAATCTACAACTGATGGCAAATATTTAACCGTTTTTCATAACAATAATGCTGAAAAAGGACCCCTCACCTCACCTAATTGAGTCTTTGCTTTTAATTTAACCAGCAACATAATAAAAATAATAAGTTGACGTTAAACAGTTATTTGATTCATAGACTTACTGTACAATCCAAAGTTTTTGGAGAAAGACTGAGCACAGAAGAACTCAAAGCCCTCTTTTTCAAAGTAACGTGGCACCCATGAATCAGCTTCTAATGATCCCGTGGCAAACCCCTGATAGGCAAGATCTATGAAGGGAAAGAGTTTGCGCTCCTACAATGAAATTTTCAATGTCATTATACTAAATTTGTCTTTATATAATTTTACCATATGTCTAATGAACATTTAATATGAAATAAAGTAATTCCTGAAATAAAGTTGATGATGCTTTGTTTTGGGTTTTAATATTATATTTCTTTTAAATAACTTGCACTTATGTCTCACAAACATGGTCATAAGACAACTGCCTATTGCTGTGTTCATATCTGATACAAAATCGTACTGTACACAGTTTTTCTAATTAGCTGTCTTCTCTTCATTCTTATGAGTGATAAAAAATACCTTTATAATGGCTGCTATTTCTTTCCACTGGTCCTGTGTGGGATCCATTCCTGTGGGGTTGTGAGCAACTCCGTGGAGAACAATAACAGCATTCTCTGGCGCTGCCTGTAAAATAGTCCCGGGCAAAGATTAACAGTTGAATCATCATCTCTTGCTCGATCTCTCTTCCTTCTTTCTCTATTTCACACACACACAACAGGCAATCAGGATTACCAGACTCACAGAACAACTAATGCAACATAGTGTGATAACTCTCATGACATAATTTTAAAAGACAGAAAATAAACTAAATAAAGATAACACAGGCAAGGATGTCGATCTTTAAACAATTGTTCTGTCAGTGCCGCCTTAATTAATCAACTACTAGTGCCGTCAGGTGGTAATTTTGCGCGGCCTATACCCCCAATTCTGGGAAAAGCTCTCACCATAAGGTCTGCTTTGAGGCCTTCAAAGTCTAAACATCTCTTCTCATTATCCCAATACTTGTACTGCCTGGAATCTGTAAACCCTGCATGTTTGAAGACTCCAAGGTGATTCCCTAAAAATACAAAAATAAATTATCAAAATTCTTTCCTCAAATAAACATAGACTCTATATAGTAAATCAATTCTAAAAAAATTATTCAGTTATGTCCTTAAACTATTCTAAGTATATTAAATCCTTACAATTTTCATCATTAAAATGTATATTAAAATTAGAAAAAAAATTGATGAAAATTAACCAAGATTTACTTACCCCAAGTGGGACTAGATGTATAGAAGACATTATATTTTAGTAGAGTGTGTAAAAAGTCTGCCCCAAGCCTTAGTGCCCCAGTGCCTCCTAAAGCCTGGATAGCTCCAGCCTTTAAAAAGAAGAAAAAAAATCCAAAACCAAAAATAATGACATGATCAAGCAATTTAAATTAATAAATTTTTCTAAGAAAAAAATTAAACTGCTCATGTCAAACTTATAAGTTTTTAAGTTAAAAAAAAGGTGAAGATTTTGATCATCAATAAAATTAGTTATCATAAATTAAGAAACAGAGAAACCCACCAACCTGTTACTTTCAAATAACAAAATGGTGCAGATGGTGCTAGACTTTTGAAAGTAAATTCATTTCAGCAGTTTATTATTCCTTGTAGTCACAAGGCATTCACACAGAAATCAAATTTACAATTCAAAGCCACGTGTACATATACCTGCATGGAACAAGATAGTGGTACAAAACTTACTAGTTATCAATATGCCCTTACAACAATGTGAGAGGGAATGCATATGTAACATATCGTCTCTGTAGCAGACTGACTGTGGTGTAACTTCAAAGGTTACATTCATTATCCATATCCCACTGCTCACAGATACAAATTTTCATTATCCTCATTATTCAAAAGTAAGAATGGGCGATCGTATCTTTCATGACCTGGATGAGGTTAAAGAGGGACCTCAAGTGCTTTTTACAGACTTTCATAGAAGCACAGCGAGGTTTCTCTTTAACTGCTTTCAGGTCAGAAAGAAGTTGCTATATAATTAATGATAAACTGGTGACTTGGTAAGCCCATAAGGCTGGGCCAATACATATATTCATATTATTGTAGTATGTATTATATTTGTATATATTCGGTATTGTCACAAAGATAAATCTATTTAACTATTCAGTATGAATGCATTGCCAAGTGTCACATGCAAACCTGACAATGTGAACAATCTGGTGGGAGAAACAAACGTGTCATACTACATGTTCCTGTGTCTGATACCATTTGGCCTTCACTTACGTAATGAACACATTGATAAGAACTAGGAAGTCACAAACTGAGTTCAACTTTTGTCAACTTACAAAGTCAAAGATGACTCAATTAAATGATGATAATGACAGTTTTTGACACTGGTTTACAACTAACTCAAATTATACCATATATATATATCAAATGAAACTGTAAAACCTACTCTGCCATCTGATATCGCTTTACTATCTGATCCCAGGAGCAACTGAACCACGCTCTTACAGTACTCTGGTGACCCCTTCACTGGCAGGTATTCATGGTTCAGGGTTGGGTCATTGGCCATTGCATTCTCTGCACTGTGAACTACTGGAAGAACCCATGGTTTGCCTTCTTCTGTGCGATAAGCTTTTATAAAATGAGATAAAAAGAAGGACATAATTAGAGGGGATAAATATAATATTACTATTAGAAGTTTAATATTCCTACAGTCAGGCAGTTTTAACTGATAAATTAGCATGACAAAAGACTTTTGTACCACATGCTGCCAAGAAGGCAGGACTGTGACCAAATGTTTTATATCAGCTGAGTGTCTGTGTTTTATGGGTTAAAATTGACCATTATCAATGAAAAGGCTTAATATAAGAAGATGACTGAAAGGCAAAGTATGGAATACTATGCCCTAGGAGCTTAAACCCATATGCATAAAAGGAACAAGAGAGAACTGAACTTGTGTTCACTGGAGGGAAGCAGCCTGAAACTTATACAGGGAAAGATTAAGCAGTGATTAAGGGCGTATTCCCAAAGCTTTTAGATCGATCTATCCCCGCAGGGAGTCTCACTAGATTAGTGTCAGATAATCTGCTGTAAGGGGGTAATTAACTTTCGTGCCCGCTCGACTGACAGCTATTTAGTGTGAACCCGCAGGGAGTTAGGTCGATCTAATCTCTGGGAATGGGGTCTAAGACAGGGAAACTTACTAGGGTAATCAGCCAAGGCATCTAGCCATTATTACCCACCATGGAACAAACAGTTTGATGCTTTCTACTTACAAATCTTTGCAACATTTTACCTTAGTCTTATTTCTCTAATAAATTAATGCTGGAAATTCCCTAACTTTCAAATCATGTTTATTTCTCATGTTTACATTTCACATCTACACATTAATTTAAACAACTGTCTCAGGCCCACCTCAGAGGCAGAGACCACGGGTCAGCAAACCCGTAGAAGGTGCCCAACATGCCTGTGCTGATTACTATCAGTTTTGAAATTTGATGCACCTTTTCTGTTCTAGATGTCTCAAACACAAAAACGAATGTGTAAAAATAAATAAATAAATAAATAATGCATGTTATATGCATGGTATATCTGATTGGAACAACTGATATTATATGCAAAAAAGCTCATTTTTCTTGTTATAGTGTATCCAACAATGGTAAATATCTTAAATGGGTGACTTAAAGCTGCCAAAACAAACGCGGCGCTGCGACTCAGCTGAGCAATAAAATACAAAGTACCTCATAGCGCAAGAAAAACAGAACATTTGTCTCAACATTCTCCCATTGATGCCTTATGGGTGCCTCGGAAAACAAAAAAAGCTTCTGATATTTCAAGGATACATTGGCTAGCAAAAAGCTTTAGAACATGAAGTATGGACATTGTACAGGTACCTGTACCAAGTACACATGCAGCGACAAGGTCGTCTGCATCAAAGAAAATACAGAGAAGAACCGACTAATAAATCGTTGAGACACATAACTTACCTCCCACACCAAGGTTTACTTTATGGGGGTGTGTATCCTCATTACATGCCGCTGTAAGTGCAAATACTTCGATCGGTGCGGGGACCTCTAATTCACCGAAGATGCTCGTCGCCATGATGATGGTTTGCAGCCGCCTATCACAGGCGCATGCGCATTCCAAACTAGTTCATCAGCATCAATGTAGTGCAAGGTGTTTCAAAACTTTTAAGTAGCCTATAATATGTTTATAAAATACATTTTATTTTCTTGCTTCACGAATTTCATACGTGGTAAACGGATGATTGAAAGCGTAAGAGTAAAAGAAAAAACTTGAACACATAGAACATGTCGTTAGCCCTAGGGAAACTTACAAAGGCTTATATAGGCCTACATGTAGGGCCTACATTGTAAAGAAATGAATTAAATAAGAAATGAAAGATCTAAAAAAGAAAATATAAGAAAAAAGACATGAAGTTCGCATACTCAGTTCATTGCATTTTGACATTAAGAAATATGACAGCTAAACCCGACAGGTTTCATGTGAGGTGTGCCCATACTCACCTGCCGACCTTGATTTTTCAATGAACCTAAAAAGCACATAAAACTAATTAAAATTGGCCTTAGCCCTGCCACGCACTCTATTGTACCATAATAAAAGGGAAAGATCGATTTAGTATTTTATATGAATAAAAAAAGACTATAGTGTGGTAGGCCTATTTTTAAGACGTTTTATGTGGTTTTTAGGATCAGTAAAGGTGACAGCCGGTGGGTGTGCCTTACAACTCAGCAGTCAACTAAAGTCGCTATTTAAAAACGGTAAGCTACTGTTATACCCATGGTTCTTGTAAAAGCCGTTTTGTCCAGTTTCAAAAGCAGAGGTGGAAGACTCCAGAAGACCAGAATATCATATTTGCAATAGGCCTACTGTACCTATACATGTAGGGCCTACAATGACTTTCTATCGTTGACGTCGCTCCATTATAAATTAATTTCATCCTCAAACTGAACACTGAGCAATAATTCTGATCACAGACAAGTGAAGCGCCGGCTGATGCACATAACAGGTTGGGGCCTCGCAAAATAAATAAATAAATAAATAAATAAATAAATAAATAAATAAATAAATAGCCTAGTAGCCGCATCAGCATAGGGCCCGTGAGGCGCACCTGCTTGCAAAGTATAAATTCGGATTATTTTTCTGACTGTCATTTCAATCATTTAAGGTGTAAATATGTGAAAAGAAAACAATCAAAAATTATTGCTAATATCAAATACGGAGATTTAGCATTGCCATATATGGTATGCACCGGCTGAAACAGTAAAACTATAACTGCTGACAGTCGTAAATCCAGTTAAAACCAGTTTAGTCCGACTGTCCAATAAGAGACCTAATTCTTTTCTACGACATCATTGGTTCATGTGAACATTTGCATGACGTCAAGGCTAAGTATCCAATCATGACTACATACACATATGAATGTTAGCGAAAAATACGGGTGTCGACATTTTGTTTTGAGGAAAATAAGACGACAGAAGGTTTAGATAGTTGGCAAATAGTCACCAGTTAAATTAAAGTCGAGAATAGTTTTTCAGTAATCAGTATACCAATGCGGGAGGTGAAGAATCATCTAGATTCGGACATCAATTCACTGAATGGGAACTTCTTGTGTGGTGTCGTTGAAGGTAAATAAAAAATATCGTTCGCCATCACAACCAGTGCGCCGAGGTCGCAGCCTGCTCGTTAAATATGCAAAGACCAGTGCTTTTGGGCGAATTAATTAAAATTATTCGTGCCATGTGTATCAAATTAGTTTTCACCCGTATTCGGTTCTGTTGGCCTTTTTCATTTGCGTGAAATTAGTGTTAATTTTCTCTGATGTGTTATCGTAATTCGACAATTTGTTAACCTCATTTGACTACTCCCAAATGGAAGCCAAGGTGGTGCTTATTACTTCTAAATGACCCATGCAATGTAGTTTAGTCAGATTAAGATAAGGTGAATCAATGTTGTTCTATAATGTCTAGTTTCTCCTCAGGCATTTTCTCCAATGCTGAAGTAGGTCAACACTGAAATCGTCAGTCTGGACAGAGTCCTTCAGTACCACTGGTAACAAAAATTAATATGATATCAAATTGTATTTCAAAAGACATTACGACAAATTTTAGTCACAAAATGTGGCATTAGATTTGGTATCTTGAGGCCATCACAAATGCATTTCTTGTTGTTATAGGTTTCTACGGAAGACCATGGACCATCGACCAACGACGAGATCTTTTCAGAAAGATGGACAGAATGGGACTTAATACCTACATGTATGCGCCAAAAGATGACTATAAACACAGAGCATACTGGAGGGAACTCTATTCTGTTGAAGAAGCAGGTGTGATGACTTGATATTGCTTAGTTGTAGGGTAAAAAATATTCTGGGCTTACTTCAAGATAAATTTTATTAAGTGGAACTGCTTATTAATTTTGCAGATAAAGGTTAATCTTTGTAATCAAAGATAAACGTGTGAAACATTTTCATTTTCTTCAGCCATGTAAGAAACTCGGAATAATCTAGTTCAGTTGTATCCACTTGTATATAATTTATTTGTGTTACCAGTTTTCCCCCTTATGTTTTTAGGGTATTTAACTATTTTATGATCCTGATAAAAGTCCACAGTTAGACATCCAGAAGGAACAGTATTTCTCTTTGCTTGCTTTGGTTTGATTTTAATGATTAGATGACCATCTTATTTCAGGTTTTTTAGCCCTCCAATCTAACAATAATGTCAATGAAATGAAAAAATGTTTTATTGGGAGTCATGTTTCTCTTCAATTTCTTTTAGAACATCTGACTAACTTGATTGAAGCGGCCAAAGAAAACAACATCACTTTTTACTATGCCATATCTCCAGGATTGGACATAACTTTTTCAAACACCAAAGAAGCAGCATGTCTCAAAAGAAAACTAGAACAGGTATGTGTTGTCTTGTTTTATACTGTGTCAATAGTTTCTTCTGATTATACTCTTTTGAGGAAGTACTTTTCAGTAAAACAACTGTGTACTGTAAATGTTGTATTTGGATATGTTATAATTTTTTTTAGGTGGCTGCATTTGGTTGTACAGCTTTTGCCATCCTTTTTGATGACATCGAGACGGAGATGTGCCCAGCAGACAAAGAATTATTCCAGTCTTTTGCACATGCACAAGTTCATGTCACTAATGAAGTGTATCAACATCTCAATCAGCCAGGATTTCTCTTTTGTCCAACGGGTGGGTATTGTGATATTCAACTAAGTGTGTTTCAATGTAAAGACACTGCTAATTGTTGTTTTATGTTAGTTTTATTCAGGTATATGAGTAGTATTTAAATGTTTATTGCATTGCTTCAAAATAACCAGGACTTATCAAGTTGGATGCTCTTGATGTTTTACTAAGCAAAAATTCATGAGAACCACATATTTCATGGTAATCTTATAAAATTTCAGAATACTGTGGTACACGTGCAATGCCCACTGTGGCTAGTTCAGAATATCTGAACACTGTAGGTTCCAAACTTCTGCCTGGTATAGACATCATGTGGACAGGACCCCGCGTTGTTTCCAAACACATTACAATTCAGTCTATTGAAGAAGTCACAAAGGTGCTCCAAAGACCACCTGTAATATGGGACAATTATCATGCTAATGATTATGACCAGAAAAGACTGTTCTTGGGCCCGTATGATGGAAGGTCCACTGATCTTGTGCCATATCTTCATGGTGTCCTGACGAATCCCAACTGTGAGTTTGAAGCCAATTTCATTCCTTTACATACCATAGCTCAGTGGAGTAAAAGCAATATGGATGGAGTTAGGAAAGATGTTGTATTAAGTAAGTATGCAGGTTTTGATTGGGTTACAATATTATGTGATATTTGAATTTGATATAGTGATATTTAAGTGAAGGGAATTGTGCATCTTTTCTCAAGAAAATGTATTTGTAAAGAACCTTCCTGAAACTGATAAGTAGGCTTACATTGGAACAATTAGTTGTGTAGTGAATATGTTAATAGTAAATACCCATATAATGTGAAATTGCTAAGTTATAGGGATGCTGTCTGACTTCATATTTAACTATATTTTTCCAGGTGAGAGTCCAACTGTGTCAGATATCAGACTAGAAACTGAAAATATCCAGCCTTGTTCAGAAGAAGACATTCCACCTAAATATGATAACCGTTATCAACCCAAAGTTGCTCTGAAGGCAGCCATAATTGATTGGCTCCCAGAATTCTACACAAAGCGTAATGTGGCCCCCTGCAACATGCCAGCAAAGTGTCTGAACATTCCACCTCTGGCCAATCCCTGCCCCCCAGTCCCAGGCGAGGACCTGCCACCAATCACAAATATGAACCAGCTGGGGCAAATAGATGGATCTTACATGCAGCCAGCACCAAGTTTGCTCCCAGTGAACAGTCTTGTGGAACCCTCCAGTGCAGTGCCTGGGGATTCCTCCGACAAAGGTGACTCCGAACCCATGGACTACATCCCTACTGTGGGAATCGCCCCAGACTGTGACATGGAACCCAAAAGTGATGCCGACTCCAACCTTGATGGGGCTAGTGGAAGGACTCTTGAAGGTGCTGACAACACGATGCAAGTTGATACCTGTGATACAGACAATATGGAGGTCCCTGAGAAGGACCGTCTCACATACGAAGATATTTCTCTCTTGGTGGATTTATTCTACCTGCCCTTTGAGCATGGTCAACAAGCAGTTCATTTACTCACAGAATTCCACTGGTTAAAGGCCAACTCTGGTTGTATGACAGAATCCAAGAAAAAGAATGGTCACTCTCCTCTAGTATGTATGAACAGTCACCTCACAAGTAGACGAATATGAAATGAAAATCTTGTATATTTGTAATATGACACATTTTCAGATATTAATAGAATAACATAATGTTCTTTGTGAATGCATTTAAACAGAACAGTTTTTACCTGAAAAGAAAGATTGTTGTTAAGCAAGGTAATATTGTGCAAATGTCAAATATACTGTAATGTTTTCTTATTTATTCTTTTTAGGTGGAGGAATGGGAAACCAGAAGCAAAAAGTTCAACGAGACAGTAGAAGCTGTGAAGGTGCTGGCTGAAAAGCTGTTTAAAATCCCCAACCGCTCCTTGCTATATGATCTGTATCCCTACATGTGGGACATGCGGGGCATCCTGTGCCTGCTGAACTCCTTTATCAAGTGGTTAGGTAGGAGATTGTGTCCTGTTTCCATGTTATTCAGTCAGTTGTGACTGTTAACTGATGGAGTTTACACCTCATCAGTTCTGTGAAATGGGAAGGGGAGGGGGGGGGGGGGGTTTGAGGAGGAGGAGTGTTGTTGGAAAAAGGTTTTAGCTTCAGATATGGCCAGATTCATTATGTTATGATAGATTTTGCCACTAACAAGGCTGGTTAGTTATGAAGGTCTTATATATCCAACATGTTAATGTCACTACTGTGCTTCCATCTTATTTCTTGGCTGTGTTTCAGTTCGAAAATTATCACATGTGAAAAAGAATGTTTTGTTACTATTTTAGCCATCTAAGGTTGAGAGTAAGTAGTGCTAAACATGCTGGGTAATTTGCAGGTTCCAGACCAACAAGCCAGTTGAAGACTATAAATGGGAATATTTGAAATGTTCAGTGTCACATACGACAGAGCAAGGTTTCTCTGCATTTTCATGACCTCAATGGCTTCCAAAGTGGCACTGAATAAAAATTATAATTACAAACTCGGGTACAGAAAATTGGCATTTATAACGGAAAAAGTATAACAACTGTTAAAGGGAAATATAACCTTGTATAAACTTATAAGGAATGCAAATAAATGGAAAATACACTGTTTAGGTCAGTGAGTTATATGATATATATTTTTGTTTTGCATTTGGCTTGACCATTGTGATAAGATTACATGCAGAGGAAACTTGATACTGTCACTAGTGAAGGTTCTCTCTGAAAGATGAATATAATTGTATGGCAGATTAGAATGTGGCAATATCTGAAGTTCAAACCTGCATACACTGTTGTGGTTTGGAAGTTGGGGGTCTTGATAAAAACAAAATGACTGATAAATCATTTCAATTAATTGTCCATAAATTTTTCTGTCCTCTGTTGTGTTTTACTGAGGAAAAGAGCATTGATTAAACTGTAAAAGGCATTGATTTGTAAGAACATCGCATTTTGACTTTACTTCCAGCGTAACTCATATTTTTCAATTAAGTTTTACCTGAGTAAAGAAAGTATAGGACACACCACTAATTCTCTTTTTTTCCTGCCCTTTTCAGTGACAGGCAGTCTGCTGCACATGGGTATTTATGGGAAGACTGGAATTTTTACATGTACGCATCTGGAGTAATTTTTTTCTTTTCTTTTTTGGTTTACATTGTACCACTCGACATCTGAAGTGGTATTGGTAGGTAAGATGGACTATATAGTCACATGGCGCTTGCGCGTATTTGTTGCGGCTGAGGCGCAGTCAAGACGTTAGGTTGCTGCAGTGTAGTCTAAACTAATACGAGTTTCTCTCATCTAGGAACAGTGACAGATATTTCTTTCTGCTAGCACCAGGTTCTAAAGCTCAACACTCCAAAGATGTTCTCTTAAAGGTTACTAAATATAAATTTGATATTTTTTTCTGCAAGATTTTCTGAAGGGATGTTGAATGATATGCAGAGTAATGAAGTGCTATTGAAACAGCAGAAAGTTGTCAGATTATGAGAGCTATCTATGAATTGTTGAGCAAAGAAACTGGATGATATAAATCATATTTGAAAGTGATCATATATGGTGATACTTGAGATGCTTTTTGCAGGTCCAAGACTAATTATTTCAGTCATTTGCACTTTGCGCCATCTTCCCCACATTGCTAGTTTGATCATGTGACTATGCGCAGGGCGATATTTTCACAAGCAAAATGGCAGAGTCATTATCATTTATCCATCATAAAATCATTTCACATCTTGTTTTTGTATGACTTAAAAATCATCATCATGAGCATGTAATGTTACTTTGGTCGGGTAAAGAGAATCAAATCTCCACAACCTATGATTCTGCCATGCACGCATTGAAAAATTTATCTACATTTCTGAAGCTGGTGACTACCTCCTGTCTAATGGTTCTCTAAAAATTTGTGTTTTTTCAGGGTGCAATAAAGCCTACCGAGATGCTTTTATGTGTGGTGACCAAGAACCATGGATGTTCCGCGGTGGGCTTGCTGGGGAGTTTCAAGTATGTTTCAGATGAGGCAGCTTGTTTGCTCCCTTATTTATGCCCTGTTGATCTATGATTGTTTTTTCTCCATAGGGTCCCTGCACCTTTTCTCAAGGATGTCTTTGCGCTGCCCCCGCTGAATGCATGCGTGCGCGATCTGAGTTGCAATAAACATGCTGTGGGACAAGTTATTCTTTCCATAGCAGTTTGATGCAGCTCATGATAAAGTATTTGTTAGTCATTGAGCCAAGATGATTTGTTTGGATGTGAACCTTTCAAGTCCTCTTTTCTCAAGACTATATATTTACATGATTTTATTTTACAGACTGCACACTTGTGCAACACAGCACTGGACAGTTGCTGTTTATGTTTTTCCCCTCAAAACTGTGGTCAGACCTAGCCAGTTTAGTAATTGGTGCATTCCTCTGTAAACGGTAACCTCAAAGAAACATTGTCTCTGTGTTAATTTCATGCTATTCTTGTACGTACTTTAGTTAAGATTCATAAGAGTGCATTTCTCACAATGGTTGGTTAAATATATCAACAGAAAAGGGACATCTTGTTTTACGTATTGCCATCTTTTATTCTGTTTATGAAAGAAGTGCAGTATTTAGATGATAAAAGGTGTGAGATATATATCACCCTTTAGTTGTGAGTAACGGCCCTTTATGGATACAAATGAGATGAAATGTTTCAAACAGAGGTTGAAACAGTTCATTGGATATGCACTGAATAATGACATGGAAAATTTCCTGTTTGTGCCTCTATTAAAAAAAACATGGGTTAATTTATAACATGAGGTAAAGTTAACTGGCTGCTTCTGATCCATAGTTGCGCTGCGTTTTCTTGACAACTTGGAATAGGTGCATACCCTTTCACCTGTTGCTGGAAACTGTAAGTACCAAAAGAAAAGTTAAGAAAACATATAATAACTTATATGCCTCTCCAAATGTAGCTTTAATTCATGCCTTGCAAATTAATACCACTATATGTTGTGAATATACTGATATTTTAGCATGCTTTCTTTTCCTTATTACTATAGCGTATGCTGCCAATAGATGGTGCACACGATTTGTTCCATCATGTGGCCCCTGTTCCGCCAAGTCAAAAGATGTTTACAATCCGGCCGTACTTGCCGTCTGACGAGGCTGCAGTCTATGAAGTGTGCCGTAAAACCTGTGATGATGGTCTAGATGGGACGGAAGTTTTCCCGGGACAACCTGATCTTATTGGGGATAAGTAAGTTTGTCATTATCTCTGGGGGGATGTATATTCACTAACCAGGTTTAAAACAACATTGTGTGCATTTGAAATATTGATGGAAGACTTTCAGCTTAATAATTTACCTCTTACAAAATCTGATTTACTTTCCTCACAGGTTAGTTGGAGGTTTTATCAACCTAAGCCCCGAGTACTGTTTTGTGGTGGAAGATGAGCAGGGAGTATTTGGTTACGTGTTAGCTGCCTTGGATGCCAAGAGTTTCTACAAGAAGTTGGAAGTTGCATGGATAAGTGAGCTGTGTACAAAGTATCCCTTGTCAGACAAAGTGGACAATCTAACTCCAGCTGAGGTAAGCTGTGGTGTTTAGCACGTTCATACTGTACACAATGATCTGCACATGCGAATGATTTTAAGAAGTGATAATAATTAAGAAAGGAATGAATAAATAAGAAATAATTTTTGAAAATCACAACTACCTTGTATCGAGACGAGTTTGGTATTTGATCACTCAAATGGCCTGTGGTGAATAGTAAAGTTGTCTGGCACAAGGACATTGTGCAAATGTGTTCCTTTCATTGCTACCTTGAAGTAATGACCAATCTATGGGTGGTGTTGAATCAAAGTAAATTTACTATACCTTTCAGCAAGAAGTTTAAGAGTGATAATTGTTAACAAGATCTCAACAAATGCTTTCAGGAAATAATCTCAAGTTTCCACAACTTCAAGACCAATCTCCCAAATACTCTGTACGAAAACTTCCCCACCATCCTGAAGATGGACATCCTCCCAGACCGTGTAGATGACAGCAGTGTGGCCAAGCGGATGCTGGCTTGTGTCCTGTCTGCGCTGAAGGCGAATGGCTCCATTGGGGCGCACTGCGAGGTTAACGTGGGGGACAGACAGATGGTGGAATTCTATGCCAAACTGGGTTTTGTGGAGGCTCCGTCATCTGATCAGTTGCTGTCTGAAGATACTTTCCTCCTAGTGAGGAGAATCTAATGCTGAGTGCATTGTGGACTATGTTGTATGGGTTGTGTGAAAACTTGATGGTGGTATATCTAGAAATGAATGCCAAAATGGACATGATGCATTTTGTGTTCCATGTTGATAAGATGTCCATAAAAGTGTGGATATATTTATTTGTGCAATCTTTTGTTTCTTTTACCAGTTCAAGCGCCAAGGCAAGTGGCAAACTGTTAACTGAAGCCTTATTATTTAACTGTACTGGAAAAAAAATTGATAAAGAATGGTTTGAAAATGATTTCGAAAAGCACAGGACTATTCTGTCAGGTTTACCTTAGTGTTTTCCCATGGAACAAGGATGTGGGAACTGGCAGTCGTGCATGCTGATGTCTTTATTAGTTATACAGTCGAACATTATTATTTAAGATAAAAGGGACTGCTAAGCAGTATTTAAAGTTATTGTTGTCGCAATGCGACTGCCATGGTTAATTATTGTACTTGAATAAATTGTTAAGCCATTGAGACTTTTTTAGTGGTTTTTAAAACATGCGCATAAAACCGCCTGGCCTCTATTGAAAAGACCGTCATTGAGATTTTCATTACAAATATTTTCATTGAGCATAGAATGCATGTTTGTCATACTGACCTGTTGCAGCCTTGGTGTAAAGATTATCCCTGCAAGTAATTTCCCACACAAATGATGTTTTTCATCACAAATTGCTTGTGACGCCAGGGAAATTTCCTTTTATTTGGCGCCAAAATCGATCGATTCTAAAAATTTGCTTTTCTTACAACAAACTAAACTACCCAGCCAATCCGGTAAAAAGTTTATTAAGCGACTTGGATACAAATTAAACTCATCGCTTGAAAATAAGTTTTCGTCAAACGAAAACGATTGTTTTGCATAGATGGCCCCACTGTTAAAAGTGTGTATGGAATCTCTAGTTCGAAGAGAGTCATTTAATACTTGAATATGTACAAAAGCAGAATGTGCTTTATCGTCTTTGACGTACTTCATAAACATATAACAATAAAATGAATTAATGGAAGACATCCATCCATGCTCAAGTGCCTAGATTGCCATTCAAGAAGTTGCGCAATTCTTCGCGTATGCTTTAACTGGCCTGCGCAATCCGGGTTCGGAGCGTTTTCAAAAAGCCATTTGAAACTTCAAGTATGTTTCCGATTATACTTCGAAAAAACAGAAACATTTTATAGATCGCCTCCAATGGCCTATAATGGTAATCTTCATAGTCTGTCACCAAGGTATAACTTAACATTTCACACTGATTTTCAAACAAAATCAAGCATTGTGGTAGGATATTTTTCTATTTACATCATTGTACAAATGACTCATGGTCTTCAATAATAATAACCATAGGAACTGTCGTCCCCTTCTCCATAGTCACCGTAGTCGTACGCTCCCTCCTCACCCTCGGGCTGTGGTTTGGACTGAGGGATGTTAGACGGAGGATTGATGGCGGCATCGGGTATTCTGGCTCTGAAGTTCTGACCGCCGATAATTGAAGTTCCTGGCTCGAACTTAGGAACTTTCCCGGAGTTGGGATCGAAGCCTGGCGGTAGTGCTTCTGTAACCGAAAAACCAAAAGTATCTAGTTAAACGCTATCAAAATTTCCGCCACAGAGAAAATGATTTAACTTATAATTTCTGCTATGGGTCAGAATGATAATATAAAGATAAAAAAAAAGAAAAGTGCTGATAGCGATATAATTTGGCGTTACAAAGTAATCGTTGCTAACACATTTAGTTGCAGAGAGAAAAAAAAACAAACAGCCGCAGACTTAGTAATACAGGCAACATTTTCTGGCAAAGTAGACTTGCGACGTATCTGAGTGTCAGAACGGACTTAAATTTTTGACTATCTTCAAAAAAATAAGTCAGTTTTATGATCTTTAATATGCCTTTACTATATTGTATATGCGGGTTAAGGAATTAGTCCCAACACTAAAGCAATGTTCCTTACCGTTACATCTGTACACCAAGTCAGACCAGATGACATTTTCTTGTGAAAATATGAACACTCCTAAACGTCCGCCGCGGAGTGTGGTGTCGATAATATAACCGGAGTCGGCCACCAGCGTTGTCTCTTCGTACAAAAGGACCCTGGAATTGTATTTAAATATCACTTTTATTTTATTTTTTAAATTCTGACGAAAGGTGTTGGTGCATAGTAAAATCATATGTACATGTAGTGCAATCTGCATGACTGTGCACTCACTGATGCACGATTTTCAATGTTTGTTAAAAATTTTACTTTTCTTTAAACTGAAATTTCTAATATTTCAGTGTTACCCTCTTCTCAGTTACAAGTAACGAAACTTCGCCGCGTCTTCCAATTCAAATCATCACGGTTAATTGAATCATTAACAGACATTAGGCGGGGTGGAGGGTACGTTCTGCGGCAAAATTTTATCTGGATTTTATGCCATACCCGAAAATGCGTCAGCTTAGGGGATTAAAAGGTCCACAATTTTAAATACCCATGGACTTGCTGGCTACAGGCCTGCGTAAGGAATGAGACCCGTCAACTGCCTACCTGATCAAGCCAACAGACGGCCTGTGGAGCAGCTCCCACCTGTAAGGCACCTTCTCCTTCCAGCCAATATCACGTGGATCCTTCCACAGAAGTTTTACCTGGAGGAAGAAATAATGGCCACCAATAAGTGTGCATCAGTGGCAGTTGAAAGAAAAATTAATGTTAACCAAAGTTATCAAATATTTAGTTTCGTGACCCCGGATCTGGGGTCCTATAGTAGGTCAGGGGTCACAGTCACTTCCGTGACCAAATAGGCCAAGTAACCTTCTCCGGACAAAATATCGTATCAAGTAAATATTCCACCAGTGAAAAGACTGCTGTTGACACAACGAATGCATTTTTTTAAATTGGCTTTGTGTCAAAAAATCTGCATGCTAAATGTGGTAGGTAGAGCACGGGCTATGTTACCTCGTTGGTAGTATTTCCAGTGTGCCACATAGCGTTCCTCATGATTTCACCTGGCCCCGTGGAAGACTTAACAACCTTCAGCTGTATTCCAGGATCCGCCACTGCGCGGAACGGTGTGGCCTTCCAGTAGGTCTGAAACATGGAAAAAGATAGAACCAGCCTGTCAGTAGTAGATCTCTCGGCGTTCAGTTCAGCACACTTTGTGCAAAACGCAAATACCTTGGGTATGTGTAATGAATAGATATTACACAAAATAAAGAAAAAGGGGACTTGGCCGAAATTATCTGACAGGCACTGCAATCGAAGGACAAATTGCAAGCTAATTATTATTATTACTTTAAAATTTATTCTTTTAGCCTAACAAGCATGTGTCTGTACTCGCTTGTGTCAAAGTAAACTCACCTGTCTTCGTTTTTTCCACATGACAACGTAAAAGCTGCTGCTATCCTGGTAACTAAACACGAACCCGGCATAATCATCATCAATCTCTGTATTGACGAAGAAAGTACCACTGAAGTCAACACCACTGAATGCAGTATAGCCTAGGGGTGAAAAAATACTATGTCACAATAATTCATTTATGAACGATTTCGTTGTAATGCTATCACGGTTTACCTTGCTATTTTGACACAGACTGGGTATTTAAACTACGAAAACAAAATACCTCATACTTTTTGATAAACCAGTTTAATAGATATTGTCTCTCTGGTGTGAGAAATAACGTACCGACAGCCAGGCCAGGGTCACTGTTCATACTTTGCAATATTTCAGCACCCTAAATAAAAATAATGATAAAAAAACAGTTAAAATACTATAGAACATAAATTGCCCTTGCCCCTTCCAACAAAGGCCCTGCCTTAAACATATCATATTTCAATTATGTTTATATTTTATGCTTTGTCTTCATGAGAGATATTGATCATTATGGATTGTCCTGAATTTCTGTTTATATCTTAAAGTACGATGAGTTGCATTAAAATGAAGGGTGGATTAATCATACTCTTATTTGGTTTCAGCATTTAGTAAATAAATATGGGTGTTTCAACACGACATAAGACTTTGTGGATCTTAATGGTAAAAATAGCTTTTTTCGCTCTTTGATTTAGAGAACCAAAGTTCAAATTTCAGAAAGTTTAAGTTTTACAAGGCACTGATTTAACCAATATTCTTTAACCTTTAAGCAACATATATCCATTGTTTATTCCATACTTCTTTGTGAGATAACGGATGCCCTACCTCGTTCAGAATAACCCAGTGTGGATCGATTTGGGATTCCCCGAAAGGATCCAGTACCACTGTGAAATATTCCCTGAAGTCGGTGGCCTGGATTTCACTGTTGTCCGGGCAGGCGTCAACGTCATCTGGGATAGTGTCATTATCCCTGTCGTTCTCACACACGTCTCCGCGACCAAATACTGCAAACAAAGTAAAAATGAGATGTGTATTATTGACATTCCTTGGACACCGATAAAACAAAGTAATGGTGTCTGTCATTTAAAATGTGTTACAGTCTGTCATTAAAAATGTGGTACAGATTAAAGTGTAAGGATTGATAAAACGGGTTTGATTGTCCTTTCAGTCCAACCCAATTAAAAATTTTCCCAACGTCGTCCAAATAGCAGCCAACAAAATATGAAATTTGTTCAACTCTTTTGGTTGACACAGTTTTTGACAAGCCTATTCTATATGGATCCTCCTGGTCAAGAAGGCCTACTTTTACCAAGGTACACCTTTGTTAACACCAACACTAACAAGTGATAGTCGTCGAAATTTCCTCTGTTTTTCTGGGACTTTAATACAATGTTAACCAAAAAGTGCAAGCTGTCCTCCTCCAGTTTACCTTTAACTAAGAATACTCTCCGCACTGCAAGGTTTTTATTTGATATTCGACATGAGTCAAGACGCCTAAACCGAATTCATTACTTCCTCTCTATCAGCTGTTTCCTGGAATACTTAACATAAAGATATTTAACCACCCTACATAACTTAGGTGAGGAACTCGAGAGGTTTTCTATAATTTATTCATCTTGTGTATTTCATCAAGGTGGGGGCGCTATTAAAACACGCGTTCTCAGGGGCCCAGCCCTGAATCGTATCATCCTAATGTGGATTTTAAGTAAGCCTCCCCTCCCCCACCTCTGTTGTCGGCAAAAGGATTTTACGTCACCTTCCAGTCTAAGGCTTCGTTCACATGCAATNATAATTTATTCATCTTGTGTATTTCATCAAGGTGGGGGCGCTATTAAAACACGCGTTCTCAGGGGCCCAGCCCTGAATCGTATCATCCTAATATGGATTTTAAGTAAGCCGCCCCTCCCCCACCTCTGTTGTCGTCAAAAGGATTTTACGTCACCTTCCAGTCTAACTTGTAATGGATTCAACATTGTGTCCATGGGCAAAATACATAAAGGATCCACACGTGATAGTAGTCTACTGTGGTTGAGAATGCTCATGGCCAGGGATAGTATATAATATTAAATAGAAGAACAGACTAATGTCTCTGCACGATTATTTTGCAGTAACCAATCCATGTGTAAGCGGACCTCAAAGACCCCTATGAATTATACATGTCACCCTCTACCAAGACCACAGCGAGACTGCTTTCACAAATATTCATGGATATTTTTTTCTGGCTAATTCTTTACACTATTTTGTATTATCAGATATTTTACAGCATGTCAGAAATGACGTCATTACCCAGCTGGCCTCTGGTAGACAGTAACTGCATGTAACGTGTCGCAAATGTGTCGAATACTGTAAATGTCAAATCAAGAGTTTTTACCGTGATGCACGTGGGAAAGGGGCGTTGGGTTGTATTTCTTATAGGACACTTTTTTTGTAATTCTGTGTGTCTTTTTTCCCCCGGTGAAGCACACTGTTGGGAGTTGGATAAACATAGCATGGTAGTACGTTGTGCTGTGCACGTTTGTCACTGAGAGAAAGTTAGGCAATAAGTCCTAACCACGCTGTCTAAAGTTGGTAGCAGTGGCATGTTTTGTAACATTGCAAGGGACCTAAACAATAACACAAAAGGGTGATTAGTTTAGAAAAGTGCATATCTACAAGAAATAGGCATGCCATAATACAAATGATTGAAACACATGTACGCATAGAAAGGCTCCCTCCCAATATATATTGAACTGTACACTGGCTGATAGCGAAGTGTACTACGCAGGCTGTCATAATCATTCCAATTAAACACCTTGTCTCGGGACTATGCTACTTAGCGCAAGCTTTTAACCGTGGTCATTAAAACATGGCATGCCAATTTCTTGCAGACATGCTCTTTTCTCAATTAATAACACGCGATATAAGTTGAGTCAATGGGAGCAAACTTTTACTGACATTTTTTATTTCTTTAAACAGAACAGCTCATTATTCACCTATCCTGAAAACCGACTACGCCCTTCTCTCCCTTCACTCTGATGAAATAGACGCTTTATCCCTCAACAGCAAATTGGATATGTGACTATTTTCAAACAATACAAAATTATCACATGCTTCTGAGGGATAGTAACCTTTATGCGTGAACTACTGCACTGATATTTTTGATAGTTGGGCAGTAGGGGGGGGGGGGGGGGGGGGGGAGTGGAGTGGGCTTTGACAAAATAAAACACCTTGCTTGGTGACGTCATGGAACAGCTTGGTTAAACGGTATTTCTAAGCGTCAAGAATCCTGCAGATTGCACGCATAAAACACAACTAAACCACTGTTATCAATTACATTTTCCCCAAAGATAACCTGAATTATTTGGAGGTCAGTAACCACGCGCCAATCGACCGACCTTGTTACATTAACTAATTAGCAATACGTTCATTGATCCGTAGTACGTTGCTGAGCGTGGCGAAAAGTAGTAAATGACGGCATTTCTTAACGAAGGAAAAGCAAGCTGGAGAAGCCTTGCAAGGTGAAAAAAACACTTAACATTTTCAGAAAATATGATGATTATTTCTTCATTAAAGGTTAGCGCATGATTGATTCAGAAAATGAGAACCTACGGAGTGTGTGAATTCCACATCGTAATATATTAAAACTACGAAGATCCTGGTAGAACAGGTAACACTGAATGCTCCTATTCAGGTTCAGCGGCAAACGTGTTTATTACTGGTGCTCTAAGACTGGGGGTATCTTATAAGTCGGTGACGTTGTCAGGTATTACAACAAGTACCAGTACTCTGCTGCATAATTGCTCAGGTAAGTTGAATGAAACTGTCTGCTTCGAACAGATAGTGCTCTGCGAGTATACAGATGATCGTTGGTATGCTGAACGATTAATACTTGCTTTATCATATCTTTGACATACGTCAGTTACTGGCAAGAATAGTGTGGGAGGCAAATATTCTAAATTTTTCTGTTCTTCTTATGCGATATCTACAATGTATTTCTCTTGTTCACTAAAGTCAACATATCTACACGTGGGCTCAAAATAGCCCATAATTGGATTTAAAATTGGATAAAATAGCCGTAAAGCGCACACGCAAACACCACAATCAAAGGAAAAGCACAGACAGGCGTCCACCCTCAGACACTCACCTTCTACTTCATCAAGCTGGTCGGGGTTGGGGGTCAGTCGACAGTTGTCTTCCACATCAGGGACGCCGTCATTATCATCATCATCATCACATATGTCACCTGAAGAAAAACAGAAAACAAGTTGTAAACACGCGCCATTTGTAAGATTTCATAACAGCGTGATTTCATCTCAGGCTAGGAAATAGAAGAGATTGACGTCAATTTGAATGACCGGGAAGCCTACAAAACGTTCATAAATGTGGTAAGACCGACTCTGTTTAATAACATTTTAGACACTAAGTAGCCTATAGCTGTATCTGAAGTACTAATTCTGAAATTATACAATACATTTTTTATCTTTTTTTCATTACTGGTCAAGATATCATGTTCCCAGCAACAGTCATGTTCGCCTTTTTTTTTCAGCCAAATTTCAGAATTAACTTTTAAATTATTGCGCAATTTTTGGCAATGCTATTTCGAATTCAGCTTTTTGAGAGTATTGTAAGACTATTTATTCTCATAAATGTCATATATATTTCCTTTGTTTCATAAATCTTTTTCTACTTTCGCTACTATACCATTTCTCTTGCATAATTCCATATGTGAATTCTTATAAATTTCTCTTGAGATTCCAAAGATTGAGATAGATTTCCTCAAACCTCAAACGAACAGACACGGCCATTTGTGAGATTGAAACTTATGTTTCCACTACATTCTTCTAAACTGTGACTAGCTTCATGTACAATTGAGTGATGCTAAAATGAAATTTCGAAATTTTCTGTATCTCAGCTCGTTTACCTATTCCATCTTTATCAGAATCTGTTTGATCTGCGTTTGGCACGTCGGGGCAGTTGTCATTGCTATCTTGAATGCCGTCCCGGTCCCTGTTAAAAATTCGCGGTAAAAGTCAAATATGATGTAAATATTAGGGGGTTTACATACTAAATGCCATTTGGAATATGCAAAGGCGTTACTAAAATAGCATTATATATATCTGCATGGTATCAGTTCTTGAAATTTAGTGCCAGATATACCATCTTCATGGTTCAGTAATGAACAAAGTTTTTAAAATTATTTGGAATGTTTTTTTGTTTGTTTGTTTGTTTGATTATTTCCCACAATGTACATAACTAAACAGCTCACCTGTCCTCATTATTGTCGCAGGCATCGCCCACCTGGTCGCTGTCCTTGTCTTTCTGGAAGGTAGAAAAATTGAGACGTAACTGGCGGAAAAATTTAATATTATTTTTAACACACTTGTCAAAATTGTATTAAACACACGTCCGTACCAGTTATCGCATGACAAAATGACTGGCTTTCGATGTGCGCTATTCTATCTCTAATTCTAGGTTTAGCATAGTGGTTGATGTTTATTTTTGCAATTTTTCACTTGTTTAGCAGGTGATAAAAGTAGGTTTTAAAAGTAATTTGAATTTAAGGTGGTTTGATATGACGCCTCTTCTCAATTAGGCAAAAGAGGATACTGCTTTTTAGGCGTGTTTCACGCAGTCAGTTTTCAAACCTGCGCAATCATCGCGAATAACCATTCTATAAGGAAAAATTATAACCGTACAGCGCATAGCTTCCCTTTAAATGTCAAGCTGATGCTGCTGTAACGTTACGTGAGCATACTTTTAAAGAAGCTATTTCCCAACTTGATAACTTACGGATCGTAATCGATTTAGATAATTTCCCTTCGTCTGGCATTTTTGCAAAGTTTACGCAAAGATTAGTGTAATTTTGTGAAGCGCACAGTTTGGAATAATAAGTTTATGTTTACCTTAGCAGTTCATTAATTATGAGCATGTATTTATTGTTTTAAGATAAGATGACGAGACCAGAGACTGCGTGCAAAAACAAATATTAAGCCAATTTTGTATAGCTAATTTTACAAAAGCAATTCAATACTGTTATAAAAATGGCTGTTTTGACCAAAATTGCTATGCCAACGGCTTTCTGGGGGGCCATTCAATTGACATAAGATCTATTATTGCGTATGCTCCTCAAATAATATACATGGATTAAAATGTAAACCATGCTAAACATTTCGACACTTCGAAGCAAAAAAAAAAAAAAAAAAAAAAAAACCGGACGTTAGATATAGGCCCTAAGCACTGAAGATCACGACATAGCGGTGCTCGTTGTTATATCAGCGGAAGAAAGGCCGTCAGGTCTTGTCATTATTGATCTTGCTTAAATTTTTGTTATTTGGAAGACGTAAAAGGCAGCCCATGTGTAAAATTATGTACCAGGTTTCAGTAGTACATTCCACCTAGCATGTACTGTGTAAAACCACAACGACTTATTCTAGCTGACTTCTAATGTAAGTGTTCTGTTGACTCATCTTGATCATCCCAGCAGACAACAGTAGGCCTACATTAGATTCGTTTCCAGACGTTATTCTAGAAATAACACGTTGCATCCGATTTGACATTGCAGCCGCACAGGTTGTTGTTTTTGAGTCGGAAGAGGGGTAGACATTAAAAAAAAATAGACATAAAAAAAATATCGGCTTCGGTGGAGAGTGGGGTTGGGGCGAGGTGTGGGGACTCTACCTTAGTCTTCTTCCCATGACGTCAGTCTCGAATCAAATCAGCAACTGAGGTCCCCATTTGGAAGGGGTCGTGATTATGACGGCAGACCTACCTGTTCTGGGTTTTTGACCGTTGGGCAGTTATCACAAGCGTCCCCGATACCATCACCGTCAGTGTCCACTTGGTCAGTGTTGGGAGTCAGCCAACAGTTATCTGGTTCATTAGGGATACCTTGATGAAAAAAAGAGACCATGTTAACCCTCTCTGTTAGTAACATGTTCTTTAATTTAACAGCACGCGTCGTGATTTAGGCCTAATTGAGTATTTTTTAATGTAATGACTGGTATGCAGATCAGCAATATGAGGCGACACTTGGGAATAATAAAATAATCAGCCGCAAATGTTGATGAATGGGGCAATTCCACGTGTTTCTCTTTAAGAAAAGTTTGTTTCCCTCAACTGATTATTTGGTCCTAAGAGTTACCTTAAAAGCAATGTCAGCAAATGTACAGACAATAAAACAAACGGTAGGCCTAATTCAGGTTACCCTATCTTTATGCAACATGCACATTCTAGTAAACATTGTAAATTTGGTCTACTTCAGTATAAATATGGTGATGTGTAAACCCACCTTCCAAAACAAGTCTCGGTTAGTTTGCATATTACTCCAATACAAAATATTGATCTACTCAAATAGTGAGAGCAACTTTGGGCTTTTAACTTCACGTCCGATCATGCGGCTATTCGAACTTCACTTGCAGTTTATCAAACAAAACCTCTCAGTGAATTTAAAACAAAACGCATAGAAATTGAAATATGCTTTGGCAGTCAGAGAAGGAACGATTGAAAAAACGCCCGATTTGCGTACTTTAACTAAATCTTTTCCCAACGCAGCCACCCAGTAAATATGACATAAAACAAAAAAAACGGTTTGGCAGGGTGAACAAATTTGTCACAAAACGACAATGACGACATGGCTAGACACAGGTGATCAGGAGGTATCACCAAATGATAAAATAAATAAATAAATGAATTAAATACACTGAACTTTAAAAAGAGAAATATGCATTCTTAACATTAAACAACTAAGTTTTCTAAATTTGTTAAGACGTTTTTTTAGTCTTTGGCACCTCGTATGCACATGGTAACTAAAAATTATTTTGCAAAGGTCTAACCGTTTAAGACCCTTATGAATATGCGAATATCTGGTCTATCTATTTGAGAAAGAAAAGAGTTTAATGGGATGGAAATGTGATCAAAAGGCGTGAAAGTGAAATCAGAGAGATGATAAAATGAAGACATCCCCATTTATAATGGTTTGGTTTTGGTCATTTGTATACAGTTTCTTCGTGGTCGACTGGTTTTAAGAGAGAGAATATTATTATGATGTGAGCTTGACCTGGATATACAGAAGTAACACAGTTAAGTTCATTCAAATTGTTTAAAATTACCCCGCGTTCCGGAGAGGACACAATCCGGTACAAAGTGTCCATGGCAACAGAAACATCCACTGAAATCGAAGCCAACTGTTTTAGTGACAGCACAGGGGTATGTGTTTACGACTGGATAAACATCGTCACTCGACTGAAGAAATAATTACACACTTGTCAAATTTTCTAGCAATGATAACTCATTCTCGCTCATGATCGAAAACGCTGGCAAACTCCACGGGCACATGGGGGCGCCTATCAGAGGACATTCTCTTCCAGCAAATAGGCATTTAGGCCAAATCCACGTTGTCCATGCCTGCACTAACTCTAGGTAAAATGTCAAAACAGGACTTACATTTATCTGAGATAGGTGGGATGTCCCGTGTGATACCAGACCTTCTCAGAAAGGGGTCTTGGTATCGCTGGCCCGTGCAGACACTTCATTTAAAGCCAGTGGAGATATGGCCCATGAACATAAGACCTTCGACTTGTGCAAGATTTCTGGTGTCAAGATGACAAATCATCTTGGACCCGTGTGCTATCAACAATCTTCGATTTATAAGCAGCCAGGACTATTAACGCGGGCTTTGCGAGTAGTTTATTACTGTGAAGACAAACTGGTTGATGAAACACCTTGCATTTACGCGTCTCTCTGCGTCGCAGGAACTTCCGACGCAAGCGATCAGAACTCTGCGCTACCTGCTATAAGCTAGGATTGATAACGGTTGGGTGCCAATCGCTTATAAAAGAGAGGAGCACTGGGGATCTACTATCAGTTGATGTCATCAGAGCACAGCCACGGGAAGAAAGCAGGATAAGATCAGTCTGCTCAGCTAACTACGTAAGTTTGGTCAATTTAACGTACTTCACACAGTGCCTCTGTTAAGTTCAGATCATTTATAGTGAAGTTAACGTTGAAAATGGACAAAATGGGATAAGATGAAAAACGTGTCAAATTATCTTACTGTTTTATTTAATGTTCACACAATGATTCCTTAGAATTTTGGCGCTATATATATGGCTGTTACAGTACGACATACGTATATATGTAAAATAATGGATTCTGCTGCAGTGGATTTTTGAATTGACGACAGAGGCAATACTTATGGTTAAGAGCATGATCAGATAATGTAAGCAATTACATCAAATACATTTACCGGGAATCTTATTAAATCGCAAAGGATTTGACTTACATTTTCACATCAAGTTCTCATATCTAGCGGGTGTTTTTGTTGGTTTTTGCTCTTTTTTTAGTGCACGTTGATACTAATCTACTTAAACATCTATGTTCATATCAATCTAATGGTATAAAGAAAACTGTGTGAGATAACGTAGGAGACCTGTAAAGTGTTGCTCTTTGAGGAATCCTTATACTTGACCCTCGTGGCGGATCTTTTCGCTAGCTGCTTCACTTAAAACGAGCATATTTTCGAACACGGTCACCGAGACTGTCCATATTCTGGCGTCCAACTTAGCAAAGGTGAGTAAATGTGATAAAACGGAATTAAGCCCGAATTTATATATGCCATAGGTCGACTAGAAAAAGCTGTTTATCTTAAGGATCTACAGTATAAATCAATCTTTTGCTAGTAAAGCCAAGACCGACTCACTGAGCGTGAATGAAAGCACTCTTTTCCAAAAATCTGCATCGAGCTTTATGGACAGGTTTATGTTCAACACAGGCCTAAACCTTTTCGAGGAATCGGATACAAATCCCCAATAATAATACTGACATAACAGTGTGTGCGTGCGTGCGTGCATGTGCGTGTTTATTTGCGTAGAAGCCCCATGCAGATTGAAACCTACCGTCGTTGTCAGCATCCGGATCACATGCGTCTCCTTGCCCATCCTTGTCTGCATCCCCTTGGTCCGTGTTAGCTGTTAGCGGGCAGTTGTCACAAGGATCACCCTTGTTGTCTTTGTCGTGTGTCTCCTCTTGTCCAGGGTTATAATGAAGTGGGCAATTGTCCTGTAAAATTTCGGCAAAATTCAACGTTTATATTCAAATAATTGAACAATTAGACTAGATTGTAAAGGCTCTGTCACACCTAGCGTAAAGAGGTACGCATCATTATCGTATGTAAAATCGTTTGTACTCACAACTTTGAGCGTATAAAAACACCGTGTTTCCATCGTATTAAAATGAAGACAAGCAGCGTATGAAATTGTTTTTGAACATGTTCAAAACAAATTTTGAACTCCTTCCCAACGTTCGCCTGCGTACTCGAGTCGTACAGGGGTATGCGAGGTAAGTCTAAGGGAGCCTTTGTGCTTGTCTACGTATGGACATTTTTTTCTCATACGTACGTGCTATACGCTAGGTTTGACAGCGTCTTAAGATAATTCATGACAAAATCGGTGCTATTTTAAAATATAGGGCTTAGTAATATTGATAAAGATGCTGTGGTAGAGAATAAAGTTATCGCGCAAAGAAAAGTCTCTGGCTCCCTAGACTTTTATTCCCGCAATCCATCAAAAAAGTCGTCTTTGTATATGATATAACTACTGTGTGTTGCTTTTGCTAATGAAATCGATCTTTGGAAAATAAAAAAGGCGTCCAATTTAATTAAATTCGTTCAGCGACGACAGATTGCCCGCTCAGACGTATTTTAATAATTGCATTGGGTGTTCTGATATTTTATTTTATCTACATGTATTCCAAAGTGAGGACCCAAAACTAAACTAAAATTTTTCAGAAATTGCACAAATAGCTTAGATATGACCGTCCGCTGACTAAAAGCACATCTTTGAAATACATACAAAAAGATTACTGGACTTCGACCCTCCCCAGCTCCCCTTACAGCATCACAACACACATTCATGAACGTATATCAAAATCACCTTAACTGAAAGTGACAAGAGCATATTGGAGTTTGAAAAGTTTATCACAGCACAAGGCAAATATGCGTGCTTAAAGACACGTTTTAACAATTATACTTTACAGGGTAACCTTGCACTGGCGCCTCACCATTCAGATCCTCACCTTGTTCTGGATTGCTTGGAAATTTAACATTTGGCCCAAGTAAGAGTGCTCGTGACCTCCCAAACCTATTATTTATTTTGTGTGAGTTTTTATCAGTTTGTTTTAACGCCTGTTGCTTTTGCTAACCTTGTTGCCTGTGTTCTCATGAGAGCGAAAAGGCCATCTGTTATATTAGAAGAAACCTGATAAGGCAACCAAGCCACGGCTCTTTGATGGCTTTGGGCGAGAATGACGACATAGCCACTTTCGTTTTATGGATTCTGCCTTACCGTTGTGACAGACATTTGACATCGTCTTGAAATTGGCTCCTGTCAGTCATTACGTATGACGAGTTGCAAAATTCTGGGTCGCGTTTCACGTCTTTCACCTGGTATAAAATAGGTTCTTTATTTGTTCTCTGAATCGTGAGTGCTCTTCATTTCGTGATTTTCCTATTGATTATTCTGTGTAAAATGATAGTGGGATTTGCAAAACGGAGAGTTAACACAAGGCAAGTACTCATCTGGTGTAAGATTCTAAAGAAAATGTACATATGTAAAGAACGACAGGCCAATCTCGTTCGTTGAACTTCTGTCAATCTGTTGGACTAGCAAAAAAGTTGTGCTTAATGGGAATATGTCACGGAGGTTGACACATAAACAAAGACAGGCAGGGCTTCATGCCTTAATACGGTTTTTAAATAACAGCGGAATATTTCAGATCGTAATGTTAGACATCGTTTAAAGGTCGCATTTTTCAATGGAGAGAGGCTGGTAAGTGTAGCTTAAAGTGAACTTTGCATGCAAGCATGGCAAAAGAGAAATTGTTTCCAGCATCAATCGATGAGATATTGCACCCTTTGATTGTAAGTTTCAATTTTCTGTATGAAACTGAACTATCATGTTACCCTAGAATGAAAAATATCATTATGCTTCAATACATTTACCACATGGCCATTTTATCTTATGCCACTTTAACCTCGGACAGATCATCATTCAGGGAGATACATGTATAGGTGAATGTTAAAAAAGGTTTTATAAAATCATGTATGGGCACACTGAATTATTGACTTGCGAAAAAAGTGCTTAAACCATGGACACACTGGACTGTGACTTGTGAGTATTATTTAGGCAGATAAATAAGGCAGATAAACATATCTTTCAAACGATAGAGAGTTTCATTATTTTTTCTTAAATAATGGGTTAAAGCTTACAATTCCCATTATATTTATTTCAAAGTGGGATCAGTATGTAGCAGTTGTGCTTGTGAATAAACAACGATTTGGTATACGTGAGAAATACCTCGCAGAAATAACCCGATTTCTTTTGTACGGAACGCCTACTTTGAAGACAAATGTACTGCCTCCTTAGGTAAGCATCTACTTGGGTATCCAGCTTTTGAATCCATGTAAATGTCCCACTGAGAGAAAACCAACTGGTAAATGAGTTTTTACGTCAGGTAAGAACATTACGAAATTTTCCTGGAATACTAAAGACGTGATTCTATAGCATCGTAGCGTGTTACCTGTGTAAGTGCCCAGCGAGAATTCAAATTTATCCCAATTACGAGCGTTGCCGCCTACCTTTTCCCAATCCCTTGAACAGATAGATATGAAAAGGAAACTGGGGTTTCTCAGCAAGAGAGATTAAGCTCTTATTAGTTCTGTATACGTTTCTGAAAATTCAGTTCTAAGGAAGACCTTGAGTGATGCCTTGTCACACTAAATAAATCTACCACCGGTTAGATAAACATTCAACTTATTATATAGAGTCAGTGTTGACAAGGTGTATAGTTGAAGTCTGTGCATCTATGACATCACTGTAGGTTTGAAATATTATCTGAACGTTTTATGTGAAGGCCAATAATTGGTTATGGGTAAGATTTAATTAGAATGTGTCTTTGAGTATGAGCGCCCTAGTAGGTGATTGACGAAACAAGTGGTTTGGGGATTGATGTGTTTATTTTTAAGAAAACAAGATACAAGTCGTACTAATCACATGCACTTTGAGCTACCCGATTCGACTTCATGAAAGTAATCAGTAATGTAATAAGTTTTTATATATAGTATTCTAAAATTGTAGTTTTAGCATTCTTATAACCTGTTTTATCAGTCTCTACAGGAAGTAGTGTATGCAACTGTGTAGGAATGAATTGGATATTGTCTAGGGAGCCAGAATCCACGCCGAAATTCATCAACTGAAAACCACCCTGAAGTGTAATTTTCCGACGATAAACTTGTGCGCCTAATATAATTTTCCGGGGGCTATCCTATTTTTGAAGGCTTACAATTTTAGTGAGCTTCAGATATTTACCAATTTGAAGCTCTTTAGTGCTGGCATGCTAAGTGTAAAATTTGAAGGACCGCAGGGCTGCATGTAAGACTCTAAACAGACGCCGAAATGTTTTGAAAATTTTGTAGACCCATTTCAAAAGTTGTCAGCCTGGGGCTAGCATTTTGTGAACACCGGGGGGCTGTGTGGTATAAGGCTTACTATCTGTCTTGGTAAGTATACCATAACGGAACAACTATGGTTTAGCTGGCATTGCTCAACGTACCAAGGCTTATCATTTACGTTTAACGCCGCTTTTCCGATTTCAAATGCCATTTTCATCATCAGAAAATCATTTGTAATTTCAGTTCCATAATGCCTATGACCTTCAAGTTGAAATTGCTTATAATGCTCCTGGTTTCATCGACAGCCAAAGAAACTGTTTCCAAGAACACGGGCGAGACACCAGGCATGCTCAATCATGCGCAGGACGCATTCAATAAATCTGCAACTATTTACGGCATGGCTGTCCCGATGAATGGAACAATTGTGCGACAACTGAGAGAAACACAAAGTACAGAAGACATCGTCCAGGTGGACTCACAGGACAGCGGGAATTCTACTTCAGACAGTGCTTTTACAAGATTTGTTTTTGTCATTCAAGGAATCGTGTTTCCGTTGATTTGTGTGGTCGGCATGACAACAAACGTCGCCAACTTAATCGTGCTCTCGAGACCAAACATGCGCACGTCTACCAATCTTTTCCTGATTGCCCTATCGATCGCCGATATAATGATGCTGTTGATTGTCTGCATGTATTACGTGCATTTTAAATCAACGCATGAGAAACCCATCACCGAATATGAAGAGGTCGCGGGGCAGTCTCTGTTCTGGCAGCTTTACTACTATACGTGGTTTATGATGGCAAACGTATTCTTGACAGTTTCCAATTGGTTGGTCATGGCAGTCGCATTCTACAGGTACATAGCCGTGTGTTGGCCCATGAAAGCGTCTGGATTTTGCACGACACAGCGAGCAATCATAATGATCGCTTTGGCTTACACATTGTCCCTGGCACTGAATGCCCCGGATTTCGCAACTGTCACAATTGTCCAAGATGCCAACGGGACCAGAGCGGAGCATACAGAATTACACAAAAGCACGTCCTTTGCAGTGATCTACTATAATGTGAAACTTGCTCTTAACATTATCATTCCCTGGATGGTATGTCTTATTCTCTCTGTTGTTCTCATTATTGCACTGAGCAGACGAGAAAGAGAGGTTCAATCCATGGTAGAGCGCGAGAACTTTATGCCGTCACGAGCTGACACGCAACGACGCATAACCATAATGTTAGTGTCCATTAACATCTGGTTTCTCATCTGCATGGTGCCCTCGTTCGTCTGGTATACTTTCAACTGGTCTAAGGGAAGGAGCGAAGTGGAGCCAAGTCTGTCGTTCCGCATCCTAAGAGTTATTGCGGATCTCTTTCTTGTGTGTAACTACGCCGCTAATTTCTTCCTGTACGCCGCAACAAACAGACAGTATCGCAAGACTTTCGTTACAGTGTTTTGTTGCCAGAAAAAATCGTTCACCCGCGGCATAACGTTTGAGTTGAGAACCGGCAGTACCAGTATAAGATCCAGCTCAAGTGAAAGAAAGAACAGCGCACCGAACGGGAAAACAAATTTGACGTCGAACACTTTGCTCTGACATTGAGACCCCAGACAGTTTGATTTACGATCGTTTATTAATACATGTTGTACATAAAACAGGTTGTGAACCTTTACAGTGATATCTTTATGTCAATGCAAACTATTGAGTAATAGGAAATTCTCTCTCTCTCTCTCTCTCTCTCTCTCTCTCACTGACTTACCGGCCTGTTTGGTATTCCGTCATTGTCAATGTCTGGATCACAGGCATCCCCCAAACCATCACCGTCGGAGTCTGTTTGGCCACCATTTGGGACATTTGGACAGTTATCCTGCAGTTGAACAATTTATAAATGATAAAAGCTTAAAACGATGTTTTAGATGGATAGATCTCATGGAATCGATGAGCTTGTCGAAGATACACATTATAAGAACGTCTTCGGTGTGATTTCTTTAATACTACCTTATACAGAATTTATAAAATTATATGCCATTTCAAAACATTTAATCGCCGACTTACTTTTCTACACGTTTTTTCAGGACATGGCAGTTCTTCATCTGGTCTATTATCTAAATCTTTGTCTCTTCCGCAGATTTCACCATTGCCTGCCCAGCCAATTCCACACTAAAAACGTAGAGAATTAATCAAATTATGGTCAGCAAAAGTGATACATGCGACATCTACCGCCAAAAATTTACCTGAACATATTGTTTAAATGTAATTGATTCATGAGTTTTAGAATGGTTATTGTTCAACAAGTCAATAAAAGCAAATAGCTCACAGTATATGATGAAATATATGTTTGTAAACAGTCTTGTAAGCCTTACTTAGGTACATGACTATAAATAAATTATTCATTTATTCATTGTAAACGAATATGTTTTTTTATTATCATCGTTTATGTCTTGAAACAAAACTGGCGAATTTCAAAGACGCTACCAAAATGAACGCCAAAAACTTGATGAATTAGTGATAGTGTATTTTAAAATGGTCCATTACGGCTGCTTTAGAAGCCTTACCTCACACAGGTAGCCGTCTTCTCCGGTCTGTTTCCTGACACACTTGGCCTTAGAGTGACATACTGTCTTTTTGTCGTCGCAGTATTTAACACAACCGTACGTCTGGTTACCAACGAAACCTTCTTCGCATTCTCCACATTCATAAGACCCCTAAAATAAGCAATTTTATGCAACCCTTCAATGTGTAAACGTTAGTAACTGTGTTAGAGCCTATCAATGTCAGTGCTATAGTTCTGGTTTTATAAAGGGCGGCACGCACGTTTCTTTTTGGATTTTATACAAAGAGTATGAATCCAAATAAAACACAAATATGGACTTTTTAAAAATCCTGATGCTAAAATCCTTTTAGATATTGTTCATACTCACAATCGTGTTGATACATTCAGAATGGAGAGTGCACCCGCCGTTGTTACCGTCTTCACACTCATTGATGTCAGCGCACACCTGGTGGAGGAGAGACAACAAATATTACAAACAATATTAAATTTAACGAGTAAGACAAAGGAATTACAATTAATTCAATGACAATGTTTGGCCATTCATCAAAACAATTTACATTTTATTCTCTGCAGTACTGCGTAACTGTTTAACCCTGGATTTTTACCCACCAAAATAATAAGTAAACAGACGGTTATATACAATTGCCAGCCCTGGTTTGTGACGTCATGATAGACACGCACCTGTTTGTTGGCACTGGCAAACTCCAGCCCCGCCCCGCTGACGGCATCTCCTGAAAAGCCAGGTGGGCATGCACTGCACTCGTACCCGCCCATCAGGTTAGTACAGCGTGTTAACGTATCGCAGGGAGAGGCTTCCAGGCACTCATCAATATCAACACAAACCTGGGGAATAAATTGATATGTGAAAGCTATGCCACTTGCTTCATGGGTTTAAAGGTTGGCGCTAACGTAATAAACAGAAAAGATAGGAAAAATATAAATTGACAATGATTGGGGAAAAAACAATCTGGATAAAGCGAAATACAGACAGCATTCGATGCAAAAGTTACCTGTTTGTTATTTTTAGCAAACTCGAGTCCAATTCCAGAGACAGCGTCCCCTCGGTAGCCTGGAGGACACGCTTCACATTCGTACCCCGGGGATTTGTTAACACAGCGTGTCAGAGGGTCACACGGGTCCCCTTCCACACACTCATCAATATCAACACACACCTGTGGCAAGAAAGGAACAACACACTTTAAGTGCATTTTTAAACGCCTATATTGTTTTTAAAAATGAAACCACCCTTACATAATATGATATCAATCATCATTCAAAAGGGTTTCACTACCACCTGACTTTATTTGCTCATCAAGTAATTCTGTTAAAACAATGCTTCTTAAGATTCTATGTTAAAAATTGAAAACACTTTCAAACGTTTTTAAACTCATAATGCAAACAGAAGCAATGCAGTTGATATCATGGTGTACCTGTTTATTGTTTTTAGCAAACTCCAGTCCCACTCCCCTGACTGCATCCCCCCTGAAACCCGGGGGACAGGCCTCACACTGGTAACCATGCTCCANTTCAAATTTATCCCAATTACGAGCGTTGCCGCCTACCTCTTCCCAATCCCTTGAACAGATAGATATGAAAAGGAAACTGGGGTTTCTCAGCAAGAGAGATTAAGCTCTTATTAGTTCTGTATACGTTTCTGAAAATCCAGTTCTAAGGAAGACCTTGAGTGATGCCTTGTCACACTAAATAAATCTACCACCGGTTAGATAAACATTCAACTTATTATATAGAGTCAGTGTTGACAAGGTGTATAGTTGAAGTCTGTGCATCTATGACATCACTGTAGGTTTGAAATATTATCTGAACGTTTTATGTGAAGGCCAATAATTGGTTATGGGTAAGATTTGATTAGAATGTGTCTTTGAGTATGAGCGCCCTAGTAGGTGATTGACGAAACAAGTGGTTTGGGGATTGATGTGTTTATTTTTAAGAAAACAAGATACAAGTCGTACTAATCACATGCACTTTGATCTACCCGATTCGACTTCATGAAAGTTATCAGTAATGTAATAAGTTTTTCTATAAAGTATTCTAAAATTGTAGTTTTAACATTCTTATAACCTGTTTTATCGGCCTCTACAGGAAGTAGTGTATGCAACTGTGTAGGAATGAATTGCATATTGTCTAGGGAGCCAGAATCCACGCCAAAATTCATCAACTGAAAACCACCCTGAAGTGTAATTTTCCGACGATAAACTTGTGCGCCTAATATAATTTTCCGGGGGCTATCCTATTTTTGAAGGCTTACAATTTTAGTGAGCTTCCGATATTTACCAATTTGAAGCTCTTTAGTGCTGGCATGCTAAGTGTAAAATTTGAAGGACCGCAGGGCTGCATGTAAGACTCTAAACAGACGCCGAAATGTTTTGAAAATCTTGTAGACCCATTTCAAAAGTTGTCAGCCTGGGGCTAGCATTTTGTGAACACCGGGGGGCTGTGTGGTATAAGGCTTACTATCTGTCTTGGTAAGTATACCATAACGGAACAACTATGGTTTAGCTGGCATTGCTCAACGTACCAAGGTTTATCATTTACGTTAAACGCCGCCTTTCCGATTTCAAATGCCATTTTCATCATCAGAAAATCATTTGTAATTTCAGTTCCATAATGCCTATGACCTTCAAGTTGAAATTGCTTATAATGCTCCTGGTTTTATCGACAGCCACAGAAACTGTTTCCAAGAACACGGACGAGACACCAGGCATGCTCGACCATGCGCAGGACGCATTCAATAGATCTGTAACTGTTTATGGCATGGCTGTCCCGATGAATGGAACAATTGTGCGACAACTGAGAGAAACACAAAGTACAGAAGACATCGTCCAGGTGGACTCACAGGACAGCGGGAATTCTACTTCAGACAGTGCTTTTACAAGATTTGTTTTTGTCATTCAAGGAATCGTGTTTCCGTTGATTTGTGTGGTCGGCATGACAACGAACGTCGCCAACTTAATCGTGCTCTCGAGACCAAACATGCGCACGTCTACCAATCTTTTCCTGATTGCCCTATCGATCGCCGATATAATGATGCTGTTGATTGTCTGCATGTATTACGTGCATTTTAAATCAACGCATGAGAAACCCATCACCGAATATGAAGAGGTCGCAGGGCAGTCTCTGTTCTGGCAGCTTTACTACTATACGTGGTTTATGATGGCAAATGTATTCTTGACAGTTTCCAATTGGTTGGTCATGGCAGTCGCATTCTACAGGTACATAGCCGTGTGTTGGCCCATGAAAGCGTCTGGATTTTGCACGACACAGCGCGCAATCATAATGATCGTTTTGGCTTACACATTGTCCCTGGCACTGAATGCCCCGGATTTCGCAACTGTCACAATTGTCCAAGATGCCAACGGGACCAGAGCAGAGCACACAGAATTACACAAAAGCACGTCCTTCGCAGTGATCTACTATAATGTGAAACTTGCTCTAAACATTATCATTCCCTGGATGGTATGTCTTATTCTTTCTGTTGTTCTCATCATTGCACTGAGCAGACGAGAAAGAGAGGTTCAATCCATGGTAGAGCGCGAGAACTTTATGCCATCACGAGCTGACACGCAACGGCGCATAACCATAATGTTAGTGTCCATTAACATCTGGTTTCTCATCTGCATGGTGCCCTCGTTCGTCTGGTATACTTTCAACTGGTCTAAGGGAAGGAGCGAAGTGGAGCCAAGTCTTTCGTTCCGTATCCTAAGAGTTATTGCGGATCTCTTTCTTGTGTGTAACTACGCCGCTAATTTCTTCTTGTACGCCGCAACAAACAGACAGTATCGCAAGACTTTCGTTACAGTGTTTTGTTGCCAGAAGAAATCGTTCACCCGCGGCATAACATTTGAGCTGAGAACCGGCAGTACCAGTATAAGATCCAGCTCAAGTGAAAGAAAGAACAGCGCACCGAACGGGAAAACAAATTTGACGTCGAACACTTTGCTCTGACATTGAGACCCCAGACAGTTTAATTTAGGATCGTTTATTAATACATGTTGTACATAAAACAGGTTGTGAACCTTTACAGTGATATCTTTATGTCAATGCAAACTATTGAGTAATAGGAAATTCTCTCTCTCTCTCTCTCTCTCTCTCTCTCTCTCTCTCTCACTGACTTACCGGCCTGTTTGGTATTCCGTCATTGTCAATGTCTGGATCACAGGCATCCCCCAAACCATCACCGTCGGAGTCTGTTTGGCCACCATTTGGGACATTTGGACAGTTATCCTGCAGTTGAACAATTTATAAATGATAAAAGCTTAAAACGATGTTTTAGATGGATAGATCTCATGGAATCGATGAGCTTGTCGAAGATACACATTATAAGAACGTCTTCGGTGTGATTTCTTTAATACTACCTTATACAGAATTTATAAAATTATATGCCATTTCAAAACATTACGCCGACTTACTTTTCTACACGTTTTTTCAGGACATGGCAGTTCTTCATCTGGTCTATTATCTAAATCTTTGTCTCTTCCGCAGATTTCACCATTGCCTGCCCAGCCAATTCCACACTAAAAACGTAGAGAATTAATCAAATTATGGTCAGCAAAAGTGATACATGCGACATCTACCGCCAAAAATTTACCTGAACATATTGTTTAAATGTAATTGATTCATGAGTTTTGGAATGGTTATAGTTCAACAAGTCAATAAAAGCAAATAGCTCACAGTATATGATGAAATATATGTTTGTAAACAGTCTTGTAAGCCTTACTTAGGTACATGACTATAAATAAATTATTCATTTATTCATTGTAAACGAATATGTTTTTTTATTATCATCGTTTATATCATTGAAACAAAACTGGCGAATTTCAAAGACGCTACCAAAATGAACGCCAAAAACTTGATGAATTAGTGATAGTGTATTTTAAAATGGTCCATTACGGCTGCTTTAGAAGCCTTACCTCACACAGGTAGCCGTCTTCTCCGGTCTGTTTCCTGACACACTTGGCCTTAGAGTGACATACTGTCTTTTTGTCGTCGCAGTATTTAACACAACCGTACGTCTGGTTACCAACGAAACCTTCTTCGCATTCTCCACATTCATAAGACCCCTAAAATAAGCAATTTTATGCAACCCTTCAATGTGTAAACGTTTGTAACTGTGTTAGAGCCTATCAATTTCAGTGTTATAGTTCTGGTATTATAAAGGGCGGCATGCACGGTTCTTTTTGGATTTTATACAAAGAGTATGAATCCAAATAAAACACAAATATGGACTTTTGAAAAAATCCTGATGCTAAAATCCTTTTAGATATTGTTCATACTCACAATCGTGTTGATACATTCAGAATGGAGAGTGCACCCGCCGTTGTTACCGTCTTCACACTCATTGATGTCAGCGCACACCTGGTGGAGGAGAGACAACAAATATTACAAACAATATTAAATTTAACGAGTAAGACAAAGGAATTACAATTAATTCAATGACAATGTTTGGCCATTCATCAAAACAATTTACATTTTATTCTCTGCAGTACTGCGTAACTGTTTAACCCTGGATTTTTACCCACCAAAATAATAAGTTAACAGACGGTTATATACAATTGCCAGCCCTGATTTGTGACGTCATGATAGACACGCACCTGTTTGTTGGCATTGGCAAACTCCAGCCCCGCCCCGCTGACGGCATCTCCTGAAAAGCCAGGTGGGCATGCACTGCACTCGTACCCGCCCATCAGGTTAGTACAGCGTGTTAACGTATCGCAGGGAGAGGCTTCCAGGCACTCATCAATATCAACACAAACCTGGGGAATAAATTGATATGTGAAAGCTATGCCACTTGCTTCATGGGTTTAAAGGTTGGCGCTAACGTAATAAACAGAAAAGAAGGGTAAAATATAAATTGACAATGATTGGGGAAAAAACAATCTGGATAAAGCGAAATACAGACAGCATTCGATGCAAAGGTTACCTGTTTATTATTTTTAGCAAACTCGAGTCCAATTCCAGAGACAGCGTCCCCTCGGTAGCCTGGAGGACACGCTTCACATTCGTACCCCGGGGATTTGTTAACACAGCGTGTCAGAGGATCACACGGGTCCCCTTCCACACACTCATCAATATCAACACACACCTGTGGCAAGAAAGGAACAACACACTTTAAGTGCATTTTTAAACCCCTATATTGTTTTTAAAAATGAAACCACCCTTACATAATATGATATCAATCATCATTCAAAAGGGTTTCACTCCCACCTGACTTTATTTGCTCATCAAGTACATTCTGTTAAAACAATGCTTCTTAAGATTCTATGTTAAAAATTGAAAACACTTTCAAACGTTTTTAAACTCATAATGCAAACAGAAGCAATGCAGTTGATATCATGGTGTACCTGTTTATTGTTTTTAGCAAACTCCAGTCCCACTCCCCTGACTGCATCCCCCCTGAATCCCGGGGGACAGGCCTCACACTGGTAACCAGGCTCTAAGTTGACACAGCGTACTCCAGGAGCACACGGATCTCCCTCCACACACTCGTTAATGTCTACACAAACCTATTTATGAGATAATTAGTATTCCCATGTAATAATTACACAGTCTGGAATAGACTTTACACTGAATGCTGAATTTACGTATTCATAAATTACTGGTTATCTAAGGTTCTCCTTTTATCAATAAACTATTCACTTTTTCAACGTGTAATTTTTTTTCAATTTCACAAAAAAGTCATGTCAGTGGTCAAAACTGATCAAATAACTTCGGTAAATACCTGCTTGTTGTTATTAGCAAAATCAAGCCCTACTCCCCCTACTGCATCCCCCCTGAATCCCGGGGGGCAGGCCTCACACTGGTAACCAGGCTCTAAGTTGACACAGCGCGTTCCCGGGGCACACGGATCTCCCTCCACACACTCGTTTATGTCTACACATATCTAGAAATTAAAACACAACAGCATATTTTAAATGATAAACACCCAACAACAAAAAATGTCACCGTAATTACTGATATATATCTTCCACCAGAAAATAGTATAATATTCATTTGGACATACGCATGTTCCCTTGTAGCTGAGTTTATCGAAATCCTTTTAAAATGATTTAATTCAGTCATATTATTTGAAGAGTTAAACTAATAATGCCAGAATTGGATAAACTAGACGTGTTATAATACAACCTAATAGCCTACAGGTAGGTCGTAATACAAAGATGACGACTAACTAGTAAAACAGCGGCTACATAACTATATTAAGACAGTTGCAACTCATTTTAGAATTACCTGTTTATTGTTTTTAGCAAACTCGAGCCCCACTCCCCTGACTGCATCTCCCCTGAATCCCGGGGGACAGGCCTCACACTGGTAACCAGGCTCTAAGTTGACACAGCGCACTCCGGGAGCACACGGATCTCCCTCCACACACTCGTTAATGTCTACACATATCTTTTAATAAAATGCAACAGCACATTTTAAACCCTAAGCACCAATGAAAATGTCATTTTTGCCAATATGCAGCATAATGCTTCTTTGATCAAATAGCCTTACGTATGGTTCAAATTGTAATTTAAGATGGGTGCGTTACTGATATTTGAATGATTTTTAAATTTAAAAATCAGATAGGTCGAAAATATGATATGGTTCAAATCTAACGCTTAACTAAATCGCTTAACAACCAACTCATAACTACGGTAGTAAAGCGGCAAATAAAAACAGTAAATATACCTGTTTATTGTTTTTAGCAAACTCGAGCCCCACTCCTCTGACTGCATCCCCCCTGAATCCCGGGGGACAGGCCTCACACTGGTAACCAGGCTCTAAGTTGACGCAGCGCACTCCAGGGGCACATGGATCTCCCTCCACACACTCGTTAATATCTACACATACCTGGAATTAGGGGATAACAACAGTGATGTTACTGCTCTGCTAGTTGACAGAAATAAAAAAACGGGGCTTTAAAACGTTTAAGTATAACACTCTTTGTTACGCCCCGCCTGGAGCAGGCCCTTTAAATATATAATTTCACACATACCCTGTAAAATAATTGGAACCAATTATTTAAAAGTGAATACCCTACCCAAGCGTCGTCATTTGCCTTCCATACCTGTTTGTTGTTTTTAGCAAACTCCAGTCCAACTCCAGAGACAGCGTCCCCTCGGTAGCCAGGAGGACACGCTTCACATTCGTACCCCGGGGATTTGTTAACACAGCGTGTCAGAGGGTCACACGGGTCCCCTTCCACACACTGGAATAGGAGAAACGGAATTTAACTGCATGTTTTAATATTTTTCAAAACGCAAACTTTTTTTTTGAAACCATGCTCATAAGATGCATGTAATTTATAGCAGATATTATAACTTTTTTCTCTTTTTCGTACTGTCTCTCAAATAAAACTGAAATCAATGAACCAATTTATTGATTTATTCATTGTATCGACTGCACTGATAATGATCACAGTAAGACACCAAACAGTTGCAATTGTATGGTCAACATTATGAGTTGCCATTAATAGTATCCGCTAAAACATTTAAAGGAACCAAATGATTTAATCTGACCTCATCGATATCCTCGCACGTGATGCCGTCACCACGGTAACCTTCAGGACACGGTCCACACTGGACCCCGGTGTCAATGTCCACACAGGGCACCCCGGGGAAACATGGCTGCATCTCACACGTCTCCCGTTTAGGGATGGCCACGCATCCCCCTGTGCCCTGGCCGTCCCCTGTATAGCCAGGTGGGCAGGGTCCACACTCGAACCCGTCTACACCGTCACGACACTGGACGCCTAATATGAAATTAATAAAGTGTAAATTGGGTTTCTTTTTAATTTTCTTGCCAGCCGTACTAGCAGTTGGTAAAAATATGATACATATATGTTAAATGTAGATAGAAAATAAAAAAACAAATGATGATGACCTGTGTTGATTCATTGTATTTCGTATTTCAATTAAACGTGATGACTTTCTGTGAATGGTTTAACAGCACTGATAAACAAATGTTTGGGATTACTATGTCCACAAACTTAGAGATTTAAACATACAGCAGTTGCCTTTATAACAATAAAAATGTATTTTTCTTTTCATAAACCCAAAACAAGTCGTGTGCATATATTTTTATGTGTACATGTAAGTCGTTAAAAGCAACAATTTGAATGTGTTTGCATTAAATTAATTTGGTCATGCATATTAAAGTTAATGCATAATTCACGGAGATGTCTGCTCCGTCATCAAATAAAAAAGTCGTTCGTAGCATTGCAAAACTCCTGCGCCGCGGGACAGCCGCTAACATGCTCCCGCATTTAATGAGCAAAAATAAAAGAAAAAACGAAGAGAATTATATTATCTACGCTGGAGAATAATACATTACATAAACATTCCGTTACGATCCAATTTGCTTTGCCGTGACGGACAGGTTCTTGTATTTGGATTTAGTTACTGGAGTTATTCTTGAAGTAATTTTAAGAGCTTATTCGTGTATTTTGAACAATAACATTACTTTCTTAAATGAGACGATTGGAAATTGTAAATAGCAAAAAGGAAAATAAACAGAAATTACATTTAAGGGAAAAAGGCTTGAAAAAACCGTCCGCACTGCAAGGCACTTGGCTAGAGTACAATGCAAGATCATTCATCATGAACATTCGCCGCGCCGTTGCCCTATATAAAAAGGGCAATGATTGCATATTCTCTAGTAGAACTATCTGTGGTTATTATGTGCGGTGATGGTAACAAAATAAACCTACAAATGTGAAGAAACTGGAACAGAAATAGGACAGATGAAACAAGATGTTAGAAAATGTCCTATAACGCGACCATAACGCCGTCTATACTGTCCTCTTACGTGTTATAGCCAGTTTAAACCGAAAACCTTTAGGATTTAAGCCTTTATTGGAAAACCTGGAAAATAGAAGGGATCAGGCAGTCTATATACTAAGGAGGTCCCAGGGGTGGCACCTGGTAACTATTTTGGGCGTACCACCCCCGGGACAAAGGTGATGCAAGGGTGGAGTGTTGGAAGGTGTATAGAAATGTGAATGGATGGGTGGGTCAAACGTTAAGGAGGTAGAAGCCTTTTAAAAGAATATTCTCACAATAGTTAAAGCTACTTAAGGAAATCACACTCTGATTTACATAGTGAAAAACATGAAGGATGTTAAAGTCTCATTTGGAAGTTGATTTTTTACAGCTGCCCTTACAGTTGCTGGGTCAAGAGCTAGACTGTACGGGTTTACTGCAGTTTTCTCGCTGATGTTAATCTTCATAAACTGTATTTTCTGAATCAAAAAATGCCCCCCCCCTCCAAAAAAATAAAATAATAATAATAATAATAAATTTCACAGACTAATAAAAGGTAGGCTATATTATGCAATGTTTGCTCCTATACCCAAAAATGTATTCGATATGTGACGGTTGTTAAGGGGATAACAGGGCAGTCGGTGCTACTTACCGTCGAAGCATGGTCTATCATTACATGTGATGAACCTGTTACAGCTCACTCCGTCCCCGGTATAACCTGGTGGGCAGGGACCACAAAGGTACCCACTGGGCGTGTCCAAACACTGTACCCCAGGGTAACATGGGCTGTTCTCACACCCGCCTCGGTACGGCAAACAGGTCTCTCCGTCTCCGCTGAACCCAGGCGGGCACTGGCCACACCTGTAGCCGAAGGGGGTCTCCTGGCACTGGACCCCTGGGTGGCAGGGATTGGGGTCACACCCTCCTCTGTAAGACTTACATGTCTTGCCATCACCGGTAAAACCAGGGGGACAGGGCCCACATATGTAGTCTCCATTGCCTGCACTAACACACTGCACCCCTTCAAAACATGGGTTTGGTTGACAGGCGTCTTTATGACACGTGATGCCGTCCCCGATGTGGCCCGGGGGGCAGGGCCCACAGCGGTAGTATGGTGGGGTTGGCGTGTCTTGGCACTGAACGCGGTGGTGACATGGGTTGGACGCGCAGCCTTGAATAGGTTCACACACCTCACCATTGCCCGTGTAGCCTGGTGGGCAGGGGCCGCACTCGAAACCATCGATAGTGTCCCGGCACTGGACCCCTGGGTAGCACGGAGAACTGTCACAACCGCGCACTGGGGCACACACTAGGCCGTCCCCAGTGAAACCAATTGGACATGGCCCACACCTGTACCAGCCTTCAGGTGTATCTTGACACTGCACCCCTGGGTAACATGGACCAGACGCGCAGGCGCCGAGAGGAACGCAGATTTCGCCGTCTCCAGTGAATCCTGGCGGGCAGGGCCCGCAGCGGAAGCCGTCTGGCAGGTCCCGGCATTCAACTCCCGGGGCACACGGATTGGATTCGCATCCTCTGATAAACTTGCACTCCTTTCCATTCCCTATGTGACCCGGTGGGCATGGTCCACATCGGAAGCCGCCATCAGGGGTATTCTCGCACTGGACCCCGGGGTAGCAGGGGTTGGAGTCACATGGCTTGGTGTCTGGCACGCAGTTCCGGCCATCCCCTGTGAACCCTGGGGGACAGGGGCCACAGCGATATCCATTGGGCGTATCCCGGCATTGGACGCCTGGATAGCAAGGGTCTGTAGAACAACCGGCCACGACTCGCGTGCACGATATCCCGTTCCCACTGAAACCAGGAGGACATGAGCCGCACTCAAAACCAGTGGGTGTGTCCTTACACGCCACGCCCGGGTAGCAAGGGTTGTTCTTGCATGTGATGAGAGGCTGCTCTTGCTGTGTTTTGGGGGCTGAAAATAGAAATCTTGCGGTGCATTTAAAGATATCTGCTGAAATATGGCAACGCCGGTTCGACCAAAAGGTGCCGAAAGTGATTGTGATAGAGAAGCATTTTAAATGTTTTGTTTTTTAACAACACTGCATATGAACTTAGAAATATGTGCGTTTGAGCTGTGCCTTCTAATAAATAAAAATACTGCTAATTTGAAAGGTCGCTTTACTTTTATAAATGATTTTCATCTGTCTTCAATGAATTGCTTCAGAGAAGACGTCGTGCAATGATCGCAGGTGCCAAAAGCATTTAAAATGATATATACGTGTACGTACTCTGCATTGTACAGTGAACTGAAGCGCTGAACATCGGGTTGATAAAAATCTGGCCCCTAAATCTTGAATTTTCTTATAAAGACTATTACAAAGAGACGACGAAATTCAGCTAAATGCATGTGTTAGTTCACAAAGTTTCAATGTTTTGAAACAGTAATCCATGCTTGTGGTTCAATACTATAATTATCAATTATCTCCCCCAATACATGTCGGGTTTCACGGTGTTCTGAATGACTACCGCTTTCCTCCTGGTTGTTGCGGTTGGCGATAATAGCGATGTTCCTCGTGCACTGTATTAACTTTAAGAAGTGCTCACTCTCTATGCAAGTAACATTACGAAGCTAAAGGGAGAGCAGGTTATGTGTGGGTTCACAAGAAAGAATAATTGCCCCACACAGTCCCTGTTTTGTAGTTAAGTAGCTGTAGATCGCTTCATCTGAACCTCTCTAGTCGTAAAAACTGCTAAGCAGGCTAAGTGTCGTTTGTGTTGCTGAACGTGGATGAAAGGACCGCATTTCATAATGTTGGCACGGGGTTTTCTCCGCTAGAGGTAAGGGCATGCATTGGCTCACGTGAAAAAAATGCTGAAAACAGTTGGCCCTTTATGACGGTCTGGTTAAATCACCTTTTCTGAAAGGGTACAGCTGGACTACGTAACAATTTAGCTTCTAATTTCAGCTTTGTACTTTGGGAGACTTTTTGTACTATAGAAGCTATCGAGTCAAAACATTTAAATGGTTTAGGAAAAAAGAAGCAGTATTTAGCTAAATTTCATTGACTTATAAGAATCACTTTCATATATAATCCATAGTTCGGGCCTTTTTTTATCTACCCGATGTGAGTAAACGATACGTTAATATATAACATACCATGCTCTGTAACTAAAGATGCGTGCAACCAATTGGTCAAAATGCCTAATGATGTAACCATGGCATAAAATAGATTGGATTCGAACATTCCTTGACCATTTGTGCGCGTGAGGAACGTACCCCACAGGGGTTTTGTTGAGGACTCGAAATAACTCAACTTGGAATTTTAAAAACGAACGTCTTTTGATTAAAGATAACTGATATACCTTTACACATGTAGCAGTTTGCCATAGTGGATACCAACTGGCGGGTTTCCCTCATCTGGAAAATATAATTCAAGCTTTTTTGATAGGAATCAAAGAGAAAACGTATTTTCCATGGAAGAAATGTGTTTTCTTGCTTACAGATTTGGGCCAATTAAGTACACTCACGTGTATAACCTAAGTTAAAACCGTGAGGACGTCTGGTTGCTTTTTACATAAACCTCTTGCACTGTGTTAACTTCTGTGCACAACCCAACTTTTTATACATTTTTTTTGTATTTTCTCATTGAAATTAAAAGTTGTGTTAATTTACCAAGTAAACGTAAGCACCTGAAATAAAAAAAAATAAGTAGAATGGGTTTGAGTACTTTTGAAATGGAGAAACGGATTTAATAATGCTTACCTGAATACGAAAATCTGCCTGGAGTTCTTGCATTGTTTTAATGAGATCCACCATTGTCGATACAATTGCATCGCCCACGCCATTACCTGGAGGAAGGAAAATTCTGATAGAAAATATTCCTGCTTTGGGAAAAAATCCCATTTTAAGAAGACTTAAGTTACCAGCACTTCATTATCCTTAGATAAAGTTTTCATACTTGTTTTATTTCGCTTTGATGGCTGCCTTGGTGTGGCAATTATAAGTGAAACTGTTTTGGGCCCAATTCCGTAAGGCAAGGATGTGGCAGAGCATGGCGTTCTCGTGTTCACAACACTGGTTCACACACAAAAAGGCTGTGTAAAAGCGCCTTTTTAATGAAAACAAACGTTGGATAGATGACTTTATCTCACAAACATATCTCCGTCCCTCCCAAAATATTTTAATGGTCTGACCAAGCTTCCCCTGTTGTTAATGCTAGCCCCGTCTTTTTATATGTTATGACTTGCTTCAGGGAGCGTCTAAGCAGTTGTAATGTGGTACATATATCAAGTGACAAGATGACATCCGCTGTGCATTGGTGTCCAGAAAGATGTTCGCATGCGATTCATAAAAAGCCAATTGTTATTTTTCAAGCAGTTGCCTCTTACGTAAAGAGTGTTGACATTTTCGAAAGTCACTCTCTCAAAACAAGGCGAAGACGCCCCTATTACGTGTTAATTGCTGGCAAAATACAGAGGGTTGTTTAGAAAATTGGCAGTGCGCGCCTAGTAGGGACAACATCCAAGGAAACACCGGGCGCGTATTTCAGTGCCACGCACTATACAACAACAACGTCTGGCAGGAAATTAAAACTGATTGAGACCTTCTGTAATGTTGGCTCGGTAGCCATTGCCATTAAGATGGTGTTTCAACGTTTAAGACTTGACAAATTCAATTTTTCTCTCAAAGACATCTTAAATTGTATCCAACAGACCTTTTGTGCCTTGGACTTGTTGGGTTCCGTTGTGTTGGAATTTTATTACTATGTGCGTCAATATGTGATAACGAAGAATGGCCCGGGATTGCCTTGATATTTTGAGATCCTAGATGCGGGATAAAGCGACTAAAATACATTCAGAGAACGTTTCGCTTAAGTTGCTTTACAATTACTCGTAGGCAACAAAAAAGTGGGCAACACACTATAATAGCTTTGAATGTTTTAGCTGATAAAATTACCTGCAGCTGACGTCAGCAAGTTATCTCTCTCGTCTGCAACCGGTCTGTCGGCTCGTGGTTGTTCGCAGTTTCTAACAATAGCTCGTGCATTGTCGTCTGTCACTATATTCATGTGTCGGTGAAATGCCTATTAAAATGAACCACAATGAGCAGAGTAGAAAGTGGAAAAGAAAAAAAACTGAAATAATTCATTCAAAACACATATCTTAGATTACAGAATCGGTATCTATTCACTTGTGAATCACTCATTACAGATAACATTGTATATGTACATGTATGTAAGTCTACAATGTATTTGTAAGCCTATTTTCTAGATTAGAGCAATGAAGGGTGACGGAGGATATTTGCCGGAAGCCAGATGACCCGAGTTTTAGTTACACAACGTGTGTGGCACTGGGTTATGGTGCCAACAGACTCTTATAATTTGGTTTTTATGTTCTTCAATCAAGTGTTTCTAAAAATAACCCAGCTATGTGTAACTGATGTTCTTACAATGTGTTACATACTGTGTATGTGTGTGTATGCGCGTGCGTGCACGCGTGTGTGTTGCATACTTTTCTATAAATACACTGTTGAGTAACAATGTTTAATAGAAAGGTAGGGAAAAGTGCGACAAGTATGGTGTATGTCTCTCCTCGCCACATCCCTTATAGAATTCGTAAAATAGCTACATATTTATATGGGTGAAATTGTTTTTTAATAATGCATCAGATAGAACCCCAATAAAGTCCAACACTTTGAACTGTTACCGCTTGGTTTCCATAGTTACATAATATTTTCCTAGATACCCGTGATAATATTAGGATTACCAAAAAAAAAAAAAAAGGTCTATAATTGCAAATTTGATGTTGTTTTGTTGATGACAATATCAAAAAAGACCATAATTCCATATCGTACATCAGTCAAGTTTTTAAATAGTTTCATTACTTTCTAATGACTTACATCTAGATTATTTGTCCATTTAGTTATCTTTAACATCGTCTAATATAAGACTATAAAATAAATAGATGCCACATGTGACACTTTAAATCTATATACCCATACAAGAACCCCTCCCCTTGTATAAACAGATTAATAATTTGGCAAAGCGTGAATTGAAGTTTGTGATTCAATTTTGAAAAGGTTGTTTTTTTTAGCATTCTAAAAAATCATTTTAAAATTATTTCAGAATGCATAAGTGAGACTTATTATTCAATTGCTCTCATTCAAGAGCTGTAGTTATATAAATCCCAGGAAAAGCGGATACGTATGCGCCGCCATAAAAAAATCTGTTTTCCGACTTTCCATCATTTCATAGGCGAAACTCATCCCCTCTGAACAGATACATCTTTTGAGCGCGCACACATACATGTACCACGTGTATCAACAATGACAAGTATTGTGTACGTGGTTTTGGTATCGATATCATAAATGGCATTTCAGAAACACAACACGTGTTTTTCCCGCCTGTAAATCCGTGAATGGGCACTTGTTGTCTGGTAGTACGTAGCAGGTGAGGAACATCATGCACTTGAGAAAACTGGGGCACCCCGCGCAGAGTTGTTTCGTGTTATCAGTAAACGCATCGGACAGTGCAAATCATCTCTGCTTCTCAAAAAAGGGAATTATTCTAAATATACTATGACGCTTGTTTTAGGGGAATGGATACCTTTAAAGGAAGAATTCACCGCCGCCCTCCAGTAAAATCAATAGATTTGAAGATAGTGGGCTTTGAAGCCCTTCTCGGTATTTTACCCCCTGCGATATACATTTCCCCTCGTTAAATTTTTTTTTTTTTTCAAATCTCAAAAAACACACATTTCCCCACCGTAAAACTTTCATCTCCTTAGATCCCATCAAAAAGGAAAGAAAAAAATGCACCTTATTTCAACTCTCTTAAACTCAATTGGTACGAACAGAAGTGGTTAAATGTGTTATACAGGGTAAAACTGTGGAAATGCCTGAGTTGAAAGGCGAAACAAGTGCTGTTACACATACCCCGGGTATTCATTGCGATTTATTTGTTTTTGCAAACTTTTTTTTTTCATTTGTCAGCATGTTGTCATTGGATACATTTCTAGGAAAATATCCTTACTGTAAGGCAAGGTCACGTGGACTTAAATCATCAATGACGTCAGGAAAACTAGTCTTGGAACTGATTGTCAGAATAAATAGGCAACTAAAGACGAATAAAAAAATCTGACTGCTTGTTTAAATGTAAGCAAAAAAGTAAATCAATAGCCTGTAACATGATCTTATTATTCATTCATGCAGAGAAAGCCGTTCACAAATCATCTGATTTTAAAAGTACACATATTGGGTTTGGCGTAGTCACGTAAAATGAGTTCATTGCAATTATTTACAAGCAACGACTGAAATTGCGACCCACCGTAATTGCTCATCAATTGAAATGCCAAAAACAAAATGCAAAATCGTGGGAAGCAGTCGTTACATGTGTACAAAGAAGTAAGATTTGGCTAACTGTTTGCACCAATTCATTTAATCGAGCCACTTGACACTCCAGTCGACTGCACCGCCTCTGCGCGCGTCACATTCCGCCACACTACGTCCCTCTCTCCTTTGGCATGAAATAAATGGGAAACCCGAGGCTATCTCCGACAAAAAGTAGTTCTCAAATAACAAGATAAACACCTAGATATCCAAGTGAAACATTTAACCACTTCAGGGCCCCGTCCCCCCTCATGTCGACACGTGCCTCGCGTTCTGCATCAATGACCTGCCAAGTGATCCCGAACTTCTAAGTCAGCGTCCCAACAGGTTGTCAGGATGTCTTTAAGAAATCCTATCGTGCAATTAGATCAACGTCAACACAGGGAAATTCATCATTTTTTATCCTTCGAAATCATAGAATTGCAGTCTACAGAGACAAATCCTTTAATCTGTCCTGCTTCAAAAGTTGAGATATTTATGGGACATTTACATTGGCGCTTTAGTGATATGTGACATGTCAGTTAAGAAAATAATCATACGTACCATCTAACCAAACACACGCTGTCAAAGTCTTATCAAGTAGGCCTACAAGCCATTTCATTACTTTTCATTGACCCAGGAAACCCAAAAAGGGGCAACTTTATTCAGAGTACAAAAAAGTCGGCCCCAATCAGAGAAAATAAACAAGAGGGTTTAAATGACTGAAAGTTATTAACATTTTTTACTTGTATCTTTTAACTGCAAGTTCCAGAGAAGGGAGGGGACTGAAGTAAAACAATTGAATTAACAGAATAAAGGCAGTGCAATGGCTGTAATTTTTGTTTTTAGTTTCTGAAGTGCAACTGTACAAGTTCAACTTCTTGTTGACATAAACTAATTAAAACGACGTTCCGTTTGCCTGTAGCGCGCTATCTAGCAGTATATATTGCGAAACCAATTGGTATTTTTTTTACTTTAATAAATGGGGATTAAACTTAAAAGTTATATGTGGAAACATTCCCTAAGTATACCCAGGTGTGAAACATATTGCAATACTTAACTGATAGACAGGTTCTAACTGGGTTAAAAAACAGATGGGACATTAAAGACAGGTGTCATGACTAGATGCCCTAAAGACCCCCTAATTCAGTCACTGAAGTAGTTAAGCAAGCTATGCTTTCTCTAATTTGCACCATTCTCGAAAAAAAAACAAAATGTGTCAGAATGCTGTTTTCTTTACCATACATGTCTTTTTGTAGAAGTGCAGCTGACACGGTCACACCTACCGTTGACGTTGACGTATTTTGTAACAGTATGTCTTTCAGGCCTCCAGTCGTGAAGAACCTTCCCACTGACACACAGTCCACGTACACCTGGACCACAGAGGTCGCCTCCTGCAGGTCCCACAGGTGAATGATCACATTGTACGTCGCACTGGACACTCCGTGGGGAAACTTCGTTAAAAAAGGTCTGGAATTCACACTCGTTAGCACTGGAATCAAGGAAATAAACATAGGCTTCTTCATCTCTTTGATTACAATTATGATCTGGTATATTGTTCCAAGGTGCATTTCTTGTTTAAAGGACATTAAGTAGACTTCAAAAGACATTAAGTAATGAAAATACACATAGCAAAAATATCAGTTCAGTAATTTTCATTATTTCACAAGAATAGACGCCGTTAATACTTACAACACACTTTAGAAAATATATAGTTTAGCAGAACTTTGACAAATCCTTAATTGTTCGTTATTGGTTTAGCAAGTGAATTTTATATAAACTGCCCAAGAAAGCTTTTTTTGTGTCTTTTAAAACAAACCGCAAAAACAACATTTTGGAAACCATTTATTGCGCTATTCACAACCTAAAGGAGCTGAACGGCCATTGTACGGCATTTAATCACCGATGTATAAGAACTTATTCTATAGATTTTTATAGTGCAGCAACATGGAAGTACTTGTGATGGATTAGGTCAAAAACCTTGATCACTGTACATGTAGCAAAGCTATTGGGTAACTACGCCTACATTGGGTTCTTCACTTTTGCGCTACTGGACATAAATTCATTTTAATTGCTTCACGTTCTTTAAAAACTATGTACCTCTTTACTTGATGGACATCAACAATTTGTGGAATGTCACCACGCTCGGAGTAGATGCCTTTTGGTTTGTGGTGGAACTCTAAAGTATTTTACTACTATTTACGAGGAAGGGGATCTTATTTATATCTAAGATAAAGAATGTTACGAATGAGTTGTCGAAGGAGAAGACATTTAGATGTCATTTTTGGTTGTTTAGGACAGAAATCATTTGCACTGATATCACGATTATGTACAGCAATACATAAATCATTAAAGAACCAAGTGTTCTATTTTGACTGACTGGAAATAAAAACAGCAAGTAATTCTAGAACTAATGAGGTTTGTATAAAATTCCATTTAATTCGTTTCACAGTTAACAGAAACTCGAGGAAAATATATAAAGTATTCAGTGAGCCATGCCAAAAAGCCTGAACACATTTGCTATCATGCCTAACCGTTTATTTTTTTCTCAGTCTCTTGAGGTCCCACTACGGGACCCTTTAAACAGGTGGTTTAGCAATACGCATAATAATTTGCTTTTCAAAGACGTCCTTTCTCAAAGGATTATTTTCACTCCGTAGGACGAATTTAGATACAAGTCGCCGAGAAAAAAGTGCTCGAATTCCGAATGCGTCGGTGTTAAAGAATGTGGTATTGCTTGCTAATTTGAACCATACCTCTCACCATTATGCCCCCGTGCTGAGAAATATCATAAAATGTCTACTGCCAGCATAATTGGCACTATAGACAAGAATATTGGATTTGAATCAATCTGGCTTTAAGAAAACACTGGCATATTATTTTATTAAACAGTAACCAAGACTTTTCTCGGGTACCTTTTAGTGCAGACATTTAACCCCAGTTGCCCTAAAACGCTCTAAACATACTCTCCTGTCAGTCGCAGCCGTTCTCTGCTACCTCACTGCCTTTCATGACATCTAAAATAATCTTTTGTTAAAACAAGGAAACTGTTTTGTAACAAAATACGTCTTTGCAATTTGCCGAAAAAGAGCTCACAGACTGTATGCAAGCGTTCACAGCCACTGTCTCCACAGGGAGTTCCTCCTATGTTTCTTGACCGACATTTTTACTGTTTCCCCATATTTGTTTTGACAAAACAGAAAGGATGCGTCACTCAGAAAGTTGCTGGGTAGCGTTGCCTCAATATCTCTCAATTCTCCCGTAGTTATACACTTTGAAACCTACCTTTTACGTTGTTTCTGTCTAAGGTCATTTCCAACTGCTTTTTGTCTTCTACCCGTATTGAAAATAGCGTGACAGACTTTTTCCTTCGCAGCGATACATCTCCTATCACTGCCACCTCCGTATGCGCTGTCAAGGCACGCACTAGGTCCTTCCGTGCTGCATCTGGCGTGAAAAAACAAACGTGAAACACGAGTGATTAGGTAATGAAAAAGACCGTCATGCAAACCAATTACAAAATAAAGGAGGTCAAATAGGATCGAGAATTACAATATTGAATGTACTTTTCGATAGAGATGGAATGGTTAAAAAAAGTTAAAAATTACACAGTTTAAAGAATTCTCTTGCGATTTTTAAACCATCTGCACATGACGGTGTAATAAAACGTTTTCCATACGAAAAACCACAACTTGGGATATCAAAATGACAACAATAAACAACAAAGTTCGGCAACATCTGCAGAAACAAGAAACCTCAGCTTACAATCTGTGCTTAATATCAACCAGATCAAATATCAACTGTTATTGTTTTGAAGATCAATATTTGATACTTGGTCTCTCCAGTCGCATTCAGCTTTAACTAGACGTTAATTTTGTTGTTTATAACCCAGCGTCAGTGCAACATTCTAGTAATATCTACACAGCAAGAGTATAATGCTGAACAAAGCCTGGCTTCTGGAATCGACCATAACAGTTCTTGGGTTTGTAACCCCTAAATGCTTAGCCTCACGTTCAGCGCGTGATCTGTACCGATGTCTTTGTTACTAATCTAGTACAGTGTTATGTCATATTCCTTACCGTGTTTTTTGTCCTGTTTGCTGTTAGCGGCGAAACAACATGCCGCAAAAAAGAACGTTATAAGGCAACTCTTTTTGAAGTCTGGTCCCATTGCATAGGAATGTCAGATTGCAGTTCTCAAGAGATATCCGTGTTAATATAACATAGGGCCGTTGCTGCTGCTTGGAGGCTGAGTATACAGTTGGTTTTACACCGTTCTGAGATCCAAAGTGACATATATCCAGTAGCCTAAAGGTCGCGGTTTTGCACTGGTTACAAGTGCTTTTTCATGGAATACTTATTGCAGGTTATCGAGGGAGAGGGTTCACAATACTATAGTTGTCGAGTTAAAGCATATGTACTGTCGTCTTGCTAGTCCTGAGGCGCTATCACCATTCACTGACTGCAGACAGCGGATCACTGCTCTCTTCTAATTCGATACAACTTACTTTATAAAGCAAACACTGGCATCTACCACCGGTAGCGGTTAATTAATTAAAGCTGGCAGCGCGAAGGCGTTTGCACTGCTGTCCCTGCACACAGAATTGTCCAAAGTCAGAAAAGAGGCAGGTTTGGTAACCTTTTTTATTTAAAAAGAATTAAGCCACGCCCAGCCAGGAACTGGCTCACTTCCGTTGCGCTGTAAATTTCGGGAGCACGTTTCATGATATGTATTGTGGCTTTAACTGTATATAGCACCAAATCAAATTCTTCACACCTGTTTTTCCAATGAAGTATTTGCTCTCGCGTTACAAGAAGTGGAGATGTCTTTTGACTGCCATTATTGGGTTCTGTGATATACGATTTTTTTTCTCTAATTGCCATTGTGACCTGATACTTGAAACAGGCCTATGTCCTGGCAACATACCCGTTTATTACGCGGTTCAATAAAATGAAAGTTTGGAATCGTGGCCTGAAGAGGTAATAGGGGGGCTGTCAACCACCCTGCTTATATTTGTTTTTACAATGATAGACACAACCCAGATGTGGTCCGTTCATTGCTGTTGATTTCGTTCTTGCAATCCATACCAATTACACCCAAACAATTAGAGGATTACTTTTTTTAAAAATCTTTTTAGACAGGAAAAACAATTTGTGCTCTTTTTGATAGTGATTTTGAAAAAAAAAGATAAATAGCTTTTGTAAATATATGGGGCCAAATTAGGTCCCCACGTGTTTGCTGATTGTTTCCGATCTGTATGTTCTTTGCTCCCTCTGCAATATACTAACATGACGACCTTGGAATTATTAAGTACTCCAGCTGCTCAGTAGAGCGAAACATTACTTTTCAACCACTATTAAATAACTTCAGACATATTAATTGGATTTTACCGTGGGCGTTGGAAGCAATATTTTCTGAACCGATCAATCGTAACAAACAAATTGTTTTAGTACCTATATCTCGGCCGGTGACTAAGCCCATGTTTCTGTTACGGAGTGTGGAAATGGAAATAACGCTTGGTCTTAAGTCTGTTTTCAACTTCGTGTTGGGGGTTTAATCGGAAACAATTCCGGAAATGCAGTGATCTAAAGCTTATTTTTCAAAAAGATGAAAAGCTTCCCAAACCCACGTTGCCTTAGCTATGCTTTCTTGTCATTAAATTTCAATATAATTTAAACAATAAACATTCCTAGGCAAAGTTGATTGCAATATATGTAAAATACCTTTCAATAAATTCCTGTGATATAATAAAATTCACTTCAGTAGATTTAAACAATAACCACACATTTATACGAATGTGGATTAGGGGCCCAATCTGGCATAAACATAAGAAAAAAAACTCAGTAGCAATTAGATCTGGTGCCGCGTTGAATTCCATCATGGCTCATTTTGAAAATTACGTTTCTAATGGCGTTCTTTTCTTGAAAACAGGAAAAGATAGGAACCGGTCCGTGCTATGTTGATGGCCTATACATGGGCTTTGCTCAATTTTTTAGATTTCTTTTCGATCATTCGATACTGAGGAATTCGTGTCCTCGTGAACTGTAACTATAACGAACCGTGAGACAGAGAGGACGCTTCCTGAGTGAAATGGAAGCGAGGGAAGGGACTATAGTTTTGGACCTGTTAATATTTATATCGTTTCCCTCTGTTTCAACGACGGGAGATACACATGGAGACACTGGGACGAAAAAGGCGATTTTATCAATGTTTTTACTCTTTTCTAATCACTGGCATTAAGTATTTGAGTTTCTGACATATTTTTAATATTTATTCAAAAAAATTCAGTTTGCCACTAAATTTTACAGAGCTCTATCTTTTTCATTTCCTAATAGGATAGTAGGACAGTAGCTTTTAAAAACATTCATGACATCATTCAAGTAGTACATGTACGTTAAAGCGTCAAATCATCAATTTAGTATGAATCTCTGACTTTCATCATTTATAATAGGCCTTCGGGGGTCTACCCCTCTCTCTCCTTGCCTGCCCTCGCTTCTACACGACTAAGGTCGTTTTTTATGTAGTAAAGTAACAGAACAATTAGTAGCAGTATTTTGATTTATTGCATTGAAAGCAGAACCAAGCGTGACTCTACTGTAACTTCACACACTTAACCTGCACATAACTGGGAACAATACTTTCCAATTATGGCTCAGCTAAGTGTTTTTAACCATGCATTACTTACGGCCGGTTTGAAATACACAGTGTGCAAGCGCAGAATATGTGCCCTTCAAAAGCTTCGGTTTCGGTGAACTAGACGTTTTGCCAAGGCAGGTTTCATACGCACTCCACTCAACAGAAATGGCATATGAATGCAGTAGTTGTGAAACGTGATTTATCTAATTGCGCTGGAGACGACACAAACCAGCACTTCAATCGCATTTCCGCATTTGAGATTCCACAGTTTGTTTCGGCATCTCAACTTTTCTTGTGTGCAAGGCAACGGTTATCTAAGGTTTCGGCGAGTAACTACAACGGCAGCGGATACGTTAATGACCGTTTTAATAGTCGGCGGAAGAAAAGATTTTGTGTCCTTGACTTGGCAAAACATGAAGTCTATGCAGATCAAAAGGAGTGTTTAGATACAAACAGGGTGCACCTCGAGCCAACACTAACCAGTCATCATCTTCATTGGATATCGTTACTGATATTGTGATCGTAGATTTGACCAACAACTTGTCAACTGTCTAAATCGTGGGCTCACCCTCACCGATGGAGATTTGGCAAGAATTTCTATTCTTTTAGATCGCAAAATTCATTATAGTATGATAAAATTGCCATGTTTTTATATTGGCATTATGCGACAAAATCTCTTCAAACGACTCGTATCATAAAAATCCATTTATTCATCACTTATAAAGATTATAACATATTACCATACATCATCGAAATCTACGATAAACTAACACTTGCCCCATGACAATGTCTCATTGAAAGGGCCTATCTTTGTAAGTTTTATACTTTGCGTTACTTCGCCGCAGTACTGGTACCACTGTGAAAAAGAAATCAAACGCTACAAAACCGACTCGGATTAAACGTGAGTCGACATTTGTTTATACTCCTCTGGAAATGTAACGACTAAGTCAACATGAAATATTGTAAGTTGCCTACACAACTCACTTTGAGATTTGTTATCATATTATTTTCTAATGAACATTGTGGCCTAGCCATGCATGTAGATAACTCGCCTCCCAGCAGACGACACTTACGTAATCCGATCCATTTAGTCATCTAAAATGGAATGATTTGCATATCAAAAGGGATGGCATGCGTATGCGTTTCTACAAAAATCTGAAGGAGAATCTCTTTGTCTATGGAAGACATAGTGATGTACATAGAACGTGTTGTTGGTTTTTCCAATCACAATTCCCCTAAATGTGTATTATCATATGTCAAAATATACAAGGTAGTTTGGAAAACTATGTGAGTCACGTATTCTCAACGTCGTATAACAAAATGAATCTAAAACAGATGTATAATTTCTACAGCCCGCCTTGATTAAATCCGTAATAAAATAACGTTAAGATGGATGAAACTCAATTTTTCGTATCTGAGCAAAAGAATCCCCTATATATGATTTTTTACACATGTACTACCTTGGAGAGAAATATATATACACACATTTCTGAGGTAATACAGCCGTCCAATATGGCGGCCTTTTGAGATCCATATACAAGATGTTCCAAATGTAAAAGATCATGGGACGAAGAATTTCTAACTTGAATTTCGTTGGATTTTCGAACAATTCTGCTTCACTGTTAAATTTGGAACCCGCATGCAACGGGAGAAAATACAAGTCAATATGAGGAGACATTCTGTCCATTTCTCACAATCAATGTCTTCTTCATGACACATACATAATCAAATGCATGGTAATAAAGATAATTATGATAAATGTTACAGTGATCAACACGATGACGTAAGGAAGGAAATGGTGTGCTTTTAGCCGTCACTACATTTGCTTAAAATTTAGCAGTTATCGTGGCTTCTTGAGAAGTAATGTTATGAATTTTTATCCTTATGGAAGTTTTTATATATACACAGTGTTACCTTGTGAAGACCTACCAGCATGTCGCCTGAACCTGTGTGATTTGTAACCTTCTTGTCTATCAATTTCACCACCCCGTGACATGATATGAAATGGTGCCTATTTCAATCGGATAAATGCTATTTGTTCCTTAAAAATATTGTGACATGATAACAAAGATGTAACTTCGACACAGATTATCAAATTATCGAAAACATGACCTACGCTACGTAATACTTTTATGTTATAATATCGGGGATGCCTAGGCACATAGACAGTAATAGTGTATATGATATATAACGCTGAGGTATGTTATAATATCGGGGTGCCTGTACACAATATAGTCCCGATATATGTCATACATATTATTAGAACACCAAGAACAGATACACTACATTAAACTTATTCTCTCGTGTGAGCAACATTACTCGTTAACATCGGTCTCACCAGTACACGTATAAGAATATTACCTACAGACTGAATAGATTTTAAATATATGAAAATTTCAATATTGGCATACGAGGCTTCTCAGCTCTTCAATCAATGAAGAGCATTCACACTATCATTGCACAAATGTTACATATTTCTATGCTACTTACATCATTTTTCTTAACAGAAGACACGATTCAGAGGGAAGAAAGGATCTTGACAATGACATGCTTGCACATCAATCCTGTGCCAGGTCCACTACGCAATCTTTCAATTTACCAACAACATTCATTAACACTGAAGACAAAAAATTAATAAATTCGGATCACGAGGTACATATTAAGACAAGCATTGTCCATTGGTCCTTTTGTAACTGTTGCGCGGGGCACGTGGCTTCAGACCCTTATGAACCCTACTGCTTATCGTGTCTACCCCTACCCCAAATTATGAGAATCGCAATAATTAGTTACAGTTAACGAAAATAAAATATACCAAGTAAAAAGGGACATATTTACATATTGACAAAAACCGCATGAAAAGCGAAATAAAAAACCTACAACATTAATAGTACAAAAGGGTTTGTTTTTCCTATCTTCATACAAATGCCACATTCTCAAAGCTTTCTGGTTGTTAGTATAATAATGGTAACATCAAACGCAAGGCCTTTGCTTTGCTATGTAGTAGAAGAACCCAAGTGTCTTTTTAATCGCACGTCCTTTACTTTGGGTCAGCTACCACGCGTTTGTATTCCCCCTGACTTGCTCACAACCACCAACGGCGAGTGCGGGGAATGTAGCATATTGCACAAGCCTTGAGCATTCATTGGTTGGATTAACCACCAATAGAGCTATCTTCCTCTATTATGCGCGGAGCTAGTTTGGATTCTTGAGACCCCGCGCGGTTCCGTTTTTAAAATGTCATACTATGATAGGTATGTCCGCCATATATGCACTGGTAATAATAAGATAATTATTAGATACTGGTTTAAGTAGAATGTCCTGCATGAACCATTACCTACTGCACCTACTGACCCAGGCTTGCTGGTGGATTTAGGTTTGTCGGTTTCGACCTTATATGGTGGATTCTTAGTCCCTTCAGGTTTTGAGGTTATTTTTTCTGTAGTGGTAGTAGCTTTAGTGGTTGATGGCAAGTCCTTACAGTCCTCTTCTGTGGATGTCATTTTCTCAAGAACATATTCCGGTGAAGCCCCAATGCCGAGGCCAAACCTCAAGGCAGTTTGGTCGTCACAATCCCCTGCCATACTGGCATACGCAGTGCCAGGTTTATCAATAGGGAAGTTCCAACACTGTATCTCAGACGTTGCTTTGTCTTCAGTAACAATGAATTGTCCACCGCCAGACCCGTCGTACGAAGCGAGACAAGAAAATGTAGTTGTAGAAGGGCTAGCCGAACAGTCTGATAACTTCATCGTCATCTCTTTTTGGTTATAGCAGGATTTATGTGCCAAGTTCCCTTTACAAGCGGCGCCTTCGACTTGAGTTGTGAAGGAATAGTTTGCCCGGAGATCACACGGAACTGTTTCCGTGTTGTACTTTCTTACGAGATTACGGAGGAGCTCACTTCTGTAAGTGTCAAAGAGTGGAGGTAGATCACTACGGAAACTTCTGGTGTCACACAAGGTTTCGGAAGAGAACAGAGGCCAATTAATACTAATTCCTACCCTGTACTGGATGACCGATCGAGTAACATTCTCCATATTAAGACAAGAAAAACGCGGGCGACATCCGTTGGCGAAAGAGGTGACTACGGGATAGAGGTTGTTTGCTACTTGGCCACTCAGCTGAATCGGTTGAAATGTGGCAAAGTTCTCGATGTTGATCGTGTTGGTGTTTATTTTGACGGATGCTTGACCCCGTGCTGTGGACTTGATCCACTCTCCTCGGAAACCTGACGGGAAATCGAGGAAGGTGGGGTAAGTATCTGGAGAACAGAGGCCACAAGTAGCAGGGCAGTGTTTGGCCACCACCTCGTCAGTGCAGGAGCCGACCAGTGTTGTACACTTTGGAAACGCGTCCTTGCAGAGAGCGCCCAGTTTCATACTTGTCATGGTTAGAGTAAGGTAATTCATGGTATGTGAGAAACTGGCTCCGCGGTCAAACACAACATCCTTCATGAGATGAGCGGTGAAGGAGGATCCTCCTCGGGTTGGGAAACGTAGACCCCAGTAGTAGGTGCGTTTAGCATGACGGAGCACTGCAAATGTGTATGGCCCTTCAGTCCAGCTAGCCAGGCAGTGGACGGCGTCACCCGAATTCAAGAGAAGAGTCCTCATCATACATCTTCCGCCACCGGGGAATGTAAAAACTATTCCTTCGCCCACCAGACACTCGCTTTCCATGCGGGGAGGGACGAATTCATCTGCGCAAAGTTCTCTGTTCTTCTTATTGTCGTATATTTCCAGATCGAAACCGTCCATGAGCGGACACTTATGGTAGTTGGTCCGGACGTCGCGCTCCTCCAGCATTGGCCAGTCGTCCAAAAGCAGATTCTGGTCGTCGCACAAAGATATATCATAAGTCGAGCTCAGCTCAGCTTCCTTCATTTGAACGACGTTCCTGGTTCTCTGTATAAATTGCATACAAGTATACTTCATTACTCCGGTAGAGTCTTTATGGCGCACTAAGAATTTGTCACCGTTAACGACTTCCTCACACGTGCGGTTATAAGGAGATGGTGGGTTTCTGGCACGACGACCGGCTTTCACTTTCACCATCATAGAACCGCCTTGGAAGTAAACTTTGGTTTGCACTGCCGTAAACGACCTCTCATTGTTTTGGTCCATAACTTTATACAGCCAGTGGCTACCCGGAATGTCTGGGTGTGGCTGGAGAAAATCTGGGAAATTGCAAACTCCATACACGGTCACAGGGAGGATGAATAATTGGAACCAGACAGTTAAAGTCCTCATGGTTGCCATTTTTATTCTCGACGTCTGTCGTGCTGTCTCTGTAGATTCACACTAGATTTCTGAAAAGAGATAAGTAAAATATCTATAAAGACCATATGCATTTGACACTGAAACTGGACTTCAAACGAAATATAAAAGCAATTATCTTCCTGGCTGATTTCCTAGAATAGTAAAATTATGGCGTTGCACACGCTGTACACACATTGCTAACTGTCTCCGGACTCTCCAAAATCGTCCATTACGACGTGTTTCCTAGGAAACGGGCTATTTACGAGGTATGTAATTGGTCGTTCGTTAATTTGCAGGGGGTTAATAACCCGTTGGTCTCAAAACCTGCGTTAATGTAAGTTTCATTATATATAGATGTCCCCACACATACTTCATATCAGATTTTATGTTCAGGATCAAAGGGCCACGCAGGGTGAGGTATTCAAATCACTGAACTCTCAACGTACACGAAAAACGTGGTCTCTTCGGAACACAGTCAACACAAACTTTTGTAATTATTCTTTAATCTATCGTAAAAGTTGCGCGAAAATCTGCTGTTATCGGAAGACGTTACATGTAAATCGTTTTTTATGATCCTTGTTCTTATGGAATTTCTTCATTATTTCCTGAAAAGACATAGCTTTAAGCCACAAAAAGATTCTGAAATGATTCTAATTGTGTTCAAAACGCTTGTTCAAATTTACATAGCAGCTACTATATGGTATGTCCATATTTGCCGACGTTAATTTTCCACTGGGACGACAAACCCTTCTTTGATACAGCAATCACCATGTTGAAGGGGCGAGTGTCTGTAATATTTGCAATGGATTAAGGTTTATGTTGACTTCGTGCGAAACAACCTCATTCAAGCGCGATGCTGAGTATATCTATTGCTTAATTGGGGTCTGTTATTAGATAACTTTACACTTCGAGAACTCGTCTTTATTTGTGTTACTCCTAAGCATAGTCGACGTTTTTGTTTGCATGGGGCAAACTTACGCTCTTTGGACGTTCGGATGACACTCATATCTTGCCAGACGCCATTTTATGGAGATAACAAGGTAGTGCCAATGTATAATCGAGTCCCTTACGGGAGTTTACAAACACTGAGTTATAACACGTGCGTGTGAATGTATTGCAGTATACAAACACTTAAAACTATGATCCGATAGCTAATTTCTTGGATAGGTAGCTGAGCAATTATGTTTCTTTCGTTCTCTGCTGAGGGTTGGCTTCCCGTAGCGCCACATGAATTACCTTGTTTTTTTATTGATATCTATACAGCCTGTATCAGGGTTGGCTAAAACACAGCACTAAAACAGCACATAATATTCATCTGACAATGTGAACATCCCTCATTTAGGCTGGGAACACGTAAACATAGCGGTAAAGATTGCCTTCGGGACTCCAGCTTAAGCATGTAGACACTCGTAAAAGTGACATCAAAATAGCTTTTTATGTCTTCTCACAGGTTGGCCATAAGAATAATTATGTGTACGGTTTGATTTAATGGTACGCCATTGAATTATATGTTTGAACATACACCAGGCAAGGAGGGAGAGACGACAGAACGGTGCAATGGTAAATTCATTTCTCCGTTAATGTAATAAAATTGGCCCTAGATCAGCAAACATTATCACATGATAAAAGTTTCAATTACCGAGCAGGTTTACGGTAAAAAAATTAACAAGCAACCAGAGCATGATAACTTACCAAGCCTACAGCTAGTCAACACGCCCCAAGGTCCACGTGTTTCAAAGGCAAACGTTTGGTTTTGAAGTTTTATCACCAAACTCCCAGATTCCCTTATAGGCATTTAAGCCGCTGCATTTCACAAGCTCAATTGACTTTCTTTTTATATTACAACATCGATCTTGTGATCGTCCTTTTTAAATACCGTGTCGGACTGGAGTGGCTTTAAAGCACTTACTGTCTATACAACAACAAAAACAGCAATAAACTAATCTACCAATGTTATCAGAACTCTGTCGGTCGTGACTCATCTTGAAGCCCTCAATTATAGATAGATGAAGAGATAGATGGTCTAGTCATAATCATTAGAGATTTCAACGGCAACACATCTCAATAAATTAACTTGGAGTTTGAGCATTGTATCTGGCCACTCAATGTCATTATTTCTGGCACGCTTAACTTAGGAGAGGGAATATAGGGCGAATGGAAATTGCAAGACCCAAAGGTCATGGGAAATTGCGTGTCATCGCCATTGAATATTGAACACATAAGACAATCAGAACTCTCGTACCAACAAAGATTATTGTAAAATTGAAAGGAAATCTTTGTTGCAAATCCGCTTCAGTTGCTTCCATCCAATAAAGATGTCAATGTTTACAAAATATGCCGTGATAAATGGACATAGTGCAAAACAAACAATCAAATCCTGCGACACGCATATTCACTTCGATCTATTTCTACATCTGTTATATCCATAACTTTCTATTGTTACAACGGCACTTGGACGGCAGCACTATTAATCATCTAATCGCCTAGACTTCCACTATCTAGTGGGAACCCAATTACGTCCATAGTGTCGCGTGCAGATAAAGTGTCCCTCGCGTCAGGGGCTCTTGTGAAATTACCGTAATTGAACATGTTTTATTTGCACAGAAAATAACGTTGTGGTTTAACTGCTATTGTACTTTTTCGTTTGTATTACATCTGAATGGAAGATACACGAAGGTCGGTTGCCTACTCTTGACGGAATAAAAATCTAAATGTTCCCCAAAATATTCCTGAAACTAGGTTTGCCAGTGGCGATTTGCCGTTGGCTCCAAAGTGAGGACAGGGTTCATGGAGCCAAAACCCTTTCTTCAAGCAGAACGTTACGTGTAGGAAATCTAATCGAAGACAATGAATGAACACCAAATACCTGTTTTTATTATATTGCCACTATTGGCGGAAGGTCACAGCACTAAAAATGTCACAAAGCTACAAAATGGTAGTCATGAAAATGTGTCTGGTGTGTTATTTTAGTTATATATTAATGTACACCCAACACAAACTTATTGAAAACGCAAAACTGTTAAAAAACATGATATAAGTTCTGTTTTCATAAGGTATCTTGCAAATAAGATCGTTGCTCGGAATCTTCATAAACAAACTACCGTGTTTTCAATGCATTTATAGAATTTTCATAAAATGGACCAGTAACGTGCTGATTGGTTGATTAAATAGCAAGAGAAACAAACGTCTCCATCCAATCATTTGACATTTAGACCTTTACTATGAAACTATCAGCTCTCTATACAAATTGCACCTTACTTTCTAGAAAGATGGTGGTCACCTTATTATTAAAACCATCAAGGAGACTCACTTTTCTCAAGCACTTTGAATAAAGGGATGCGACTACTCATGTTCTGCTGGAACATCAATCAAGTCGACACACGACTCGTCTTTCAAGATGACAAAAGGGTATTTTTTCTTCAGATGATTGATCATGATCTGGTTGAATACCTAAGCACTCGTGATCATGCGAGAATCTCATCCTCTCGGCTGTAGACATCTTCGCTCTCACAGTTTCCAAATTGTAACAATGGACACTTTGCTCGAACCGTGTTCAAACGCCAATGCCAAAGTGGTATTAACAAAAGGATATGAAAACACCAGAAAGTATTTAATAAAAACAGAATGACTCTGCAATTGAATTTGGCTAAATCTCTGCATATTCATTTTTGGTCATTTTGGACTTCTGGCAAATAAAGCCTGGGAACCATTTCTTCCGATTCAAGAAATGTGCTCGTTAATTCTCTGCGGCAATTTGCACGGTAATCAACAGCAGCTTTTCCCTTTCCTATAGCAAATCTACTTTATGTCTGATTGCCCTAACATAAACAATTCAATTTGTCAGTGCGCATACTATCAAATATGCACGAATTGTCGTTTGCATTAAATTCAGAAATAAGCTTACGGGTAGATGACTCAGGGAGCTTGAAGTCAGTACTTTGGCCTGTTAATTCCCGGCAACAGTAATTTTCAGAACTCTGGAAAAACTCATCGAGGAATGAAAAAAGCGTGATGGCGGCCAATTCCCAGCATGGTATATTAGCCATATCACAATGTTATTACAGAGAAACCGAACAGTCAATGCTGGTTAACTTCAGAGAGTCTAAAGCAGTAACTGCATTAGCCACAGTATTGGTGATTCATTTTAAAGATTATCTGTCAAAATGTTGCGTAATGAGGGCCTCAGATTGACGAGAAAGGCGGCGGCAAATATCGCACAGCGAACATGTCTTGACTGTCACCTGAAACAGTCACACACGCCGAGCTAAGGTCACACAAGGAGATTTTGTACATTCTTTGGAATTTAAGTTCATCCCTTAATGGTCATTATCATGCAAGTTTCTCTGCTAGGATAAGGATGTTGATATCCAAATCTGTAAATTTATACCAACCGTGTGCCGAGATTTTCGCTTCCTTGCATTCTAAACATACTATGTTCACCTGTGACTAATTTTGGGGAAAATAACCTTCTTTGATTACACTGTTAACGTAATACAACCAGTGCCCCTGGGGTCAAATACAAGAAAATGAGGAAATGACACTGCTTGGTGTTTGTTGTGCCGTTCAATACAAACAATTGCCTAGGGACATCCAAGTTGTCACATAGAAAGCCTATAGTAATAATCATAAAGACATTTAAAAGACATTCTAGCCTGTTGAACGGAGAACAGTCCCGAGCAAGAGGGACAACAAGGGTGTAAATCCCGATCACCCGCCATAGCCTTTCACGTGGGTGAATCATTTCACCTACACGAGGTCATCCAGATGTTACAAAAAGTGTCTCATTACCTCTCGAGTCTCTTTAAAGTTTCACGAGGACTCGTAGGCTCAAACTGTCAAAGGAAATCCGTCATTATTTTGCAGTTCTTAAGCTTATAACTTCAACCGAAATAACCCACTGTTTGCTATTTCCAGACAATGATTGGTGTCATCATTTGGCCCAAGTCCATATTACCTCGCCCTCTAACAACGAGATTTTCAACTCGCTATACTTGACAAGCTCAATGGAACTCGAGCTTGTTTATGGCCTTATTAACAATCCAATAAACAC